CCTCAATCTGGGAAACCGACAATGTTTTTGAAATTTGAAGTAAGATTTTGATTTCTTCTTTAGAGCTTGACTTAGATTTTGAGAAGCGAAAGAACTGCGAGTGCATTTGATACTTTTTTCCTTAAACGAATACCACGAATTGGGCAATTCATTTATTGCCATAATTTTCGTCCAAACAAGATTAGGATTATATACTTCAGTGAAACGCTGATACAAATGCTAATCAAAACCTGTCTGCATTATTATGCCAGGATATTTTGTCATGTGCAAACTACATATGTATTTATTATCCGTCCCCGAAGGTTTCGCTTGAATATCAAACTAGCACTTGCCGCAACGTTTTCTAATGGGATTAGCTCGATGATAATGAACCGCACACCCTACAGTGCACCCTGGATAAGTCCGCAATTGGCTTTCCCATGACCAAAGCAAACCGGACCGTATTTACCCGACGCATAAGCCTCTTTCCCGCCTTTTGTGAGATCCTGGATGTGTGGGCAGGAAAAGAGCAATTGTATTCGGGCATGAAATTCAAATACAAACAGCGCGAACAATGCCGTTTATGAACCTGTCAATCCAAAATTCAATTGGGATTGTGTGAATTGGAATCAGCATGGACGGACTGAGTATCAATGCGATTGTTTAATCACTCGACACGACGCTTGTGAATTGGCGCCAGCTGCTAACTTGTTACAAATTTAATGCCCATGAGTGCATCTGCGTGGGTACATGTTTGCTCAAGTACTGTGCTCAAACTCCCCGTTTACCATTTATTTGCTTTAACAAACAGAATGCATTCTTTAGGTCCTTATTGGTATTTTATCTCACTCGAAGAAAGGAGGTTTTCTTAGGCCCGAATTTTCCAAGATTACAGGAAATATTGCCTATGTTCAGGTATTCTTATGTAAGATGCATTTCCGATCTCATCGATACCCTATGTAAGGTCCTTAAAGATTGTGTTTACTTTATTTTCAGCCCTATTTGAAATATTTAATAGGATTGTTAAGGAGTAGGACAACAAAATGATTTTATTTTCGATTAAGGAGAAGGCTTATTTTAAGCAATCTGTAATCAACACTTATCGTATTTCATGTATGAGTACAACCAAAAACTGCATGCATTGAAAAATATCTTTTGTTTTCAAAAATAAAATAATTATTTTTTCTCAACTTTAATGTACACCAACTTTATTGATCTTTGCAATTTTATTTTTAACTCAAAAAAATAGGAGATTACTTAAAATGTTTACTTTATATCAATAAAATTTTAACTATTTAATACCGTCAAGAGCACTTAGGGAATTAGCAATACAAGTATTTATACCCTATGTAAATAAAAAAAGATATAAAATGGATATAATCACAAGGCCACATTTTAAGCATATGTTTAAAAATGACGCATCCTTTAAAATCAACAACACTCCCTAAACTATCTGAATAATTCGTATTTAGTGCGTATCTGTTCGAACTAATTGGGGGTGTAATAGAGCTATTAACCGCTCCGAGTGACAACACCCCTCGGTGTGGTCGTTTTGCGTTTAAATGTGGGCCAAAGGTAACAACACATTAACATGAACAATTTAAGTAATTGTAAGTGGCAGGACAATCCGCAACCCTCTCTGCGCCGTGGGGGTGGCTAATTTAAACATCGAAAAATGTATGTTTTAATGAACGGCTTGCTCGAGTTGGTATGCCAACACTTGACAAGTGCACCGGGATATGCACATAGCACTTATTAGGACATATATAATTATGCGTATCGGGCATGTGGACGATTTTGTATTTCAAAATTGTTAATGTTGCCCGAGCGAGAGAAATGTGAAGAGTGACAGATTGCATGGCATGACGAGAATTTTGACAGATGGCTCTTTTCCGATTCTGCTTTTTGATCTGACAATTTGTGGGCTCAAATTTAAAAGTGTTTTGTTATCCTTCAGTGCGCCTTGTTTGGCAAATAGGTAATTTAAATTTAAACGAAAAGGGGTGACGGATTAAGACGCACCAAAAAGAATACAATTTACAATTCAGTCGATGTCAATATTACTGTCACAATATTTGGGATTATCTAGATGACGACTTTTTAAGTGTGAGAAGTGTATATAAAAGGAACCTTTTTAACTTTATGCTATCGGATTGTAATTTGCTTACATAGAAAAACATTTAAAAACTTTAAAGATTTGAAATGAAGAAAAATATCTTCTTATATTTTTTCATCTAAAATTATATCATACTAAGTTTCCGCGAAAAACATATTTATGTAAATAATAAATTATAAGAAACGGTTGGTATTATCATTAGAAGATATGTATATTTCTCGCCAAATGTTTAATTAATTTGACATACATATAATTATATACCCCCTTGCAGAGGGTATTCAGTCAACGCAGTGAAGGAGACATTTCCGACCCTATAAAGTATATATCAGCATCACCAGGAGAGTCGATCTAGCCATGTCCGTCTGTCTGTCCGTCCCTCAGTTTTAAAGCTATCTGCTTAAAACTTTCCCAAAAGTTGTCTTTCTATTGCAGCTAGTATATAAGAAGGAGGGATCGGGCGACTATATATACATCTGTGTTGTTATACCCTTGCAGAGGGTATTATAATTTTGGTAGTGGAACGCAGTGAAGGAGACATCTCCGACCCTATAAAGTTTATATTCTTGATCAGGATCACCTCCTGAGTTGATATAGCCATGTCCGTCTGTCCGTCTGTCCTCTGTCGTCTGTCGTCTGTCGTCGTCTCTCTTCTGTTTCTACGCGAACTAGTCTCTCAGTTTTAAAGATATCGAATTGAAACTTTGCACACACCCTTCTTTCCTTTGCACGCAGTATATAAGTCGGAACGGCCGGGATCGGCCGACTATATCCTATAGCTGCCATATAACTGATTGATCGGAAATGCCATAACTCTGCTGTTTGTTAGGTTAGGAGTTGGGACTTTCTTGGGTTTTTATTTGGCCTATCAATTCGACGTACCAAATTTTATAAGGATCGGCCGACTATATCCTAAAGCTGCCATATAACTGATTGATCGGAAATGCCATAACTTTGGTGTTTGTAAAGTTAGGAAGTTGGGATTTTCTACTGGTTTTATTTTTGGCCAATCAATCCGACGTACCAAATTTCATAAGGATCGGCCGACTATATCTTATAGCTGCCATATAACTGATTGATCGGAAATGCCATACTTTGGTGTTTTTGAGTTGGGTTGGGTTTTTATGGGTTTTTTTTGCCTAATCAATCCGACATATCAATTTTAGGATCGGCCGACTATATTCTATAACTGCTATAAGTGAACGATTGGAAATGCCATAACTTTGGTGTTTTTAAAGTTAGGAAGTTGGGATTTTTATGGTATTAAGATGCATTTGAATGATTTTGAGAATATAATTTGGAATATTCTGGTTTTCTTCCCGTTTTCCTTTCTTGTTTTTAATTTTTTTTGTTCTTTGGGATTTGGTTAAAGATTTTAAAATTACGGTTTTAATTAAATTAAAATCGGATAATAATATCATATAGCTGCCATAGAAACGATGGCCAAATGCAGCGCAAAATCGACATAGCTTCATTGTTTTTAGTAATATAGGTATATAAATCGAAATTTAGTCGTTTTGTAATAACTGCAAGGGTATATAAACTTCGGCTTGAAGAAGTCTGCTTCCTTTCTTGTTTTTCAATCTTTCTAACGGATGGATGACATACCTACATATATGAGCGATTTACCTTAAAAGATTTGGAGTTAGCTGTTTAAAAATGGTCAATAATGGATCGTTTTGATTGCGGAAAGTGTGAATTTGTGTCTCATTATGGTAAATATAAAAAACTATTCTTAAAGTCTTTGATATAATCAAAACCATAACATCCCTAGGCGTAAATTATGGGTTACCACATGTTGGCTCGCCTTGTGGGTAGAAAAAAACAAGCCCGCGGGCGATTCGGTTTTTTACGCCAACGGAGGCGTTCCTCGCCGATGGAGAAATTTGGGTATCGGCAAATTGTCACGTAACCCTCACCGCACTGGATGGCCAACATCGTGAAAATTGTTTTTTAGCAAGTGTTGGGGGGTTCCACTAGCAGACCTTCCCTGGAAAGGCGCCAGGAATTGTAATTACAAATTTGTATTGCAACCACTCGGCACGCATCGCACTCAAGTCAATTTCGGGGTGGTCCGTGGTTAAGCGACCGTGTAATTCACGATTCTCAACGGATACCCCGTCACTTGTGGTATAAAAAGCATTTAATTACGGTTTACACTTTCAGTTGGATTAATACGTCCAAATGAACTTCATTTGCTACTTTTAATTGCTGCTAAGTAAATTTTATTTGCATATATCTTTTGGATGATAGTAATAGGAATTTGAGCATTGAAAGTCGGGCGGGAAGTCAGTTTTGATAAGTCTAAGTTTAAATGAGCATTCGTATAATATTCCTAACAATATGACAGTTTTTATTAAGTTTTGAACATAATTTTCTAAATACATCATCCCATTCGGTATGTTGAGAAGAAAGTACCAGACAGAAAATAGTATTCAAAATTCAGCGGGCCCCCGAAGCAGTAGAAGCAGTCAATCGAATTTGAAAACACAAAAAAACTTTTTTTTAAACTATACATGATCTTTAGTACTATCAGTTACTATTTTTTCGAGCTTACATGGAAATAGTATACAAAAATAAAGCATCAATCTTTTTTCAAAACATTTTATTTTAGTTTTGGAGGCCTCTTAGTTTTTAATCAAAATAAATTTGCAATAAGTTCACTCTTCTTATGAAATATATTTCAGCTGTTTACCGTTATATAGTTGTCATTTGTTTCACCTTTAAATGAATACTCCTTAAAGGGAGCACCGTGCATTAGAATGCAGCCAAATAGCTACAATGAAATTTCCTTCAACGTGAATTATTACCTCCTCCAAATCCAATTTAATTCAGTATTGTTATAGACGCTTAAAAAAACAACGACGAGACATTTTCTTCCCAAAGGCACATATATTGAAATAAGTTATTTGTATCAATATATTTAATCAATTTATTTAATTTCCATACTTTTTAATTGCTATGACTTGGTGAATCCAGAATTGCCTAGGAATTGTATTTAAAAATGCTAGGGAACAAAAAATGTGCACCAAATAAATACAGGTAAACTTATTTCGCACCGTCTTGGTTGGTAGCTCCTGAAATGAATACGAGCAGGACCACCGGAACGATGTACATCCACTTAAAATGAGAAAAGGAGAAATTAGCCAAAGAATTATTGAGGAACCATTTTCACTTACGTATTTGGCAAAGAAACCCCGGTTATCACGAACTTCGCCTCGCTCCCTGGCTTCGCGTTCCCGCTCCACCTTCTGAATGAAGCCAGCGGTATCTGGTACGGGCGCCAATTCAGCGTGGCGGATCAGGACATCAGTGCTGAATTGTGATTCAACCAGTTTATTAACATCCTCCTGGGTGCACTCAGCGGTGGCTGGAACCGTGTCCTGAGAGACGGTAATGCCAGTAACGTATCCGGAGGGATCAAGCGACACCCACAGCACGTCATTGAGCTGCGCTTGCAACAGGCGACAGGCCTTGTTAGAGGTGAGGAACTGCGCCTTCGCTCCATTTGAATAGACCACAGTAGCCCTCAAGCGGTAAAACTCATTTTGTAGGGCAAGTTTCTTTAATAATAAATATTAAAAAAAGCGGGTTAAGACTAAAAATAGCCACTCTATAAATAAATTATATTTTATGTTTACTCATTTAAGTTAGTAATCAAATAAAACTGTCAAATTTTATGTACGGTCTAATATTGAGGATATTTTGAGATCAATGAAATTTAACGCCATTAAATCATTAACAAAGTAAATAGTTAGCAATACAGTAAAAAGCAGAAGGAACAACCGACTACAGCGTACCGGCTCACCGACTTTTTATACCTCCCGACTTTCCAAAACCATAATTACCTTCAACAAATCCAGATCGGCATTGCTTAACGCTGGTTGGTCCACATTGGCCAATCCAGAGTTCAGACTTGGAATTGTCACATTCCCGCGGAAGGAAAAGCTGTCCGAATCGGCAACCAGCGAATGTTGGAGCTCCACTGTGACCCAACTGTCATGCTCCAGGAAACCCTAAACAACATATGAACACTCCGCTTGTTCATTGCGAAAGGTTAATCACTTACCCAACTGCCGGCTACCGCGCTTAGCACAAAACAGAGCACAAATTCCGCTTTTAAATTCATTTTTCTCTAATAAATTGTCAGTTTTAACATTAATTTGTCAATCATATGAGGGAGTCTGTGGAAAGTGTGACCGCCTACAGTAAATATACCTAAGCGCCTTGAAGAAATATACTAAAATATACTAAATGTAGTCGGGGTATTCAATTATCTCTTTTTGAACCGTTAAACTTTTATCAGCTGATCCTTAAAAATTCAATTTTGCTTTATCAAACCACTGTAATATTCCGTAATTAACCAGACTACATATTTTAAATAAAATCACGTAAATTCAATATTAAATGCTTGTTGTTGCAAATTTAATTTTTCGCACTGAAAGGTTTTCCAGAACTTTTTTCGATTGCTCAAATAATTATTTTAGCAGTTCAGAAACTAGCAAAAAATATTAAACAAATTTTTTTAACCATGTATATCTCAACTAATATGGGGAATACCAATATTAATCTCGAAATCTATATTAAGTAGAGAAAAAAATATAAAACAAACACTCAATTTTACAAATGTTTGGTTTTGGCTAATTATTTAAAATTATTTTTTAATCAAAGGTATTACTCTCTGTTTCGAAGTTCGAAAGAGCAACAATCATGTCCAATAATAATCAAAATATTTTGTAAGCTCATATATACACACACATACTTTTATAATATTCACTAACTGCACTTCATCATCGTAACCTGTGGTTTTTACTCTCATTATGTTGGGACTTAGTAGGCCAGTAGAAAATTTATAAATATGGCGAAGTAGCAATAACTGCTGATCTAAAAAATCCCAACCATAATGGGGGCACACGGATTTCGATCAAGAAACCGACTTCTTTTAAATCTCAAAAATAACTGGCAACTATTACAAATGAACGTGATCTTTTATACCGATCAGGGATCAATAATATCGGGTTTGGATTGCAACAAATGATGTAATGGAGTATTCATAAATATGTTGACACTATCAATTTAAAAAAACTTAACCCTCTAAAAATAATGCATTTATAGAAATATTATGGGGTTCTATTAATAAATTTGTACTTAATTCTGAAGTGAAAAATTTGTCCATTCCACATTTCAAATATATAAAAAAAATGTATTAAATTTAAATCTTAAAAACCTCCAGGAGTTATTTGTATTGTAATTGTAGTGTTAATGTCACATAAAAAGTGAAACAAGATAGAGGTGCTTTTGTAAGGTTTTAAATCGAGGCCAAATGAAACCAAATGAAACCTAAGAAATCAAATTGTCAGGCATCATTGCCTTTATACTTGTTTTCAAATGCTTAAAGTTACTAGCTCACAAGTTTAATTCGGATAAGTCAACACATTCTCATATGAGTGGTCATTCGGGGTACAGGAATATTTTGCTATCTATTTAAAAGTAATTGTGTCAGAGTGTTTTGGTATTCAAATTAACAAAAAAATTGTGTTTCTTTTATTTTAACATGGTAATATTAAATTAATAAATCAAAGACAACAAATTCATTTTAATAGTCTTCAAAAAATTTCAAATCATTTAAATCATTGGGAATTTCATGCCATCACAAACTGATTTGGAGTTGTGAACAATTGAAACGCATAAGTGTTCGTTGTAGTTCAGGTCTCGGAGCAACTAAAAGAAAATACATTTTTAATTGAATATGTATAATATTAAGACAATATTTCTATACCTTAGGTGTTACGAACAAATACTGAGCAGAGCCATGCTTAGTCGCTTCTTTCAGGAGTAGGTCGAATATGTGACGCTCATTTTTAGCGTCCATGCCCTGATTTATTTCATCAACGCACCTAAAAGCAAGACTATTAAATCAATCCGAAAGTTTTTGTTGTGTTATTACCTGAAAGGCACATGAGTAACATGTTGCAATGACAATGAGTAAATTGCAATTGACACAGCGCGTTCGCCACCTGATTGAATGAACTTATCCAATGGCTGTAACTGGGCACCTCTCCTAAACTGGACCATTATTTGAATGCCGTACGAATCAAAGTCGAACTAAAAAAGAAAACCATTGAAATGTAAAAAATATTTCAAATCTTCAACACTCACTTTATCTGTTTTGGATAAGATGACTTCTCCAACGTATTCAATAGACGCCATAAATTCGCTGAACTTGGTACTGATTGTTTCTACCAAGCTAGTTAATTTTGGCTCCCATTTATCGTATAAATTAGACATTTCAGATTCGATGGTTTTCGCTTGGTTAACAGACTCTTGAATGCCTTCTTCCAGTTTTTGAACTTCATTTTGCAATTGTTGATAGCTGTCGATTGCCTAAATATCCATATAAGATTAATAACTTAGCACATTTTTTATAAGTCAATTAATTATTCAAATTACCTCAGAATTAACGCTTTTCATACATTCCAATCGTGCCTGCAAATCATGAATTGATTCACGTATTTCTGGCAAGCTCTTGCTTTCCAAATCTTTAAATTCCTTCTTAAAGGGAAATTTGGAACTGTTTGGAATTTCTCCGTTGCACAGCCGTTGGATATCGCTCTTCCGTTTGTTGATGTCGCTAATCTGCTCTTCCAAGCAGTTCTGCAATTGTTGATAGTCTTTCTACGAATAAAAAACTTATAAATAAATTAATTTAAATCATAAATAACGTGCTTACGGCTGCTGATTCACTCAGAAGCTCGCTTTCCTTGAGTGCTTCACTTTGACTCTCGTGTTGCACCATATAAACGGATGCTTTTGCCTGGGCCAATTTCTTTTCAACCATGAGTAGGTCTACAGTTTTCAAGCAATTGCACAATTTCGCCTCGATGTCAAATATTTTTTTTAAGTCTTTTGTCAAACTATTAAAGAAATTACTTTTAAGAGCATCCAGTGCTGAAAATAAAGGTCAAAATGGTTGATAAGTTAGTGATTGTCAACGCTTACCATCGTTTTTTTGAAGGATTTTCAACTTTCTCTCGAGTGTTTCAACTTCGTTTTTAAGGTTATTGAAATGCGTTAATTTTTGGTCAAGTTTTCGCTTTTTATCTTGTTCCTCCTTTGTAACAGTTTGCAAACGTTCAAACTCATTGTCGGTCATGGTAATGGCGTTTTTAATGTTGTCGCTTTCTCGCACAGCTTCGGAATACTTTCTCATCTCTTGTGCTAATTGTTGTGCATCTACTGTGATAAGCTGATTTTTTCCACGGATAGTGCTCTCTGTAAGAATGGTATCAGAGCGGTAGCGGGATGCCGTCACAACAAACTTTTTGTTTCCTGAAAAATGGTAAAAAATCAAAATCACCATTCAAATAATAATTTTGAAAATTATTAAAGTAATTAATTAATTAAAGTAAAAATACACATACCGCCAAAAAAAACTCGAATAGTTTTTGGAATAGATGAGGTATAATTTCCTACTGCTTCTGTACCAATTGGAATATTATGAATTGAGTAGGAAGCACACAGTTTGTTTATTATTGGTATAGGTCCAGTAACAAGATCCACAAGATATGAACGAAAACCCATGGGGCTGTAAACCAATTTCAAGTTACTGAATATATCAAAATAAGATAAAGTTTACTAAAAGCATACCGTAGCTCACTTCTTGGAATAGATGGACTGTACAAGCACTTATCGGCTGGTGCGCAATATATAATGTTGACTCCTAATTTTTGCTTCACACACAACTCATTGATCAAATCCGACATATCCTCCTTGTCCTCACAGGAAAATGCAAATAAATCGCGCTGCGATACAACATTTTCAAGATATTTAGCGTCTTCGTGATTTTCCACAGTAAGCTAAAGGTGTCGATAAATTTTTAAACATGGATCTTAAACATTAGTTTTGACAACTCACCTCAAGTATCATTGGGTCATAAATGTTTAATTTATACTGCTGCTTATTTTGGGCCAACCAATTCATAGCTTTAACCAAATTTGGATTCCTGAGTTTAATTTCCTGTAAAACATTCAGTATAGAATTTTTTTTTTTAATTATTCGTTATTTAATACTTACATCAATTTTTTGCAATTTGACGTTTCGCAATCGATCTATTTTATGCTTATAACCAGCTATTTCTGGAATCTTTTCCTCATTAAGTTGTTGTTCAAGCTGCTTTCGTCTGTTATACTGTTCCATGGCTTTACGACGTGCTGAGTCACAAGATTCCTTAACCTTTTCCAGTTCTGAAAGAATCTGAGGCCTGTTTTTATTGAAGTTTTCTAGTTCTCCGGTTTTGTTGTCCACCAACTGTTTTACTTTAACAGCTTCTGCGGCGTTTCTAAAAGATTTTTGAATGTTTTGCTATTTAAAAGAACAAATTTCGATTAATTTAAAATGTTTATATATTGCTAAAAGCTATGTTAACCTCCAATTCACATTTGTTCTCGCAAATTCCTTGTTTTAAAGAATCCAGCTGAGTTTCTATAGCATTCCTTTCTGTAACAGCTTTATCCAAAGAACGCGTCTGCAAAAAGTAAACAATTTTATTGTAGAAAACAGAATATATATTTTTATGAAAATAGATAGTCAGGTATTACCTTTTCCAAACAGGCTTCTCTATAGGAAACCTTTCTTCTCTGAATTTGTTCTTGAGCCTGAACAAGTTTGTTACTTTGTTCTTTCAGTTTGTCGCTTTGAGTTTTTGCCTTTTTAACTTGGGTTTTTAATTGTGTAGCTTTTTCTTCTCCAGCCTGTGTCTCAATCCACAATTTCTTCGCGCTAAAGACTTGCAGTTTTTGCTTAACATCCTCTCGTTCCTTATATTGGGCAACAGTCATTTGTAAACTATTTAATAAATAAATATATAATTAAAAAAAAAAATAAATAAATAATTTTTTTTCTAGAAAACTTTTTCTAGTCTTGACCCATATACAGCTGGTTAAATAAATAAAAAAATTGACATTATTATTTATGAAGGTGAATAAGGCATATTTGCTTTAAAAAAACCCAAAATATGACTTACTGTTCCAATCGTTTTTGTTTTTTCACAAGATCATTTTTCTCTTTTTCCCGGTTAGCATGGGTATTCTCCTGTTGTGAGCGCATCTGCTTCAAAAGATTAAAACTCTGGGTGAGCTCATCATCACACACGGAAGACATAGTATTGAGCAGAAGCTCTTGGGGATTCATTTTGGAAAAGTCCTGACATTGTAAATTTAGAAAAACGTTAGCAATTTGTTAGCCATTAAGCGAGGATGGTATCTTACCTGAACCCGATCCTGCGGGAGGAACTGACATAGATTACTGACTTGTATATTATAGGATGATACGGCAACCAGGAAGTTCTTCTTGGAAATATCTTTGTTGTTCACGGAGAAGGTGGACGATCCATTCGACTTGATGACGCGCTTAAAGGTCTCCGTGGTGTTGGCTGACCGTCCGTAAACCCCGACAATTATCGTGGCCGTGGTCTTGTTGCTCTGTATGTAGTCAGCAACGCTGGCGGATCTATCCAGAAGATGCGGCTCGCCGCCCAGGCCAAGAATAATGGCCGAGACAATTGTTGACTTGCCACTGCCATTCGGGCCGGTCAGTACATTCAGATAGTGCTTCGGATGAAATGTTATTTCGCTGTACGAGCTGCAATTGAAATTGCAAATGCATGGCTCAAGGAGTCTACGAACTACGCCTTTGATAAACTTGGACTTACACGAAATCTTTGCAGTACACGGACTCTATTCGTCCCATCAATTGCTTGGAGCTTAAGGCGCGGTGTCCCTCCATGACAAAGCATGGATACTGATCCTTTAACTGGTTTAAATAAATATAATTGTTTCAAACAATATACCGCGCCTTCTTGGTTTTAGTTTATCATTACGCCTCAATTGTACGCCAACCTAATGCCGATAACGATATCGATAAATATCGATAACATTAATAGGGGGACTCCTCTTTATTTTGTAACAAATGTTCAAAATGCTTAAGTTTAAAATAAAAAACGTGTTAATTTAAATTTGTTGCTTATGGATTTCATTTATTAGCGTTTTCATAAAAGGCTTACAATATTTCTCTTTAAATAAAATGTTTTGTTTTGGGATTACAAAGGATCACTTGGATTAAATGCTCTTTCTATTTTTTACATTTAATTTCAAAACAACAATTTCTTGGACAACTAAATATGGTTTTCTTTTTTTTTTGTAAAAAGTGTAAAGTCAAACTTGCTTTTAAACGATAAATTTAAATGGTGCGCGAAAAACAGGGTTTTCCACCTGATTTCAACGTTTGAAGATGGCTATTATGATCTTAAAAGGATAATAATTTTATTTCAAAGTTACTAGATCAACTTGTTTCCTTTTTTTTTAAATGGAAAGTATAATGCTATAATTTGACCATAGGAATCAGCCCATATCAAAAAATGTTGTTTATTATACCAATTTCACTGAGAATTTTTTATTCAATATTTTTAGGTTTTATAAAATAATACAAAAGGCTATTCGCTTTGCTGTAAGGACTGAGAACTGCGCACTGAGTTTTTACTGTCACGCCGGCCCGAATTAGCAAAAATACTTTGCTTTTTGACAACAAATTCCTCCTCGTTGCAGGTTATACAGGCATTCAAATAGTTAAGTATATCCTTGTTTTTCAGCTTGTCTGCAATTTCAACTGCCTTAACTAGGGCTTCGCTGGTCCGTTCGACTTTGTGAAGGGCCGCACTGGCTTTTATAATCAGTAGATTGCTGAGAAATTGCCAAATATAGCTGTTGCAGTTTTTGGCCTCTATAAAATGTTAATGGTATGTAACTTATAAACTGTGTACATAATAGATACAACCTTCAATAGACTTTCGGGCACTAAAACAGCATTCGTCAAATCGGTTCGATTCAAGATGCGTGCTTGCAATCTGGTGAAGTAAATAGCTTTTTTCGATGGGATATTTGGCGAAAATCATCCGATGTTCGTATCGGTTAAGAATTTGACTACAAATGGGATCCAAATAAATTAAGAGTTTCTTAGATTAATAATAGATAAGCAATACCGTGATTTTGACATGGCCGGATCCACTGGGATCTCCTGATGCGTAGAGCGATCCCCAAATACGAAATGTTGTGCCTCCAGGGTTTTATCCATGGGAAAGGGAAAGCGAAGCAAGCGGAGCAATGCATTCTTTTCTGCAAACCGAAAATTCTTCGGAACCGTATACTGATCCACATAGGCCAGAGCCAAAGTATTGTAAACTTCGTTCAAAAATTCGAATTTCCAAGGCATAATCCTGTTGGTTTTTCTTACCACATAGTCTCCCATTACTTCCTCCACGTAACTGGACAGTTTCTGAAAATAATAAACACGCATTAATCAGGGCTATTCCTAAATCTCTTTCAGCAAAATTCCAAACGACTTTATATATGTAACATAATCTTCTTTGTGTGACAATTTCAACACTAATATTATTATAAGTAAAGCTATTTTTAAAAAATCTTACCATTAAGTTTTTATTATTTCGAAGATATTTAATACTTCTCAGCGCAGTTTTCATATTACGACTAGTTTGGTATTGAACTCGATAAAGATATTCTTGCCGAAATTTGTCCATTAATTTCTTGTTTGTGAACTTTTGGTAGCGGATATTGTACATTGGGCTACGGGCTTCCAGCATTTTCTGAAATTAATAATTAAAGTACCCTTGATGTATTTACTTAATGTAAGGTACCCACCAAAAAATGTTTGATCTCGTCATATTTCTTCATAGTGAGAGTCTTCAAATACTCATTGCTGTTTTTACACTGATCCAACAGCAAATTCGGATTCCTAAAATAAAGGGATGTATGAATGAACCACTTAGAAGCCAAAAAAAAGGATTTACTTTCGAACATGTTTTAGAAATATGACATCGTGCCATGACCTATCTATGAACATTTGGTTGAACACATCGAATGCACGACTTCGCCTTGCAATTTCAAGGGGCGAAAGCATTTCATCCTAGCAATAATTACAAATTAATATCGAAATGGATATTAAAATTCGTTTTTAATACACACTTCGATTTCCGGAATGCTCAGAACATCGCATTTTTCCTGTTCCTTTAGTATTTTCCAAAGTGGCCTGGTATCTTCTTTATACTTGTTTAGTTCCTCCTTTAATTGCACTATAAGCTTTTCATTTTCCGATATAAACTGAGTCATGGATGGACCACAGGAATCTTCAATATTTTCTTCCACCTAGAAAAAAGTTGGAGATCAGGAAGATATTCCTATTACGAACTCCAAATGTCTTACCACAACTAGACGGTGGTCGAACATTTTGGATTTATTACCAATGAACAGCCGTGTGTTATTGTAAAGCTCGGCCATGGAATTTTCCAACTGATTCAATTCATAGAGTGCATCGCAGACTTCCAAATTAATCGGTGCATCACTACGTTGCAAATTTGTTAATAGTCCTGTGAAAGAAATTAATGTATGCATTGTTAGGTTTGAAAATGTGCTACAATCAACTTACGCTTTGCCTCCAAACTGTCCTTAAGGGCACTTTCAGTCAAGGCATTTTTCCTTTTACTCTGACTACGACGATACAGAGTCGTAAAATCTGCAGGTGCTAGTTTGAGGGCCTTGTCAAAGTAGTACATGCCAAGATTCTCCCTCCGCCGGCGGCTGTAATACGTTCCCCAGTCCTTATAGATGCCCTGCTCTATTTCCGGGCTCCAGTCCAACTTAAGCCATATCGGAATGGCTGATTCAACGCCCTGAGCCTGCGGTATGAAAGTTTCCGGTTGTATTATAGAAGTCATTATTATTTTTTTTGTTTATTTTTATTTTGTTGTGTGTTCAACGAATATTTAAAGTAAACTGAAACTCATTTTAGAAGAGAAATACAGACGTGTATTTAAATGGTGCTACGATTAGGCCATCTGGGATTGATGGGATTTTCAGTTATAATCTGGAAGCTGTTGAATTTTATGCTAAAATTTAATTGTGATATAGATTGGAAATCAAACTATTTTAATTGCACAAATTTATTGGTTATTTTTGTATATTTTCAAAAGAGTTTTGAAAACTTTTAATGGTTTTAACAAACCGATAAAACCAATATATTATTATTAAAACCAATAATTACTGATTCTTGAACGCTATTAAAGCATCTAGATCACTTTGATGGATTTTGTTGATGCAAATGTGAGGATATGCTTGTCTTACCTTGAAAGCTTACATTTTAATTGTGCTAACTGATTATGGAGCACTTCGGTTAGCCGCAAAGCCACCAATGTAGCTCAAATTAGCTCCCACATGCAGTTCAACTTTAACGCCTGCGCACTCTCCTGCGGAATTCCCTTTTCCCCCAAACTGGCCAGGACATCTGGATATGCAAACGGCTAATCAGTTGCTTTCCACCTGTCGTTGCCCACGCATCCTGCGGAATATTCTCTGCGGTTATCGTTTACTACACCTCGTGCACTAATTACGAAAATTCGAGTGTCAAAAGAAGCCAATTAACAAGTATTAAGTCAAAAGTAGTTATGAATGGACCAAGAAGTTCCACAGGTGCTAAATGGAAACTTAGTGAAAGATTTGACGCAACTTTTAATTATTTAAATTCTTAACATATGTAGTCTTACTACTATTAATTACAACAGTAATACAACTAATTAGTGACATTATAAAAGATTATTGATATATGATGATGCGAGATCCGACAATCTTTTGTAATCACTTTTATAAAATAAAAAACAGAAAAAGCATTTAAACATAACAAAATCGCACAAAATATTAACATTAAAATATAATTCAACTTACACCATTAAACATTTTGTATGTGTTGTTTAAACCTATTAAGTGACTAATATTTTGTATATATTCGATCGTCGCACTAATTTTTAAGAATAATTATTTATTTTTATTAAAATAATTCAGTTATAATTCAGTCTTTTCAATGCTTTCTTTATACTTAAATGGGGTGCAGCATATCTAGATTAATATTATATATCAATTGGGATAAATATTTACACATGTAAGTATTTATGTATGCACAAAAAAAAGCTTTTTTACATAGTTTGGCGAACTTTTGCGTAAGGTTCAAAGTTCTTAAAGTTAAACATTCTTTTTAAATACATTACTCGTTCGTACAATAAAGCAATAAGAATAGAGGATCACCCAAATATTTTATTGTTGTTATTAAACTGTAGTAAAATTAAATCTAATCTGGAATTCATTTTGTAAGCTTTGCTTCTAACACCTACCACTTTGAATAATAAAACAAGAACACTAACCCTTCTTACTTATTCATCTTCATCCACACTCAATAAATCCAATAAAAGCAAGTGCCTGGGGACAATGGTCTATGAAAATTCCCAGATGTCCATACATAATTATATTCAAGTTTAGGCGACACCTGACATCTATTGCATTTGTATGTATATTTATTTTTATATATGCGAACTTGTGGGATTCGGCACCCAAGTAATTAGCAACACGTGGCTTGGCCACTGGTTGTGCCACATTGGAGTGGCCTCCAAGGGGCAAGGGACCCAGAGGCTGGGGTCGGTCACCGGCTAAGTGTCCCTAATGACCAGATGCTGGATTGGATTAGGTGTCTCAAGAGTGCTCCGGGCTCCCCCGTGTCTAAGTTGGCCGGTTTTACTGATTTACTGGTTAACTGGGAGGCTGCTCCTAATGAGACTCCTGCTATTTATTATTTTATTATCCTTTGAGACTGTCAGGCCTTCCTAATTACACGTCTGCTTTTCTGTTTGCATATTTCGTCAAATTAAATTCACGTCTGAGAGCACTTAGTTGGCAAACTTGCAAGTGCGTAAAATTCTATAGTTCGCTTCGCTAAGCCAAAATATCTCAGTGTTTTGTGCCGAGTTTGTCTCAACGACATATTCATAATAATAACAAATTCTGTGGCCAACATACATGCAAACTTTTCTGGTTGCGAGTACTCGTGTATTTGTGTATAAGCTATTGTTAACCCCGTTCAAACTGGCTTAATAAACCTAGGCAAGATGCTGCTGCCGACACTTGCAACCACAATTAAACTAAATACCGGTGAGGATATTAAATTATGTACACTCTCTTCTGCCTTAAGCTCTAATGCATGAGGCTTTACAGTTGGTGTTTAACTTTAAAAAGGCAATAAATATTTGGAAAACTTTTTTGTTTACAATATAAATCATTTGATAAGAAAGAAGCAGCATCTCGCATTATTCCAGCTCACAAAATTAACTAGAGTTCTTGGGGAAGAAGATCTAACCAGATGTGTGTCAGTTGATAAGATAATATCTTCATATGCAAATAATGGCCAACGTATAATTTTGGCTTCTGGAGCTTTTAAAATGAATTTAATAAACGTGTGGAGCACTTCAGACTAATGAAATTGTTGAAGGCAGAATTTCCTCCTCCTTTTGATTTGATAATTCATCCGTGTTGACATTTCAAATTAATCTATGTTAAAAAAATATTCCCGAGCACGGTCGGAATAATTCTTTGAAGTTTTCTTTTAAATTATAGCGCACAGGGTATATAAAGAGCATGGGTATATTAATTTTATAAAAAGTGTTTCCGAGATAAGTTAAACTATTATTTATTTTAAATAGTTGAAGAAAAACAATCGGTTCAATATTTATTGTAAATCATAAGTTCTTACATAAAATGTCCGAAGTTAATATAATCTTTATTTTGAATGATTGTGGTTACATGTAAAGTAATGTTTCTCAAAATTTTATTTAATTTTTTACTAAATAGTAATTGTGCAATTACAAAACTAATTCATGGCAGTAAAGTGTAATTCTAATTTTTTAATTAGTCTCCAAATTTGTGGTGTTTGTTGCATTTGTTTAACATCTGATCTACTTATCTACTAATTTAAGATTAAACTTTGTTGCTTTTGACGTAAACAAAAAAAAATTACTCATTCTGCGGCATGAACACCATGTCATACCTATATAGTTGAATACATACACATAATATATGTAGGTGGTGTTTATATATGCCTGTGTATGTATTTATTTACAATTTAGCCTAAACCATGCCTTCTTATCTTTTTAGCGCTAGACTGCGGACAGTAATCTGTGGGCATCTAAAAGATACAGTGGCTGTATTATACGATAGCGCAGCGCGTATTTCTCGCAATCCATAAAAAATTAAACGGAAATCGTCGTGTGCCATGGGTTATTCTAAATTCAGCGGCTGTCGTTAAAAAATTTAATTTTACACCAAATAAAATACGACAGCAGATTCGGTTTCAAAATGAATTCATCGACAGATCCGTCTGTTTTAGATTTAAATACAAGTTTAAGCAGTTCGACAAATTCATATGCAACTAGTGTTAGTTTGGAACCATTCCAAGGATTAGATTCAGAGGATTATTACGCCTGCGGCACATTTAACTGCTCTCCCACCGAGTTTGTGGCTTTCGTCCTTGGTCCACAGACCTTACCACTTTATAAGGCAGTTTTGGTAAGTTTTTGAGAGATAAGATATTTGATAAGATAATGTATAATATTATATAGTTAATAATAACTATAAGATAATCGATTGGCTCTTCATAAAATTTAACGAATGTGTTTTTCTGGCTAGTTTTATGAATGTTGACTATTTTCTATTTCACTATGTCACATTAAAATGCATTTTGAATAACAAATAGATAGATTTTACTTATGTATTTTTATTGTTAAAACTCTTTCAGATAACAATTATATTTGGAGGCATTTTTATAACTGGGGTCATAGGAAACCTATTAGTATGCATTGTGATTATTCGACACTCGGCAATGCACACGGCGACCAACTACTATCTCTTCAGTTTAGCAGTCTCTGATTTGCTTTACTTACTCTTTGGTTAGTTAAATACACTTGTTAAAATTATTGAAATTCACTATTTCTTAAACATCCAGGACTACCAACAGAAGTGTTTTTGTACTGGCACCAGTATCCAGATCTCTTCGGCATGCCATTTTGCAAAATACGCGCATTTATTTCGGAGGCGTTAGTATAATTAATGTTTTGTTTAATTATAACAATCTTCAAAAGAAAATTACGTTTCAGATGTACATATGTATCCGTATTTACCATCGTTGCATTTTCAATGGAACGATTTTTGGCCATTTGTCATCCATTGCATTTATATGCCATGGTTGGCTTCAAACGTGCAATCCGGATAATAACAGCTTTGTGGATTGCAAGTTTCATAAGTGCCATACCATTTGGATTGCTCTCGGATATTCAATACCTTAAATATCCCTTAGGTATGCAATAGTATATTTATACCTATTATTACTAGACAAATTCTCTAAGTAACATTTAAATATTTCAGATGACTCCCGCATTGAGGAATCCGCATTCTGCTCAATGTCGCCTGAGATTGTGAATGTAATACCAGTATTTGAAGTATCCTTTTGCATATTCTTCGTCATCCCGATGATACTTATAATGATACTTTACGGCCGAATGGGAGCAAAGATTCGATCTCGAACAAATCAAAAATTGGGCAAGTACTTGGCTTCTATTGATCCCAATTGGTCCAACTTCAGGGAAATCTTTTAGGTGTTCAACACGGCACCAATAACCGAGAAACACGAAACTCACAAATGAGAAAGAAGGCAGTAATACGAATGTTGGGTGAGTTTTTGGCAATTACAGGATACGATCTGAATTACAATACCCACCCATTTAATCAGTATAGCCGCTGTGGTGATTACATTTTTCGTTTGCTGGTTTCCGTTTCACCTGCAACGACTTATATTCCTATATGCCAAGAATTTGGAAAATTATTTGGATATAAACGAAGCACTCTTTTCTATTGCGGGGTTCGCCTACTACGTTTCGTGGTAAATAGTTACTGGGTGTCTCGTAAGTAGCATGTTAATCGATTTCATTGACAGCACCATAAACCCAATAGTATATAGTGTGATGTCACGTCGCTATAGGGTCGCATTCAGAGAACTTCTCTGCGGAAAAGCCGTGGGTGCATATTATAATAGTGCATTTGCAAGGGATCATTCGAGTTTCCGGGAAAGTACTCACACAAGTCTGGGTAACAACATAAATTATGACCGAGTTCATTCCGTAAGTTGTTTCTAAATTAAATAGTCGAATATCTCTAAATCAAAATTACTTCTTAGGTTCATGTTAGGTCAAGTCGGCAACAAAATAACAAAAACGAAGCGGACTCTGCAAATAGAGTGTTAATAAAGAAAACATATAGTCTTCCGCTACCAAAGGTAATTAAACCAATTATAAACTTACAAATTTATATATATACATATTTAATACAATCAACTTTTAAATTAGCCATGTTCTACAAAGTTGCTCCTTATACTTTATGCAATAGTTAATTGTTGATGTATACTTTTTATTACTAAAATTTAAGTTTTGACACTCTGATTCAACAATTATTTTCCAACTTTCACGTCGCTGGACTTTTAAAGTTCAAACATAGCTTGGTGAATAAATCAAATTAAAAAGTTATTTTACTTTGCTTCAATTTGTCAAACTTTTTAATTCCCAATGCTAAAGTTGCTTACCACTCTTGTTTTATCCTTGTTTAGGTTGATTTGGCTTTGTTTACATGTGTGCCTATGGGAACACAACTTTTTCGTTACGTTACTTGTGTAACGAATTAAAGTCTTCGTATGTGACTGAAAGAATAACATATTACACATATATTAACCTTGAAAACATATTTATTGCAGAATGTGGATTCCACTGTTCTTAGTACTGACATTGTCATCGTGCTGGAAAATAGCTCCACTGCTCGTCATACACTTTGCGAAGAACCCAAAGTTGAGAACGATATTTGGATCGAAAATGAGGAAACTTGTATTTAAGCGGAACCCATTTCACACTTAAAGTATTAACTATGACGTCGAGTGAAAAACCCAAGGTTATGTGCACATCTTTTTTTTATAGTTAAGTTGTGTTTATGTAGGTCCAAATAAGTTAGTCTGTTCCAGGAATTCGACTAATTTAGAAGCACAGATGGAGATTAAATTATTACCAATATATCTCTTTTATTGAATAAAAAAGTAGAACATTTTACAATTTTTATCTACTGTCATTAATTTATTAAGTATTTTGGTTATATTTGCGCTACACCTTTCCATCTTTTAAAATTTCCTCAGCGCAAAACAATGTTAAAACTTGATTAACTAAAACTTGTAAGCCATCTGGAAATAACAGGGCTTTTATGAATGAATACATTAACAAATGTTTACGGTTTCAAACGTTTTGCATAACAATGATCGAAATTATCGTTTTCATGTCTTGTTCTCTCAAAAAAAGCAATGCCAAATTGACGGCAAAAGCGAAAGTTGTACCCATTATCCCAGTATCTATAATTAAAATAAATTTTCACTTTTTCTCGAAGATAAAATGCCAGAGGTAAATAGACACTAAATTTAATAATCTCTTGTTCGGTGATCTGGCATTCTTTATGAGCTAGTTAGAGTTGGAACTTTGAGGGTTTTCCGAAACCAGATGCCACCAATTACGCATAGGATTTCCAAAATGTTTTTTCCCCAATCAGCTCCGATTTACTTTCACCTGCACTTAAGATAACCGAATTAAAAGCTAAATCTGGGGAATATATATGATCTGTCGCATCTGAAGCGATACCACTGTGCCCCGAGGTTCGTGTGGCTCGGCTTCTTCATCTTCATCTCCAACTCCATCTCCATCTGCGAGTGCGATGTTGTGATCTCTCGGTGGCTCTACCAGGCCACCACATCCACATTTCCTCTGGGGCAGAGTCTCAAAACTGGTTTAATGGCCAATCCAAACGAATTCCAGCACAGCTGGCTCAGAAACGTTCCATTTGCAACTCAGTTGCTTTCCAACCAACGACTAGCCAACGCCAACCGCCGAATTTCAAGAAGAAAGTGATCGGATAGTTAAGACCCTCGATTGATTAACGGTTCTTCAGCATTCGAACAACAGGCTCTGAAAAATGTACCCATGTAAAGGCACTCGGTTTTGAATAGACCGCTGCATCTGGGTCCAAAAATCCAGCTTTGGTATTGCCATTGGCTGTGACTTTGGCTGCATTGCCGCGAGGCGTTCCATTTTTATTTTAAACCACTGACCACCGACCGGATAACAAAGAAAGTGAGATCAAGTCTGCGAGATCGTGGCGAAAGAAAAGAAGCTTCGCATGTGTGTGCGTGTTTAATTCGAAAGAAACTTTTTTGCTTTTGGCCGCGGAACTGACAAATGTCAAATACCAATAGACCGTCGTGGAATTAAGACGCGCCATACGACAGACGCCAAACGGATTTCGACACCTGCTTTTGGCCCCGCAGACAAAAAAATGACGCAAAGTGCCATCAGATTAGCCCCACTTTTGGAGGCTCTAATTCTATTTGTTTTCCTATTCAATCGAGTGCAGTGCGATGAGAACGGTCAGAGGCAGGCGCGAATAATGCAGTTTTTGAGTGAGCCCCAGCCACATTTCAACCACAATCGACCACCACCAGGTCCTGGATTATTACCCCGGCTACGATCGCGATCCGATAACCTACCTCTCCTCTCGGGAAGTCCCAACAAATTCCTGAGATCTCCGCAACCCGCCACAGTTCAACATATCATGCGACGCGAGCAACTCGGCGGCAACTATCCGGCCAACGATCAGCTGAGGAGATATCACTTCGACCAGAATCAGCCCGGAAGATTTGCCCACGTGAAGGACGCTGCTGTCCTGGATGTGGGAAAGAACCAATTCCCACCCCAATACTTCTCCGAGCAGTACATCCAAAACTTTAAGTCCTCGCCCCGTTTCAATGGCAATGTTATAATGAAGGACCAGAAACCAGCCTACGCTCCAATCCAACAGCATGCGATTCCCGTTCAGGCCTCTCAGTATCTGCATTATCCCAAGGTCTTTGGACAGCAGGGCGCTAGTTTTAGTGTGGTTCCCTCGCAGCAAACTGCCCTCCAAAATAATCAATTCCCGCAGGATCTGAATAGCTACTCGGTTTACGAGGAGTCTGAGAATCAGCCAAAGCAAGGGATCAATATTAATCAAGGGGTAAACTATCGCCAGGCAGTGCCACCCGCAAAGGAGTCGAAAGAGGCGCAAGACTACTTGCAGTTCATGAGCACCAATGAGTACTTCCTGCCCAAGAGAGATCCCGACTTCAAGAAGATGGATGCCGAGCGTGATCAGCAAAAGCAGCTGAACCAGTACCCACAGCAATATAATCAGCTGAATCAGCAGCAGCAGCTACAGCAGCAGCAACCGCAGCAACACCAGCAACTGCAGCATCAGCAGCAACCGCAGCAACACCAGCAGCAACCGCAGCAACATCAGCCACAGAAGCAGCATTTTCCCTACAAGACCGGTGGCCTAGACAACTCGGTCTCCTCCAGTTACAATGAACCCATACAAGTCTCCGATTTGTTCTACCAGCAAGATCCCGCCCCTGCAAACTCAGCTGTTGTTCGCGGCAGCTACCAGGCTGGTCAGGATGTCTTTGTGGTGAAGTCCGATGGCAACAAGGCGGTCAAGCATGTGGTCTCCACTCCCATGTCGGTCCAAACATCCACCCAAACCCCGCCAAAGACCCACCATCTTGCCAAGAGCCACAAGAGCTTTACGCCAGAGCCCCTGCGATTCGAGTTCACCGAACAGGATGCCATTAGGGGGTCCATGAAGTACACCCAATCCCCATCCACGCAGGCGAATCAGTACTACTATGAAACGGTGGCCCAAACAGCCCACGAGCCTGCCAAGGCTCCTGGCCCAATCCTCCAGCTCAGCAAGCCCATCAAGGAGTACAGCGACGATCCAGAGGACAGTGCCGATACCGAAACTGGAAAACAGGTGGGTTTGGTTTTTAGTATTTGAATAAAATCGAAAATAAACTAGACAAGTCTATGTTTATCTATAACAAATAAATTGCCTTGATATCATTAAATCCCTATTAATGATTTCGAAACGGCAATACAGAATACAATACTATCAAAGAAAAATGATATAGTCGTTGTATTTTATTTTATTTAAAAAAAAATAAACAACAAAATAAAAAAAATTTTAAGATAACATAAATAATTAACGTACAGTTTTAAAGGAAATATATGTTAATTTTTATACAGAAATTATTCGGTATTCAAGATAAAATTAATATAGTTGAACAAAATCATAAATAACGTCCTTGATTTTTCGAACAGAATTATCTCATTTTTATAAAAAAAACACAGTACTACCTATTTTCTTATAAATAAAAAACATTTTTATGGATTTCAGGAGGAGGATCCGAAGGTGCCAACCGGGACAAGTCCTGCAACTCCGGATAATCCAAAGGACACGGAAAGTTACTGTGAGAAAGTCTGCGCCAATGTGTATGATGAGAACGATGAAATAATTTGTGGATCCGATGGGTACATGTACACCGGAGAAACTCAACTACAGTGTTATTCGACCTGTCTTAATATAAGTAAGATCTTGTAAAGCTTTTTTATATATTTATTATATTAACCATTCCGTTTTTATTTTTAGGTGTGACGATTAAAAGTAAAGGATCGTGCTCATAAAATAAATTTAAAAATAAAAAATTATTTATTCTAATTTAATTTATTCTAATGATTACAATGTTTGCAGCCCATTGAGTTAGTCTATAATTATGCAAGGTTTCTGATACTTGCAGTGGTAATATGTAGGGTTTTGTAAAAAGTGATTTCGATTTTACGACATAAAAAACTATCGTGCACTTTTAGCTTTCCTATTTAATTAACAATTAAAGAGTGATTTAAATAAAATCATTTTTAAACTATTAGTGCATGAGTATAGAAATTCCATATATATACTATATTCTCAAAAAACATTCAGAGAAATAAGAAATAGTTAACAAAATAAAAACTTTATAAATGTTTTTTTAAATTGCTATGGGGAATATAAAACTTTCTTTGGGACTCCTAGTGATATTGAATATGGCCTTTAACCTTTACTCTGAGCAAAAATAGAAAATAGAAAACCCTTTACATCGGTATACAAATCCATGTTGCTTACACTAGTTATTGATTTCTGGTTACTGTAGTTTTAAATACAGCATTTTATTATTTTTTCAAATTTTATTTTTTTTTTTTTTTTAGCAAATTTTAAAATTGATTTAAACACTAACGGATTACTAATTTACGGACAGTTAACATATCTGTTAAGTGTCGTCATGTATATCAGGCATACTGACATCCGCAAACAAGGTGGCAGCACCGCCGATAACACTTGTGTAACAATAACGCACTATCGATATATCACGAACACAATACTTTGATTTTTCGTTGTGAAAGTAAAGGGAATTTAAAGCGAAATACTTTGATTTTTCGTTGACTCTCGCCCGCGTCCAATGCAATTTACCCCCCTTGAGGCGGCGACAGATTCCCCCGGAAGCCTGGCAAATCCGCTGTGTTGTAATATGAAAACTTGCTAACTCGAATTACCTTTGAACACCACAATCACAAATTGAAAACCTCGATGCGAACGGTCGGACAGTCGCAGTGCGAGCCCTAGTCCCCATCCCGATCCCGTCGAGCGGAGGACTTCCGAAGAAGCGGAGCGGTGCGGAACCATGACATCATAGCCGTTGCATATGCTTCCTGCCCCGAATCAAATGTACATAAATATGTATGTATAGCCAGCGTACCGCACATACGCACATATCCCTCGCGACAGAACAGAACAAAACGAAGAGCAGAGCAAGTGACGAACGTAGTGCAATCGAAACTAGTGATTCATGGAAAGCGTACACCGCGGCCTCCAGGAGACGGCGGTGCTTCCAGCCAGCTGTAAGCGATATTTAAGACGGCGGCACCCAGCAACAAACAAAAGTGGGTGGAACGGTCACCCCACCTGCCTCTGCCTCTGTCCGTACCCGTGCCTCTGCCACCCCCTCCGCTGAAAGCAGGCCGGTTTCCCCAAGCACTGGCGGAATTTAACCTTGGATCCCATACCCTCCAGTTCTGATCCGCCCCCTTATCCCCTCTCGTTCCAGATTAAACGTGGTGGTCTGCTGCTGAAAATCTTGCAAAATTGGACAAACCCTCTGCGACTTTGTACGACAACAAGAGGTCGTACCTGCGAACCGTGCTCGGAAGGGAAGCGCCATCAGCGAAGATGGTACTACCTCCTGCACCACGCAACCTCAAAGGTAGGTTTAAATCATATAGAGATTTCGTACTACCATAAATGGGGTGAATCTCGAGCTATTTCGATGGCGTATGAAAGTTCAAGTTTCGAACGTCCTGCAAAAAAGCGATTTCAAGTTTTTAATTAGGTGTCACAGAAATTATATATTAATTAATTGAAAAGGTGGTTTAAGTATTACTTCTTGACTTCTAACCAAATTAAAAACATCTGAGGGTTCCAAGCTTAAAGTGTCTTCCTAGGCCAATTCGTGTGGCATATATACGTTAAAATTACCAAAAAAAAAATTAAATTTTTCCAAGTCATCGCCAAGGTAAGTTTGCAAACATATATTGCTTCTTTAGTAACATAAACAAAGTAAATATCTGTATTTCAAGCTTATTCGGAAGTGTCACAGAACCCAAACTAACTACATTAAAATTTTCCTTTAATTAATTTCAAAACATTTTGGTGGAAGTCTTTAAGGCCAATTATTCCAACATATATGCATATGTACAGGATAAAAAATTCGAGAAATTTGTGTTTTTAAATTGTAATTATTACAATTAATAATAAAAGCTATCGCTTTGAGCCTTTAGCATATCGAAGCCGGTAAAAAAAAACTCGTAAGATGAAACCGCCTTATTACTAATATTGATTGTTTATAAACAGTTGAAGGAAATTTACCGAGAATTATCGCGCACTTGCCTTAAGTATTTACCAGTACAAAAATCTAATCAACTTTTACATCCGTTGTTCTTTTAGGAATACCTCCATTTCTAGCGAGGAGCAAATTGTGCAGGGAGCTAATATACAAAAGTCGGGACACCGTTCGCTTAATAGGTCTGCCTCCTCTAGGCAAAAGCCGAACCCGACATCAAAACTAAAAGACACACTGAGCAGAAAGCCCAATCGAAAGCAGGACGCACTTTCTGCACACACGAGCACCAGTAGCACCACATCGATCCAATCATCACCCATCGAGCCAGCTTCTTCTCTGCCCACGCTGCACACCACGCATACACCACCGGCTTCCAGCAAAAGTAACCTTTTTGTGCGTGTCCTGCGACGCTTTTCCAGTAACTCCCTTTCCGGTAAGACGACGGTGAGCCCAAAAATCGAAGTCAACGTACCGAAAGTCAACGATAACAACAACGGCGCTCTAAAGGAACAGCAAACAACCGATGTAGAGGTGCTTTGCTCTCTAGACAACCAGCGCAGAGAACACAATGAGGACAAAATGGACGTCAAAACAGAGCCTGCAGATGCCAAGAGCCACCAGAAAGCTGGTCTAGCTTCGGGCAATTCAAAAAAAGACAAGTCGGCTAAAAATACGTCGCAAGCGGTAGTCTCAGACACCAAGAAAATGGAGGCCAGGAAGTCCTCCTCAGACACGGTGATTGAGCCGCTGATTAAGCAGCAGGCGCCGCTGCACTCGTCCAAGACCACGCCCACGACCCTGACTGCAAACTTCGTGCAAAACATTCGATTTGTGCGCAAAAATGTGGAGCAGTCGGGCAGAAACACCAATCCGCTGCAGTTCGTTGAGCTCGAGACGGAGTTTCCGCGCGACTATGATGACAACATCGAGATGCTGTCCCGCGAGGCGGAGCACCTGGAGGAGCAGTTCCGCACGCCTACCCGTTCGAATGCCACGGATGCCACCGCCCATCAGGTGGCCGGCATCATCGACAACATTATTACCGAAGCGTCACGGAGTCTTACAATCGAAAAGACTGAAGACGATGTGCCATTGAAGTCCTCCACCAAGCACTCCAGCGGCGTCAAGCGCGTTGGCTTTCAGGTCGAGGAGAAGGACGAAACAGAAATCCAGAGCGAAAAGCAGCCAAAGAGCATCGACGATATAGCCAAGAAGTCGGAGAGCGCCGAGGTTAGCGTAGAGGAAGCAACTATCACCGGGTTCTCCACGGATGCATCCGCATCCCTGCTGCCCTCCACGACGACGGTGTCCACCACCTCGTCGGCCACATCGATCACCAAGAGCAAGAGCGATGAGGACGATGACCCAGTGGCCATGTCCCCGTGCGGACGTTTCTTTAAGTACGACAAGGAGGTCGGACGCGGTTCCTTTAAAACGGTCTATCGTGGCCTGGACACGTTGACGGGTGTTCCAGTTGCCTGGTGCGAATTACTGGTGAGTTGGAAAATGAATTAGGCAATCCTTTAAATAATATATATAATTCTAATTATTATTAATTCTTGTAAAATCTTTTTTTAAATGTATTTGGGTCGACATAATTTAAATAAGCATAGTAAACTTGATTATTTTTGAAGGTTCCTATATCTTTATTTTTATAGGACAAGCAAGTGAAGAAAAGTGAACGCACCAGATTCCGGGAGGAGGCAGATATGCTGAAAAAACTTCAGCACCCAAACATTGTGCGGTTCTATACGTATTGGGAGTTTCCCATTGGCCGCAAGAAGAATATAGTACTAGTCACCGAACTAATGTTATCTGGAACTTTGAAATCGTAAGAGTATATATGGCTTTAGTTTGCATTGTTCGGAAATACAACCTCTTATTAACTTACAGCTATTTGAAACGATTCAAGAAAATACACCCAAAGGTATTGAAGTCATGGTGTCGTCAGATCCTGAAAGGCCTCAACTTCCTGCATACTCGTCAATTTCCTATAATTCATCGTGATTTGAAATGTGATAATATTTTTATAACTGGCACCACTGGTAGTGTTAAAATCGGCGACTTGGGCCTGGCAACGTTGAAAAACCGCTCCCACGCGAAATCTGTGATTGGTACGCCGGAGTTCATGGCCCCGGAAATGTACGAGGAGCATTATGACGAGTCAGTGGACGTATATGCCTTCGGCATGTGTATGTTGGAGATGGCCATCTCCGAATATCCATATAGTGAGTGCAAGGGTCCGGCTCAGATCTACAAGAAGGTGATCTCGGGCATTAAACCAGCAGCGCTGGCCAAGGTGGAGGATCCCAACGTGCGCGACATCATCGAACGGTGCATTGAACTAAAGAAGGAGGATCGGCCCAGCTGCAATGAGCTTCTGGAATCGGAGTTCTTCGACGAGGACATCGGCATACGCGTGGAGCCCACTGCTTCGGAACAGTTCCTTTCGGATCCTAGCATCAGCATCATTGAGTTTCGGTTGCGTTTTATGGACCCCAAGAAGCGCTCGTCCCGCCATAAGGAAAATGAGGCGATCCAGTTTGAGTACAACATCCAGCACGACGAGTATGAGCAGATTGCGCAGGAAATGATGAAAGAAAATATTATATCGGAGGATGATTCTCGCGCAGTTGCTCGACTTTTGAAGGTGCAAGTTGTGTCGTTGCTTAAGGAACGTGCCCAGCGTCAAACTCAGATAAAGCTGCAGAACGAGAAGTCGCGTCTGGAAAAACTAGCGTTGCAAAAGCAACGCGAGAGTTTGCCGACCAACGTCGATGAAGATGAGGAAGAAGAGGAGGAGTCCGAAGACGAGGAGGATGGCGTAAAATGGAATCAGCGCCTGCAGCTCAAATATGATCTACTAAACACTGATTCGGAAACTAGCCTGGCTCTCTCCACGAACAGCGTCGAGCCGCAGCAACTGCCAATACGCTCGAATACGTCTATCCCGAACAGTGGCATCCAGCAGTCTGTTCAGGTCCCAGCTCCTGTGGCCGTTACCCAGTTGATCTCGGTGCAGCCGCAGGCTATTGCCTCACCGGCCATTCCCATGCAACAGAAGCCAACCGTGCACTACATCCAACCGCCTCAGCTGGCCTCATATCAAAACTCGAACCCGACGATGCAGGAGATGACCAACAACCAGGTCATCTCACCGACGGGCAGTCAGCAGATGCAACAGCAGCAACCCATTGCTGTACCAACCGTCAATCATCAGATGGTGCCGCAACAGCAAGTCAATCAACAGCAGCAGCAGCCACAAATGATGCAGCAAATGCCCCAGCAAGTTCAAGTGCAGCAAGTGGCCCCGCAACAACAACAACAAACTGTTTTGCCAACGCAACAACAGCCACAAACTGTTTTGCCCCCACAACAACACGAGCAGCAACCACAACAGCAACAACAACCACTTGCAGATCAACAAAAGAGCCACCAGATTCCCTTGCAGCAGCAACTGCAGCAGCTAATGCAGACCAACGTGCAAACACCGGACCTGGCACAGCAGCAGCAAATGGCTCAACAGCAGGCCCAGCAATATTTTCAGCAGCAGCAGCCACAGGTGCCGGTTTCCATGCATCCCAATCAACTTGCACAGCAACAGCAGGCTTACGCGATGCAGCAGGCAGGCCAGCAGCAACAGATATCGCAGCCACTTCAAATTCAGCAACAGATCTTACAGCAGCAGCAACAACAGGCGGCGGTTTCGCACCAACAGCAGATATTGCAGCAGCAACTGGCCCAACATCAGCTACAGCAACTCCAGCAGCAGCAGCTTCAACAGCAGCAACTTCAACAACAGCAGCAACACCAAATCCAACAGCAGCAGCAACAGCAAATCCAACAGCAGCAGCAACAGCAAATCCAACAGCAACAGCAAATCCAACAACAGCAACTCCAGCAGCAGCAACAATTCGTGCAACAATACGGGCAGGTTATGCCTCAACAGCAAATAATATCAGGATCGCAGGTGATTGCATCGCAGCAAATTCAGCAACCTATGCAGATCCCAGTTCAGATGCAAGTGCCACCAACTTCAGTAGCCCCTGCAATGCAGCAATCATTGCCGCAGTCGTACAGCCAGCAGCCTCCGCAAGTGCCACTTGGTGATCCGCAACAGCAGCAGCATACGGGATTTTCGGCCGTACAACCACAGCAACAACTATTTGTGCCACAACCCACACAGCAACCCATCCAGTTGTCCATGCCTTTGGAGCAGCAATTGCAACAGCTCCTGCACAGCCAGCCGCCCCAGCAGCAACAACCACAGCAACCGATAAACCAGCAGCAGCACCAACCCTTGATCCAGCATCAGCAGCCTTTGGTCCAACAGCAACCACAACCGCAGCCACAACTGGCTCCCGTGGTTCAGCAGCAACAGCCCCAACAACAGCAGCAACAGCCCCAACAACAGCAGCCTCAACCAGAACAACACACACAGATTTCTTCGCAAGTCCCTATCCAACAGGATAATCCGCAGCCAATCCAGGTTCACCAAGAACTCACTGTTGCATCGGAAAGTGTGCCTGTTAATAGCGCCCAAACAAATCTCGAAGGTCCACCCAAAGCAGAAACTCAGACATCTGTAGATGCGGAAAAGCAGCAGAAACAACAAGGCACAGCAACACGTTCCCAGAAACCAAGGCGTTCCAACCGGAGCGGCAACGATAGAATTCCCAAACTAAGTGTTACCAGTGTGGACGAGGGCAGCGTCATAAATTGCCACATGGAAAACAAACTCAAAACGATTACATTCAAATTCGACATAGGAGATGTAAATCCAGTTGAAATTGCCAATAAATTGGTAAGACAATTTCTTGATTTAAGCAACACTCAATCTCAATCACAAACTATTTTGCTTTTCAGATCGCCCAAGATTTGCTTTCTAATTGCCAAAGTACAGTTTTTGTGGAAATGATCAATGAAATTGTTGACCAAGTCAAACAGAATCCCAATCAAATCCCTATACCGACTAATTATCGCCGCAATATAGAAAAGGTACATCGCTATTCCAAAATTATTTCCACAGAAATTTCTTTCTTACTCAATGAAGACTATTCTTACAAGACCTTAGGGTTCTTAAAACGCAGAAATGGATACTGTTTGTTGGATGAACAAACACTAATGAATAAAATGATTCACCGATCTCGTGAGAGAATTAACGATCTTTATATTGAATAGCAGAATATTTAATGACCTACTTTCGTATGTCCTAATTGGTGAACAATTTTCACAACCCATTTTTACCCCGATCGAAATTAGTTTAAGTAGTCCAATCTTTTAGCAAAAATTAAATTGTTCACCAAGCATCAAGAATAATTTTTCACAAATATAAATATATTTGTTCATTTCTGAGATATGCTTTTAATGACGATAAGAAATTTCCATTGAGCTTTCACCGCTAATTGATTCAGCCTTCTTCCTTTTCCTCGGAAAAATCTCGACCGATTTTAAGAAAATGATGCAAAAACGATTTCGTAAAATACTTAACTAAGCGATTTTAATATCCATATCACAAAATCCATGTTTTTTGATTGTCTATCCCTACTATAACAAAGCAGGTCCGACACGCGTCTCTAACTCGACAGCGTTCCACGTTTAGGTCACACCAAAGACATAGATCTGTAAGTGTTGAGCGCACTGGGCTTATGTAAACACTTATTTTTTTCCTAGCTAAACTGTTTCTTTACTTATGAGGATTTTCCTTTTATTCTTAGACTATTTCAGAAAATTACTTATATTGAAGATTTTATTATAATTTAATTTATAGTCAAAGTTAGTTTTAATGATTTAATGCCACATCTATTTTCTTAAAAAACCCAACTGAATTTCCGTGTCCGTTTTTTTTAATCAGTTTACGAAGTTTATTCGTGCAGTTATAAGCTATCAACATATAACTTTCTAAACTTTATTTTTTATGAGTAAACGACCATGTTAAAAAATCTTGCTGATCGGCGACCGTATTCTTTAGCTGTTATAGGAGCGGGTAAAATTAGCAAAATTTTGCTGATTTCGACGAAGTATTATGCGTATGTTTTTTGTTTTTTTTTCGAATTCATCCCTTGAGTTGAATATATACGATATGTGTCATATGTATATTTGCGCAGTGTACGCTGTCATCCATTTTCAATATGAATACAGCGGTATTCAAAACTTCGGATTGACGAAGTTAGCTTCTGTTCTTGTCCCATTTTGCAAAACCAAATGTATATATTTGTTTGTTTTCTATCTTGAAAGAGATCCCAACAAGATGTCAGCAAATAAAGCTAACGAACTGCTGTTGGTTTTGGAAATATCTTTCATTTTTATCAACTCCTTTGATATTAACTGTATGCCAAGAAGCCAAATATTAGGACGAACTTCTCTATATCTTATTTTTAAAAGCTTTTATATATAATCCTTTTATAATAAAAAGTGGACCTAATTTATTTTCTTACTTATTTTAATTTCACTTTTTATACATTTTTATTTGAAATAATAATGTATACGCACTGGTAAATTTGATTGATTACTTCAACTCACGTGTAACTAACTTATTCTAGCGGGATGAAACCGCCAGCGACATTACAAAGATGTTTGAACCCACTATCCATGGTGTTGAAACTCTGCCTTCCGGCGGAGGAGGCGCTGAGCCATTGAACCCCAATTTAACTTTCGAAGCTAGGTCCAACTTATCGAATCCGCAAGAGCCGCAGTTGAATGTTGGAACTCCACCCACAACCACTTCGACCATGTCTTCCTCATCAACCGCATCGAGGGATGCGCCTAATAGCAGCAATGACGTGACCATCGGATCTGGATCCGTATCTCGCAAGACAAGCACAGCCTCGGAATACACTTCGCTGTCTATTGACTATATGCCCGACAGCAACATAACTCCAACTGGTCCGGAACCACCTTTCGACGATGGCAAGGACAAGTCACTGAATGTGCATCAAAAGCCTTGCTCCCTTGCTATCGCCAGAATGCAAAAGCTTTTGGAGTCGGCCGGCGGAGGGGCTCCTCGGAGCCTGAATCTGCCCTTGAATCGTAACATACAGGAGATTCAGGAGGACTTGAAGCATACTAGAAGCCTCGACGACTTGACCGCTGTAAAAATAACCTTTGACATGCCTAATAAAGCCGCATCGGAGCCTTCGGATGACCCTCAGCCATCCAATGCGGTAGAAGCAGATAAGTCGAAAGATAAATCCGCCCAGGCAGTGGGAGCCCAGGGAACCGGCGCGGCCAACACTCTGGAGCAGTTAAAGATAGAACTGGAGAATATAACTCACGCCCACGCTTTTGCCTCCGCTGTAGTGGCCTCCATCAATAACAGAGCTCCTCACCAGGCCTCCCCTGCCATGTCTTCACTCAAGGCTACTTCTGGACAACCTCAAGAGGTAAGCATGCTACCTTTTTTAGTATTTAATATTGCTGAGATAAAATCTTAAAAAGTCTGATTTTGTTATTGGTTTTTTACTACAACAAAATTAGTAATTTTAACTTAACGAGACCTTGATTTTTTTGTCATTTAAAAATATTTGTAAAAATATTTGATATATTAAATATATAATTTTTACTAATCTTAGATAAACAAGTCAAATAACGGAGGAGGAGCATCCGCACCCTCAGTGGGTCAGAATACTCCCACTGCAGCTTTGACATCCGCCAGGGGCTCTGGTTCCTCCGTCTACAATTCACGGCGCACTTCCATCGACAACAGCATGGGCTCTGATGTGCACTTGCACACTGCCACTAATCTTGAAGGGACGATCAGTAATTCGGATCTTACTCCAACTGAAGCATCAGTTGCAATTACCATAGGCACGGGCCACGAGAAGCAACTGTCTAAGCAGCCTAGCTTGGAAAAACCATCGACCACATCCATTTCGACCAACAACAGTGAACCGCCGCAAAGAAATCCCAGTAATGGATCACTTAATCAGAACTCAATAGCAGATTTGGAAAAGAAATTGGCGGCTTTGCGAAATACCGAAAACGCAGAAGAGGTAAGATTCAAGAAAGCAGACCTGTCTTATCTTTATCCAAAAATGTACTTATTTCAAACTTTTTCCGTTTACAGTCTGGTCCGGCCACATTGTCGGTTGTACCTAAGCAAATTGAAGAGGTCGTGAATCCGAGTGCCCGTAAAATTTCGCGGTTCAGTGTCAGTCGTGTGCAAGAGCAGAAAAATTCAACCGGTGTGGAGGAACCTGCACAAGGGCAATTGAAAATCGACCTACAAGTGGCAGGCGCTGGAGGCCAGGTGCAGACCAACAATTCAGTGCCGAACGGCAGTGTCGTCAATACTCCAACCGAAGTCATCAGCTCGCCCATTCAAAATGTTCCGCTGGCCATTAACGGAATACAGTTGATTTATCAACAGCCTCAGCAGATCCACCAGTTGCCTGGTGGAGCCTCCACTTCTACGAGTGCAACAGGAAGTCAGTGCATTGTGGTTCCCCAAGTAATTAATCAGAATGGGACCCACATACAACAAATGTCTAATCTACAACAACAACAGCAGCAGCTTGTGCATCCCAATATGCCACAACAGCCTCAGCAGACGCCACTCAATGGGCATCCACCCATGGTCAACAGTCTCCAGCAGCAGCCACCACAACAATCCATGCCGATGCAGTCGATGCAGCCGCAGCAGCAGAATCAAATGCCTCTAATGTCGCAACAACAGCAGCAGATCCTGATGCAGCAGCAACAACAGCAGGGATCCCAGCAGGGATCGCAGCAATTTAACTTGTCTGGGACACAGCAGACTCATCCCCAGCATCAATTCATTCAGACGCAGCCCAACCAACTTCACTCGCTTCCGCCCCAAGTGGTGAGCATGGCCCAGGCAATACCGCATCAGCTTCCTCCTATGCAGACTATGTCGGCTCAGCAGCAAATGATCTCGCAACAACAGCATCAGATGCAAATGCAATCACACATGCAGCAACAAAGTGTGCCGGGAATGTACGGCCAGCAGACTGGAGCTCGTGTGGCTGCGCCACAAAACTTCCAAGGCGCTGTCCCTAATCATTTGTTGCAACAGTCACCTCTGATGGCATCCCAGCAGCCTGCACAGCCCATGCAACACGTTATGCAACCGATTTTTAACGCATCGTCTGGTGAAGGTAAGCAATATGTAAAGCTAATTATTCTTATAATCAACGTTCGCAAGCCGATAACTTCTATAGCAACAATTTTTGTTGATTATACTATGTCATTAATTTTCTTATTAATGTATTATCCATGCAGTTGCCGAAGAGCCAGTGTCTTTAGCAGCTACGCATCCACACTTATTACCAAGCGATATACAATCCGTAAGATTTATCCATATATTATTTAATTATTTGGGGTTTTCTAGAATCTTTGTTTTCTGCAGGATATAAAGCACAATTTAGACTCGTTGGTCAACCAGTTGTGCAACACGCGCTTGGGCACTAACCAGCACCAACGCCTGTTGTTGTTGCGTCAGAGACAACTCATCGAAGAGGACGAGCTGCGTCTTAAGCATTATGTGGAATACGAAAAGTTTCAAAAGGCACTGCGCCAATGTAGGTTATTTTGATCATGTTAGAAAATAACAAATTAAACTTTTATGATTTTTTCAGCTATTAGCACAAACGTTCCAGCGACTGCAGCTTACTATTCTACAGCTGCCGCACAGCTTCCAACTAATTTGGCAGCTCAAGCAGCACCGTCCTCATCGAATCCGACATCCACTAGCTCCGCAAACACATAACTGCGCTAACTGTTTTGCTTCATGCACCTTTGACAAGCCATACTAACAGCTCTACTCTATGTTCTCGGCAATATAATTGGCTCGAGTGTGAGGACGTGGATCTGGAGGTAGATTTTAAGTAAAAAGTTGTCGAATGTTACGGGGTTGTCTGTAAATATTAGTCAAACGCTTCTTGTTGATATGCCATTGTTTTAAACTTTTCTTTCTGTTTCACTTTTAATTTAAAATTCCTAATTTCCAATTCTTGGCTTTCGTTTATTTGTTTAAAATAAATATTAAATTTTTGTATGAACTTTTAAAGCAAATTGTACATTTTATTAGTAAAAAAAACTGTAAATAAACATTTCGATAATGTAATAATATAACAATGCATATAGGAATATTATATATTAGTCATCATTTATTCAAAGTGATGTATACATACTGCGTAGTTACTAAATAAATAACTTATTACCGAAATGTTTTCTATTATTTCCTTTACAATGATTATGTTTCATATACCACCAGATTTTGAAATCTTTTATCGAAAAAAATGAAGATTTCCAAGGGTATTATTAAAACTAATTAAATTAGTTTCAAAATACACTGCGTCACCAACTTCTGAACTCGTAAAGTTTTTTTTACTCTTAAAACAAAAATGTATTTAAACAAAGATATTTGTTGCATTGAAAAATTCGATCCAGATATAAAGAACGAAGTCATTTGCGACTGCATACTTATCTTTATCACCAGGTAAGTCGATATACAAATTTCAGTTCGATTGTACCTAAACAAGATTTAATACGGTCATATATGGGTAGAATAAAAATTTCCCCGACTTAATAGATAAGGGGATATAATGGCCCCGTACATTTCATAGTGGACCGCGCCTCAAAATATGCTTCAAACTTTAACCATTGACACAGTATCACCTGCTAAAGATGGAGTCCTTTCAGCTACAGAATTTTACAAAAGTACTTTTTAAAAAAAAACCCAATAGTTTTTTGATTAATGAATAAAAAACAAACTTCTGAATAACAATCATATGTATTTAGTTGAACACTTTTAGCATTAAGTGTAAATTTACTTTATTACAAGTTTCAATCTTTTTTTAAGACACTCGGTTGATTGGGAATGCTTGGCCAAAAGTCAAGGTTAACATCATACTTTTGCACGTACTAAATTTACAAATATGTTGTTTCTCTATGATTTTCTATAACGGGTTTGTCGAAAGATTAATCTCTCCTACAATTTACTTTATGCTTCGAACATTAAGTTGAAATTAATAATACAGAATGCAAGAGCATCCAGGGTAAAGAAACAATAACAAAACATGTGAAATGAATACATTATGATTAGACGGCGACATCCATAGTGTTTTTGATTTCATTGCCCCACTCGCGGGCCATGATCATGATCTCGTTCATGCTTAGTTTGGGTCCGATCAGCGGGTTCAGCTGCGTCATGTAACAGCACAGCCAGCTGCAATGGAAAACGTCATAGATAAGTCTCAGGATTATGTTAATTAATCCACCCAACCAGAAAGTTAATTAGTACTTACAATAGCCAGCACGTTGCTGCGGTGAGCATCAGGCAGCATTGAGTCACCCTGAAAAAATCAAATTAGTTAGTGGCCGTTTCCTTAAAGTTAAGTAAACACCTTACCCCCTATTGGGACCTCGGGCGAAAAAGGGGCAGATAATGCCAATAAAGGCCCAAATGCTGGTGATGACGATCGGGGGCACCCACTCGGAAACCATTTTGCAGGCTAAAAGGATCGACACGAAGTGTTTTAGGGCAAAATAAAAAATAAAAAGTGGACAACGCGATCACGAAACTTTTTCTCGAGCAACGAATATCACATGACGGACATGGAACATGGGACAATGCATCAGTGGGACCCTCGGCGCCTATCGTTGATATCCAAAGACTTAAAATGGTCACCCTGAAACGCCCTGGTGAATTTTTTCCACTGCGTTTCGCGTTTTCTTCAATTTAAATTGTGTGACTTTTTGTTTAATTTGGCTGCAAATTATTATTTTGTATCATCAAAAAAACTATACTTACATTCTCAGAAGAATATTTAATTTTTGATCCCTTAAATTTTCGAAGTGCGAAACAATATGATCTGTTTGTACACATTCTGTAGACTAACAATATAACTAAATATAACTAAATACAAATTTCCAATAACGAGTATTTGTATTTTTTATTCATAAAAATCATAAACGGTTCCTGCTCAATATCGAATAAAATATTTTTAACTTTCAGAACCTTCTTTTTCTTTTATTTATCTTTGTACTTTTATTATGATATTCGAAAACTAAAAATAAGTGAAAAAACTTTACTTTCAGAAAGTTATAACTTAAGCAAATATAAAGCATAGGGAAAACCCTAATTTGTACTAAACAACAGCGATTGCTTTTCGTGTCACGGTGAAAATCGCGGGACTATTACCATCTCTAGTGAATGTCAAATCGTTAAGAAGAAGCATTCTAACCTTACAGCATTAATTTTCGCCTACGAATTTTCCGAAGAAGATTGTGAAAATGTTCCAAAACAGTGCTGCCCGCCTCCTGGTCCCTACTATCCGTAGCGCCATGCAGAGCCGTTGCCAGTCGGTGGTTTCCGGACCCCCAACCCAGCACGTCTCCACCGCCGTAAGTTTTTGCTGGTTGCATAACGAGGATGTCTCCGAAACCCACATTCCTCCCAATTACCAAATACTAAAATCCAATTTTGTTTTGCAGGAGAAGGTGATCCTGGGTGGCGGCTTTTGCGCTGCTTCCTTGTTCATCCCCGCCTGGGTGCTCTACCACATCCGGGACTACAAGGGCGAAAAGTAATCTGCATTCGTCACCCCACATAGTTAATACCAATGTAAAGTAAAGAGTGTCAATACGTAAATAGGGCCCTTGAGATAGGGAAATAAACTATAATGGATTGAAACACAAATTAATTACGTTATTATTGTGTTATGTTGTGCTTTACCTTGTCTATTAAGTGTCTAGATCAGCAACTAGTCATGATGCAAAAACTATAGAAACTATAAAAACAATAGGTAAAAAGCCAGCTTCCTAGTTCACCTGCTTTTCGATTTTTTCTTCTATCCATTTAACTTTGGGTCAACCTTTTTTGACCAATTGTGATAGTTATAAAATTACATCGATAAATATTCCCTCGAAAGTTATTAAATCGATAATAATTGTCCAGAAGCTAACCCCATGTCTATATCAAATCTAAATGCATTAGATAAAATACTTTCGGCGAGTCAGACTCAATTTTTGCATTATATCCGAAGTCGACAAATTAATTTAGTCAGTGGCATTTCATGTGTATTTGTTTATATATTTTCACTTGAAGCATAATTTTAAAGGGGCTACAAATGATTTTAATGGGCATACAAATGCTTTAAACGAGCTTATAAGATATAATCATAGATGCGTTTTACTTTTTCTGCGAGTCCTTGCCGTCGCCCTTTTTGTCCTTGTCCTTGTTCAGCGAACCGACAGCGTCGCGTACTGCCTCCGACTGGGGATCAACCCCGGGCAGGTTCTCCAGCACGCTCTGCAAGAAGGCCGGATCCCCGATCACCTCCGAATAGTCCTCGTCCACGTCCATGGGGGCATTGGCCTCGTCCGTCTTTGGGCGCTTCGCTTGCTGGGTGACCGTGTCGTCGGGTGCATCCTGCATGGACATCTGCATGGCGAAGGCGATCTGTTCCTCCTCAGTCATGTTGGCAAAGTCCGGCAAGTTGTCCTCGGGTGTTTCAGTAGACAGGGCCAAAGCGCGCTGCAGCATGGCCTCCTCGGTGTTGGCCTCGTTGTCGGCTCCTGCACTTTCGACATTGCCAGGTCCTGAGCCTGAGCCACCGCCTCCGCCGCCAGCATCGCCTCCAGTCGGTGCTGTTCCATCAGGGTTGGCGCGCCGCTGCTCGCTTTCCTGGCGCTGGCGCTGCTCCTCCATGGACACACGCAAGGCTAGAGCCAGTTCCGGGTCCTCGTTGGGATCTACACCAAATTCAAAAACGTTGCCGCCCAGTCCAGCTCCGCCCAAGCCATCCTCGCCCTGGATGATAGGTGACGAGAGCAAAGCATCCGACAGGGCGGATCCCCGTGGCACACTGACCAAATGGGAGCCAGTGCCGTCCTTTCCGTTCAGCGCGTTGATGAATGCGGTAAGCGTCTCGTTGTTGTTGCCATGATCGCCAAAGCTGACAATATCCACGTTGACCTTCTCCTTCTTAAGGCGCTTGGCCTGCTTTACCAAATCCCCTTCCTCGTGATTGATGGGCGATCCCACAAAGACCACAATGCGCATCTTGTGGTTCTTTCCCTGGCGATGCTTCAGCACCAAGTGGGCAATGCGGATTCCTGTCAAGAGGTTTATTTCGCCTTTTGGCTGGATGAGATGCATCTTCGAAAAGATCCGGCCCACATCGCTGGTAAGCGTGGCCAGCACTTCCACGGTGCTGGTGAATAATTAATGGTAACCATGAGTATAAGGGCGAGTTACGGAAGCTCCATACTTACTTGGACAATGTCATCAGGCCGACATTGTTCTCAGGATTGGACCGCAGTTTGGTGAGACAGACAAGATTGATGCCATCTTTCTGGACGTTCAGACGGGTGGGAAAATAGTCTCCATTGCGCTGGTAGTCGCTGTTATCAAAGCTGTGAAAACACGAATTATGAGTACCTGGAAGTGCGCCATCAAGTACAATACGACAAAACTAGCAAAATAGCTTTGTGTTGGCTAAAAACCAATCATTTACCATATCATAGTACTCTCCAGAACCATTTTCGTATTTTTGCTTGTCACTTTGCCACTGAACTGTAATTTCCCAGGGCTGCCAGGCGTTTGTTCGTATTTCGTCCGTATTAATATGCTAGATCTGTATGACCGTTTTCCGGGATTTTCGTTCCATTCCATTCTATTTCAAAAATGTATCCTTAAATTTAAAATCAAATAAACTTCCTAACATTTACTCTTTTGTTTTTTTTATTTTTTGTGCAATAGTGCGTTAAATATAAAATTCAGCAATGTACTTATGATGGTCTTTTCTTTTAAAGATTTAGTAATCTGAAAAAGTTTTTATAGATTAAAGCAATAACAGAAACAACATCGTTAAAATTAAGAAAATAAGGTATATTATTTCGGCAATGAAGATTACACTAAAGCCAATCATTAGGCTCATTATGCCACCGGTTAAAGCTGGAAAAGGCAAAAAATATATGAGTAAGCACATTATTTCAAAACTCAAAAACATAAAAGATATCATACCCATATATTCAGTTGGTCCCGTATAAGAGGTCCTCACGTTGCTTCTAAAATAGTTTTCGGTGTGAAAGAAGTTTACGACCGCCAAGTTATTTCTAATGTAATCACTTGAAAAATTCTTCAAGTAACTGCCCTGGGCTTTAACGTCTTTTTGGCTAAATGGTGTGGTAAAAGCATCGGGAAAGAAAATTAAATCGTGGCAGCTGGTCAGGCAAAGCTCCTTGCACTGAGAACTCTTTACGTCGAAAATCTGTAACTCGGCACTGTTCAGACATTCAAAGTGCACCACATCGCACATTGTAGCGTTTGGATACACAAGTGGTAAATAATAAGGAATACAATTGCAGTGTCTTAGAAAATACAAGGAGTCGCACTCTGCTTCGCAATTTCTACGCGTATAATAGCGATAAAAAAGCAGTTCTTGTTCGTCACTAAAAATGCATTGCCGCTTCGTCCTATGAATTTTCCTAATGTTAGGTAGCGCCTCAAAACTCCTAGCTATGATGCGAAAACTTGTCTGATGGCCAATCATCACTGGTAATCCAGACTCCTTCATGCGAGGCTGGTCAATCGGATTATATAGGAGTACCTAACAAATTGAATTGGAATTAGTTCACCAGAAACGATACAAAGTCACTTACTTTGAATCCCTGTCCATTTGTCGAAGAGCAAAAGTAATCGTTAACGTGGCCGTTGAGAATAATTTGGAGACCCTTAGTAGTACCTGCTCCAACTCCCGGACGGGGATAATAGCTTGAAGGTAATCGCTGTGGGTAGCCTGCAATAGGATCCCAATCCACGGCGATGTCTGCAAACCTTCCCGACGAAGTGTAGTCCCGAATGTAAGGCGATCTGCAAGTTAATCAATGGAAACACTCGTTTTCTTCCGTTTCGAGAAAACTTACTTGAATTTGTATAAATAATACGGATGCAAAAAATTGAATATGCAGCACAATCCTTCGTCAACGAATACTTCTCTGAAGATATCGGTGCAAGATATTTTTTGTTGATGGAATGTACAGGACACTATTAGATCCGCGCACTTCTCAGAAACATTAAAAATGAAATTCGGAAAAGTTTCATCTCTTTGCTGAATATCCACATATTGTGAGTAATTAGATTCCTTATTACAGGTTTTTTGAAGCATCGCGTAACGCAGGGATCCCCTGAAAACGTTTATGATATTACTGATTTAATGGTTTTTATACCCTTGCAGAGGGTATTATAATTTCAGTCAAAAGTTTGCAACGCAGTGAAGGAGACATTTCCGACCCTATAAAGTATATATATTCTTGATCAGCATCACCAGGAGAGTCGATCTAGCCATGTCCGTCTGTCCGTCTGTCCGTCTGTCCGTCTGTCCGTCCGTCTGTCCGTCTTTCTGTCCGTCCGTCCGTCCGTTTCTACGCAAACTAGTCCCTCAGTTTTAAAGCTATCTGCTTGAAACTTTCCCAAAAGTTGTCTTTCTATTGCAGGTAGTATATAAGTCGGAACGAGCCGGATCGGGCCACTATATCATATAGCTGCCATATAACTGAACGATCGGAAATGCCATAACTTTACTGTTTTTAAAGTTAGGTAGTTAAAGTTGGGATTATCTATGGGTTTTATTTTTGGACAATCAATCCGACCTGCCAAATTTCATAAGGATCGGCCGACCATATCCTTTAGCTGCCATATAACTGAACTATTGGAAATGACATAACTTTGGTGTTTTTAAAGTTAGGAAGTAGGGATTTTTTATGAGTATTAAGAATGCATCATATGAATAACCGATCCGATTTTGGAGAATATAATTTACAGAATATTCTGCAAGGGTATATCAACTTTGGCTCCGCCCGAAGTTAGCTTTCCTTTCTTGTTAAGTATACTTACGGATTTAAATGCTGAACTTTCGATTTTTTGGCCTGATTCATATTGCAGACCGTTATTGCCGGGAAAGGGATTTGCTCGATGGGAGTCATGGTAGAACTAACTGCAATAAAAAGTAATCAATGTTTTAGGAACTGAATAATTAAGCCATAGAGAGTTAATACTCACTCCCAATAATCACTGGAGTGCTGTCCCATTTACTATAAATTCCAACAGCCAGGTTTACGGCCACAAAGACCACCAAAGCGAAAATTAGAGTAAAGTAAAGCTTCACCCACCATGGTAAACTAGTATCACTGATAACATATCTAAGCACCTCCATTGATGTATTCCTTAGAAACCTTTTCTCTCTTTTTTGTCCTAAGCTTAATATCTTTCCATGAATATTTTTTATGAAACTCATTCTTGCTATCTTGAGGCCACGAAACTTATGACTTTTAAAAGCGTTGTCCTACAACTATTAACCTTTGGCAAACTCTAGTAACTCTAGAGTAAGTAAACTTAATACACTAGCTAACAAATAGCGCCGCTTTGATAGTATTTAATATATTCTACTGATTCATGCTTTTTACTCTTTTGATCTTGAGAAAACTTATAAAGTACTAGATATAAATATTCCATTTTGTAATAATAACTGATTTTTGATCTGTTCAAAAAAAAAACTTTGCTACAAAAAAAAAGGAAGCAGATATGAATTTTCATTGATAGAAGTATGGTGACTAGTGTTATCACTATTATTGCGTCATTAGTGGTACTAATTAAATGAAGCCTTCATTATATCCACGGAAACACTAATTAAAATAAACCGCTGGGTGGTAATTAAATCCGTCTATTAGTAAATTAATTTTCAAGCTTTGATAAAAACATGAACTTTTGTCCTACATATCTAGTTCCCAATATTCCTGTAAATTAAGCTAAAAGTTTATATGAACATTAATTCACCTTAATGAATATAATGGATATATATAGTATATGAAAAAGGTTTTTAAGAAATGTTAATATTTAAATTATTTTTAACGATTTCTTTTCTAGGTTTCATTCCATTTAATTCCCTCTTAATCTACGCATCTAAGCATCTCCTTTTTAACGGTTTGTTTTGCGTGTTATTTAAATTGTCGATGAACTTGGTCACACTACGGGAAAAAAATTGTGAATGTGATCGGTGCATAAAACGACAAAGTAAAACATTGTAAGTGTATCAGAGGTTAAAATAGCTTAGATTTTTGGTAATTGCAATGTCGCGGAGCCAAAAAGTAACAATAAAAGTTTAAAAACTACCATGGATTCGTTTGATTTGACATCCAAGAACACCGAGCCATACATACGCCTTTAGAAATCTACATACATACATACCTACATTGCATATTTCGCTGATGCTAAGGTAATAATTTGAATGCAAGAGTCGTCATGCCTGCATTTCATGTGTGTTGCCACCGAAAGTAGCGAATAATAGATGGAAGCTTAGCTAAAAAGTGGGCAGAAGGCAAAATTTTTGTCATATCCGCGTATGTACGCAGTTGTTGTGTCTGTAGGCATGTGCACTCGGGGGGTAAGAAACCGAACGCTCGAGTCCCTGCAGGCGTAAAAGATTGGAGGACTCATTACCCAGACTATATCCGGTGCTAATCAAATGCCAATCAATCGCTTTTCTTTTTAGGTCATCATCGAGACTTGTCAGAGATTCGTAAAATCAAAAGCGTTTGCAATTCTCATAGCAAAATGAGTGCCGTCGCCAGCAGCGATCCAGCCATCAGCGGCATGGCCCTTGGCCGAAGCCAGACCATCTGCCGCTACTACGTGCGCGGGATCTGTCGCTTCGGGGAGCTCTGCCGCTTCTCACACGATCTGAGTCGCGGTCGTCCGGAGTGCGAGCAGACAGTGACCACCGAGGTGCTACCGAAGCCGAGTACCAGCAACAGCTACAGCGCCAGCACCAGCACCTCCAGCCAGCAGAGAAACTGGGCCAACGCACCGGAGTTCGTGCCCAGCCAGAAGCGGAATTTGGCCCGTGAACAGAACGAGGCAGAGGCCAACGTAGGCTCAGGGGCGGAGACGGATGCCGGTGCGTCCTATTTCGTCATTACTCCCGCCGTCTCCTGGGCCGAAGTTGTGGGTGGGCCGTCATCTCTTAACAACAAAGAGGAATACTCACCCATGAATCCCGCTTCGCTGGAGGAAGTCTGCCCGTACGAGAGCCCCTGCGTCTGGGGCGAACTCTGCCCCTACCGCATCCACATGGAGCTGTGCGAAATGTGCGACCAATACTGTCTGCATCCCACAGATCAAGCCCAGCGCAAGAAGCACAACCGCGAGTGCCTGCAACAGCACGAACAAGCCATGGAGCTTTCCTTTGCTATCGCCAGGTCCAAGGACAAGACGTGCGGCATATGCTTCGACACGATCATGGAGAAGGCGGGCAGGGAAAAGCGTTTCGGGATCCTACCCAACTGCAACCACATATTCTGCTTGGAGTGCATTCGCACATGGCGCCAGGCCAAACAGTTCGAGCATAAAATAACGCGGTAAGTGAGATTAACCATACCTGTTTTTGAAAACGGCCATTTTGTTAATTGCCCTTTGTGTTCGGAAATCCCAAGTCAAATTCCATTGACTGTTGATTTCACCATAAGTTGGTTCAATCAAGACTGTGTTTTCAGTTCTACTTCATTTTTCGTCGAAACATGAAAAATCAAGTTTTGTAGATTAAGTAGTAGCTTGTAGGGAAACTAGTGACAGAATTTTTTTATTATTGTTTCCTTTTAAATAAAATGTTTTCCTTTTGCTTAATAAAAAGAAGGTTCAAAAAAGGGTTATAAAAATATTTCAGTTTTAAATTTAAAGTTGGGAGCTATTAATGACTTCAAACATTAAACAAATATAGATGTCAGGGATTGATTCATATTTTGTTTTGATACTAACTCCTTTTAAATTTGTAGAGCTTGCCCCGAATGTCGCGTGTGCTCTGATTTTGTCTGCCCCAGTGCGTTTTGGGTGGAGACCAAAGAGGAGAAGGACAAACTGCTCAATGATTACCGCGCCGCCTTGGGTGCCAAGGATTGCAAATACTTCAAAAAAGGCGAGGGCAAGTGTCCCTTTGGTAACAAGTGCTTTTACAAGCACGCCCTGCCCAATGGAGACATCGTCGATGTGGGATTGCCGAAGCGAACTCGCAAGTTACGGAGCCAGAATGAAATAATCGATTTGCTTGATGTAAGTAACAAAATTGCAAACAAAATATAATTTAAAAAGTTATTTCTACCCAAAATCCTTTAAAAAGTTAAATGTTATATGCAGATTTCCAGGGATATTGTGACACCTTAAAATTAAATTCTCAAATGAGGTGGTCAATATTAATAATTCCATATTTTATAGATTTATCTATGGGACTATGTAGATCGCCGTGATTATCATTGGCTGGAGTTATTTTCAACTGATATAAGCGAAAGTTCCGATTTCTCGGAAGACGACTAAGCTTCTGGAACAGAAGGAAACGAAAAGCAACAACAGCCCAAAAGCATACAAATTTGGATATACAGTCCCAGAAAAAACGTAAACAATATTCAAACGATATATATAAATGATACTGAACCAAATATCGAATGCGAAATTAAACAAAAAAATGTATTTGGGTACCAAATTTAGGTTACATAAATATTTATTCTCCACTTAATGCAACGAAATTTACAGCAACTTTTCCGTACTTGTATTAAATTAAATTATATTTAATACCATTAATAACAAGTGGTTCAACTTAAACCTAAAGAACATTGATATATCATTAAATATGAATACAAAATTTTAGAGATAAACAAGCAGTAAACAGTACATTTTGAAAATAGGTGATATAAAATGTGTAAACTATGCCTTTCAGACTGAATTGTAAAGATAAAAATACATACATTCTTTAATCGGTTTTCTACTCATTTTTTGAAGTTTAACAACTACATCTAAGTAAAACGCACATAGCAAACCACATAAGTACGTCTATCTGGATATTTGCAGACATTCAATCTCAAATGAGTCAGTGTATCCATAACCGAGCAGATACTATTCCCTTTCGTCGATAAATGAAATTTTTGTTATTGTTATGAGCCTTTGTGTTAGAGTATTACTGTTGCATACCCTATAATTCAGTATATTTGTAATCGTTGGCCACAAGCGTAATACCCAAAACCACTACAAATATTATATGTATAACATCTATATTGTATATTGATTTTAAGTTTATAATTTCGAAATGTACCTCTTTATAATGTTTTGTTTTTACTGATACAAATGTAATGTGTTGTCCACTAGAAAAGCAACAATTAAATAAACTAAGGGAATTAACATATAAACCCAACATGTTCAAAATCTAAAACCTAAAATCAATGTAACAATTACTTGAAAATCTCAATAATTGCATAGAATCCGAGTTCAGCGATTCAAACCCATTTATATGTGATTAATAGTTGACAAACAAAAAATATCTTATGAATAATTGGTAATAAGTACATAGTTTTAAAAACATGCATATGGTCGTTGAAATATGATATAGATTGAACAATTTAGTTTAACAAATACATGCTATCGCAAAAGCTGCATTGCAATGCCTTTGTTCTGTTCTTCATTACTTTCGATGTCATGTACCACAAGAAGCACACTGAAGGACCCACATAGGTAATTCTTCCTTAATGGGTTTAAGGGTCAACCTCATCGCATAATAATGAGGAAATGTAATTTTAGTTAAGTGTAATAACTATAATTTGCTGTTAAATTATGAGTTTGTCCAATAAGATTTCCAAAATAGCTGAACCTATCCAGAAGTGATATTTTTCTTTAATTTTTGAACTGGATTACAAAATAAATTATTGAACGGAGTAAACTCGTAAATCAAAATACTTTTTGAAGTTACTAACTAATAATTGTAAGAAAATATTCGGGGTCCGTTCCAAAAAATTATGAATATCTTTTTAAACGGATTTATAACACGAGCCCTGAATCGAATACTAATTGTGCCATTTCCCATTTTTAAAATTGTTCAAAACAAAAATAACCAATCTGGCTGAAGTTGTACCTAGATTAGATTAAAAATAAAATTTGTAACATTATGTTGATAATAAAACGCAGGAATGAAATAAATAAAAAAATAAACCTAACCTGAGGAGGATAAACGGAGATTTTTTGATTTTATAACACAACTTTTGGGACTTTTAGGGTCAAAACAGGCAAGATAAAACCAAATGAGCAGAAGTTCTGAAAGCCTAATCTCTAATAGCTTTACTTCGAAGTGCAAGAATACTCAGGACATATTTTAAATAGGGATTCCCGTTAATGGTTCTTATATTTTGAACTTCTAACGGTTCAAAAGTGTACTGGTTGTATTATTCAGCTTTCTGAAAACGGTAATACTAATCAGCTGATGAATTAAAATGTTTGTTTATTCGGCTATTTACCAAAATAAGGTTTAATTTAACAAACAAAATGAGTGAAAAAAGGCGACTCGTGTGCATTAATTGTGGACACAGAGCCAAGGAACTATTCAAGAAATATAGCAATTCTCTAAAAACCACCCAATGCGTAAGAATACACACATATTGCCAAAAACATAGTTGAGTTCAATTTGCGAAACATTTCTCAGGATAAATGTCACCAAACCACTGATAAATACATAGAGTTCGAGGAGTTTATCATATTAATAGATGCACTTCTGTTGGATTCTTGCGCCTTCCGTCACATAATATACAATGGAGACTTTAAAGTGAGGAAATATCGAATAGGTCGATTTTAATATAAAACTCGGAAATGTATGCTATTTTAGTTATATTGGAAGATTTCGTTGGTTGTGCTGCTTTTGGAATCCTTTGCGCTGTGCCGCCAAAAACTCCCTGAACATTCGGATGCCTCTTTAAACGTACACGAAAAAGGTTTCTACACATATACGCTTCAAAATATAGGAGGTATTAAACACATATTTTGTTGGCTGCAGCGCAAGTAATTTTTCTAATTTAATTGTTTTGTATTTTAGATTACCTTTTTATGACGTTATTGCTACTAATAATTACAGTCACTCTAAGTATTGATTGGATGAAGAAGATGGGTCCTCGCAGTTTTACTTTAATTATTTTCAAAGTGGTACTGATCTCGAATTTGTCCAAGTTCTTTCTTCTGCCCATTTTAGTGTGGCGTAATAACACAACCGTTTTTGGGCGGAGTTTGCACCATGTCCTGGTCATGGGCCATCACCTCTGCTCCCTGGTCATCGCCTACGAGGCAGTCGGAGCAACTAGAAAGGACCTTCGATGGTGGGCCCTAACATTGGTAGTCATTGCCTTCGCCTTCAAGGAATCTGCAAGGCAGTTTGTCTCACTGTTGTTGGAGGAACATTTTACGTAAAAGAGAAATTGTTACGGCAATTGTTTATAAAAGGCTGAAAATTAAAATACAATTTCCTATGTACGACGTTATTGCCAAATAAATTAATTCTAAATATTAAAATAGAAAATATAGCAGTTAAATTGCGGGCATAGAACAAAACATAGTTGATAAGCTTCTAACTTAATATATTTCTAAAATAATTAACCAGAGATTGCTAGAGCAGTGCAATTAAACTATATTATCAAAAAACGCAACGATCGACTTTATTTTGAAATTAATAAGAAACAACAAAACTACAATGAAAAGAGCATGTTCAATTTTCACTCAAATTTTATTGATTGCTTAAGACCCAGGATTATCGAAAGGAAAACATCGACATTTTAAAAACATATATAGAACTATTTTTATTGTGTCTGCTGGTTATGAAATACGTCAAATCGTGTTACATACTAAATGTCGGAAACTGCATAGAACAAATCAAATGGCAATAATTTTAAAATCAAGCAGGTCGATTCCACTTTTGATAAATAAAAAGATCGAGAAGAGTTCGCTTATATAGGCCGGGAAATATTACTTCGCATTGCCATACACATACATAAAAAAGAAATCTGAGAACGAATTGATTTCTTGTTATAGCATAGTAGATATGATGTTATGCCTCTCCTTTCGTATGAATGTACTTAAGTAATTAATGCTAATCGTAAGTCATGCTGCTCATACATATTGTTGTAACGGCAGTTTGTAGCAACGACGACACCGACGCGCAATCAGAGCGGGACGCATTCTGCATTTATATCGAAATCAGGGCGCACTATAACTAAATCAGCATCCAATATCTACCCCATGCACACCCATTAGCTACCGCTCGCGATCTTAAGTCATATTCCAGGAGGACGAAGACGAGCTAGAAGAGCAATCGTCGCTCTCAGTCGTTGCGCTGCTGCCGTTGGGCTTGGGTCCCCAGATCCTCACGGTAGCGTCGTCGCTGGCGCTGGCCAACAGGGACGGGTACACGGGGTTCCAGGACACGCAGTTGACCGTCTTGGTGTGCCCGGCCAGCTTGGCCAACGGCTCCTCGCGCTTAATGTGCCAAATGTAGACGACCTTGTCCTCGCTGCCGCTGGCAACGAAGCTCTCGTTGACGCCGCCGAAGCAGGAGTGGATGGCGAAATTGCTTTGTCGTATTCCCTGGAACCGGCGCACCAGACACTTGTCCTCGATGTCCCAGAGATGTAGGCCTTGGTTGGAGACGTTCAGCAGAGCCAAGCGATCGGCAGAGTTAATGCTGAAGGTCATAATGGGATGTGGCTCCCTCAGAATATCAAAATCTGAACGCGGGCTATCAAAGTTGTACCTAAACGAAAAAGTGAAAGTTGATGTAAGTTGCAGGCCTCCAATATAAATCAAAAGCAATCATCTAAAAAACAATTTGTTCTACTTTAAAGTCCAGTTGGTTTTTCTTTTATAAATTACTTATAAGGAATTAATTTAAAGCTTGAAATCTATAAAATTCTAAAATAATAATTCGAAGACCCTATAAGTTCTTAGGTTTACAGTATCAAGTCTGAATTTAGCAGTACTATTACTATAACGTATTTTCCAATTCAAATATTTGAAGTAAGACCTAATCGAACGATTTCTCTTAGAAACCAACTAGACAAGCCAACCAATCTACTTACCCTCTTATACGGTAGTGATTATCGGCCGCTAAGATCGTTTTGTTGTCCGCCCGAAAGGCTATGCTGTTGACGCGTACTCCCTCCCAAGAGTCCACAATGGTGCCATTGAGGTCACACAAGTAAAGCTGACCCTTCTGGCCGCCGCAAACGAAGCGAGCGCCATCCCGGCTGAAGGCGCCGCAGGCCAGACTGTCCTCCAGCGACTGCGAGAACTTGACCACCAGCTTGCCATCGTCCACGTTCCAGATGTAGAGCTCGTGGGAGTCCTCTGTGCCGCCAACGAGGATGAGCTTGGAGTCGGGACTCCAGCTGACGAAGCTTACGCTGAGCTGGGCCTGGCCGTCAAGGACGCGCCGATGCTTCAGGGTCAGCTTGTATGGATCAACATCCCAAATAATCACAGTAGAGTCCTTGCTGCCCGTCGCCAACTTGAGACCGTCGGGCGAGAACTTGCAGAACCAGACCTCGTCGCAGTGGTCGGTGAGGACCTGGATTGTCTGCATGGGAAAGCCGTCCGTGGTGCAGCAGTGGTCGGTGAGCAGCGAGACCGTCGCCAGGTTCGTCTCCCACGCCATATCGTGGCAAGGGCAGAGCTGGCTCTGCAGCTCCACGGACTGCTGCAGCAGAGTGCGAAGGCGTCGCGGCGACATCATCACCGACGGCGGCATAAATGTCTGCAGGCGCTCCATGACCAAGGCCCGTGACAAGATGCCCTTGCCCTCCCACTTGGCGCGCTGGTAAAGGTCTTGATTGGTGGAACACATCATGTACGAGGACAGCTGGTGCACACGCGATATGTTGTGCTGCAGTGGCGTCAGCTCGCTGCGAAGGACGTGCAGGGCGTCCAAGGGATTGCCATCATCCAAATGCTCTAAATACTTTTGCTCCAGCAGTATGAACTTCATTTCGGTGATCGTTGCCAATTTTCCATTATCAATTAATGGCTCTAAGTCCTAAAATATTAAATTATGTCATATGGTATAAGTGAACTGTAATGTAACTCCAGAGAATAAAACTAACAAAAATTAAAGGTAATGTCGAGTGTCTTTAAAATTAATTACTAATTCATTACGGAGCGGTAGATTCTAGACAATGTTTTTCTTTAGCTTTTTACTTTAACTTGGCTGTATAGACTGTGTTTATACTTATTTTACTTTATCTTTTTTATATAAGTGAGTATAAATACACGAAATCTCGATTTTTTGATGTTTTTTCAAGATAATTAATTCATTAGAATTCATATTCATTAAATGCTATCTTCTGTTTATGAATTTATTAATCTATAGTACTCTGCAATAAAAAGTGCGAGAAATTGTTGTAGCGTATTACCTTAAGATCTGAATCTGCCTTTGACCAGTCACCCATTAGGACATGCTCCCTAAACTTGGTGGCCGAAGGGTGTTCCAAGTAGCACCCCGACTCAACCATGAGCGTTTTGACTGACTTGTCGAGACCGACGTCGTGCAGATACTGTCCGATCAACCGGATGATCTCCTGGTTTGACTTGTCCAACTGTACGCCGCTGTAGCTGGTGTTCTCCCGATTGTTTTCGCCGTCAACGATGCGACTGCTGCTGCCGTTGTTGTTGACAACAAACCCATTGTGTTTGGAATCGTGTCCGTTGGTGGCGGCGCTGCTGCCCGAAGGATTCTCGTCCCCGATTCCGACGCTGTCCTCGCCACTGCCACCACCCTCGCGGGCCACGTTCTCGGCACTGCCGCCGGAATTAAGGGCGGAACCCTCTAGAGGCCTGGAGCAGGAGCCGCTCGACGTTGAAGTGGTGCTCTGCATGGTCGGTCCAGTACTGGTTGCCTCGGAGCCGGGTGTATTGCTGGCGCTGCGATCCCGTGGTCTCTTGTGGCTGTCTGTCGATTTGCACTGCCCTCTGCTTGGATTTTCTAATGTTTCCGCGCTGGAGCCTGTCGAAGTGGAGTTCAATTGTTGCTGTAACTGCTGGGCCGCTCGCGACGTGGATGCCGCATCTATTGATCCTGCGGCGGCGGCGACGGAAACGAAAACGGCGGATGAGGATGAGGAGCCTCCTGAGCGACGACCCTTTTTGCGCGGCGGCTGGTCCTCGGATGAGGCACCAGTTGCAGCTGCCTTTTTGTTGTTTCTATCAATTTTGAGTCCTTTGCGAACGCGGCAGCAACAAGCAGGCTCTGCCTCCGGCTCAGCCTCTCTCCCGGATCCGGATCCCGATCCCGAGCAAGTGCCTCCAACCTGGACAGCTGCCTGATGGGCCTAGGCGGCCTGAATCGACGATTGCACAAGGGGTGTCAGCGTGATTGCGGCTCCGTTTCTGGCAGTTGATAGCACTCGCTGATAGCAGTTCGATCTACGACCTGCGGAGAAGGTATATTATTGCTTTATATTACAGTTACTTTGTAGGAGTGCAGTTCGTAATCTGCCTACTGATTGGCTTTCCGAAATAACGCATTCCACTTGTGGAACCCAAGTGTGAATTTCACGGTTTTTTTTTGGGTTCGATCTACAGCGTGTGGAAAGGTATGCCACCATTTATATTTCATACACATACCACTTACAGAGTCCAAGTATTATTTTTGATTTGTCTTTTTGGATTCGATCTATCAGATACCTTATGGCCATTCAGCCCGATTATTAAAATGCAGTTTTCGATTGACTTATTGATTTGCTACTCAGGAAACATCGAGCTCCCCAATCGCCGCAACCTTTTCCAGGTAAAATCAATCAATACACAATTCAAGGGTATTTGCATTCGGCTTTTTACATCACACACAATTACATTTGTGGGTACATATATGTACAATGTACATGCATTTTACTTACATTTGTACATACATCCCTAGATGTTGGCTGCACAGTCGTGGACAAAAATATTGGAATTAATTATTTATATTATAAACTAAATTAATTAAAAGTGTTAAGCTGTTTTGAATGTAATTTTAAAGTGATCATTTAAATATTGTTCAACACATTCTAAAATAACTATCTTATCTTAACTTGTCTCAAGATTAGGATAGCAGAACATTTGAACTAGTCGATTTTAAAGGTATTGGAGTTTTCCTCGTATAACATAGGGGTTTTCTTTTTTGTTACGCTCAATTAGCTCTATAAAGTCTCCAACGAAAACTGGTTCACCCACACCACTAGAAAACATTCACCCCCGTATCATAGACCCTAAACAATGAACTTTATTGTGGAATAGAACGCATTTGAAATTGTCTCCTATTTCATAGAAATATGCTATAAGATATAATTTAAAGAATAAAAAAAGAATAGTTAGCGATCTCAAAAAATAAAAACAACAATGAATCAACCAATTTTATAATGACCAAAAATTTACTACGTCGTAAAAGAAAAAAAAAAGTTTGCGATTTGGGATTTTATAACAAAATATGAAGAATACTCTGAATTAGCCAATACTTCCGCCCCTGACTGTGTGGGCTCGTATTAATCAACTTTGCTTTGTTTTCGGTACAAAGGAATGAGAAAATACTTCTATTTACATACACGCACATATGGTTTTCCTCACTTTCTTTTAGAAAATGTCTGGATCAAGTTATCATTGCCAAAGATCTTTGGAGCAGCTAATCACTCCTGGTAATTCTGTTCATCCAATACAAATCCACTCAGCTGGCTATAGTTCGCTAATACACTTCACTTTCCACTGCATTTCTCTTTTGGCCTTCCAAGTGCATCGTAATAATGTAGGTATACAAACAGACACGCTCCCACAGATGCAGCCTTTACCGTTGTTTATGCCTCGAAAATATACCATCTAGAAGGCTTATCCCGAAATATAAGAGTAGTTGGACACACACCGTAAAGCAATCTCTTAATTGACGGGTTTGCAATTAAAAAACAAAGGCGAACTGACACAATATACATACAAATCTGATGATGAAACGCACTTATATATATGCTGCACTTAGTAAGACCGCTTGAAAATACCAAATCATTTCGTTGGCCTACGAACGATAAAAATACTAACAATTTATTTTTGAGTGACCGTTTGCCTCCCATATCTTTACACTTTTTAACGTAATTTATATTATACAAATTATTAACTAAGAAGTTGTTAATAATTGTTAATTTTTGAAATTTTTGAAAAAAAGAAGCTTAGACCAGCTGCAAAAACAATACGAATTGCATTAATTTTTAATGAGTGAATAGGTGATTTTAAGACTAAGTAGTTTATAAAATATAAAGCAATTTTGTAATCGAAAATTGCAGTAAAAATGAATATAAAAAACACAAAAATGGCCGTTAACATATCATAATTTGCTATTTTTTTCTGAAATAATAGAAATTTTTGCGCTTAAATTAAATGTAAACATGTTTTCCAGCTGAAAATGTAAATCCTCCTCACTTAGTGTTATATTAACCAAAAAATTACGCTTTTAAATTCGTTTATTTCCGTTTCATATAAAAGCTAACAAATAAGTTCAGCTTTATCCCATTAAGCAAAAATTTATTTGAATAATAGAAATAAAAAAAGTAAAATATTAAAAGGAATACTACCAGTAATAAAATACGTTTAAGCAGCTACCAATTAATTTAAAATACACTTTATATATTTCACTTTTATTTAGATAGGGTTTGATGTTCCAAAAATGAATTTAGTCAATTTGATTTGCGATTTGAGATATTACTTTTGTTGATCGTGTGTGTAATGGTAGAATTAATCAACCTATTTACATAATTTGGAGTGAATCGATTTCAGTCTCACGCACATCATGCAACTTATTCTGATGCTGTGTGCGCTCAAACATCATATTAAAATATAAACTTATCAAATGCCTGCATATGGGTAAATTAGTACATATTTACTTGATAAATTCATTTATAATTTACACTTTTCTTAAATACTTAACAATAAACTAAACTAGTCAATACACTATATGTAGTCTATTATTATTTAACAATTTGTTTATAATTAAAATGCTAATCTTTAACTGCTTCACTATATACGCTTATCTCGTAGCTTTGAAACATGGTCACTTACAAATCGCCTTTGATGATATACGAATACGTACTGAATTATTAGTTTACACTTTCGTTACGCGAATTTAATGTTCCCGCTTATGCACGATGTCTGCCGATTGCCAATTTAATATTCCAAAATTAAAAACACTAATAGCAAAGTAAATTAAATTGAATATTTAAAATCATGATTTGTTCAAAAAGTATCTTGCGGATTATATATAACACTTTTCGTTTATACAGCGATTGATTCAATTTGCCCAACATATAAAGCAATTTGTAAATGTAGCCAAGACTTTATTGAAGCTGTCTTAAACTCGACAACGGCTAGAACAAGTCTTAATCAACCTATTCTGGCCCTGTTCGTGGATAACAGAATCCCATTATTGGTTACGTTATTGCTAGTTACGGCTAGTTGCTAGTGCCACCAGGAACACTCCTCGCCATCTCGCTGTTTGTAGCTCTCTCTTACATTAAGAAGCGAAGCAAACAGCAAATGCTAAGCATCTCCCACCATGGCAGCTCCATGCTGTTGGTATTTGGTCGAGGCTATCACCGTGGGAGGCAGCGACTCCTGTTGTTCCCGCAGCTGCCGACGGCGCTTCTTACTCCAAAGCTCATGGCAGTCTTGCCACGTGGGCAACTGTGGCGTTGGCATTCTTTAAAAATACGAGAACATCAGTTGGTTGTTTGGGGCACCCACAGGGGATTAAATCTGGTTGTGATATACTCACTCGTCGGGGTTGATATTCTTCAGCCACGGTGATCGGAGCGCATCTTCGGCCGTTATGCGCTTGTCCGGATCCAAGTCCAGCATTTTGTCTAGCAGATCTAGAGCAGGGGCTGGCATGAACTCAAAGTCTTCCCGCAGGCGACGGCGATGCGTCTTCTTCTGCTTAAGAGTGTGGAACAGAGGCAGCTTAATTACGTTCGGCCACACGGCAGGAACCGGTGATCCGCAGATCTTCGATATGGTTTCAAGCTGAGCCATCTCTGCATTGGCTGGGAACAGTGGCCGCTTCACAAAGAGTTCTCCGAGGATGCAGCCGCAGGACCATACATCTATCGACGGACCGTATCGCTCCTCACCAAGCAACAGTTCCGGCGGTCGATACCAAAGGGTAATCACTTTGTTCGTATAGGGTCGCTCCCGATCGTCTGCATTGTACAGTCTTGCCAATCCAAAGTCCGCCAGTTTCACTTTACCTCTGCAAGGAGCACATAAATATTTTCAATTCTGAGGATGAACGATTAATCTTAAATATTACAATTATATGGAAATCGACTGAACATTGCAGCCTTTTTTTCTGAAGCCTTTTTTTATAAATTTTGTTTTAAGGGGAAAAGGCAGTAATGCAATTATTTACTGAATAAAAACATTTAACTACTCTCTAAAAATCATATTTTTTGAGAATCAAGTACATTTTATCCCACTCTAATGTTTGGCTTTAAATAATGTAACTGTTCAGATTCATAAATACTTTCCACCCCTGAAATGAAATTCATTTATAATCGACCCCAATGGTAAATCTCCCCACCTGTTGTTCATTAAAATGTTCGAGCACTTGATGTCTCGATGAAGAAAATTCTTTTTGTGGCAGTAGTTAAGACCATCCAGGAGCTGCTTCATAATGCTAGCGTTGTTCTCCTCATTGAAATCGACCATGCCAGATTCGAGCAGGCCCATCAGGTCATGATCCATGTACTCAAACACCAGGTAGAAGGATCCTTTGTCCTTGCGGAACTCGACGGCATCCTGTTTGTCCGTAACAATTTCATGCAAGTTTACTATATTGCGATGGTTTAGTTGCCTCAGTATTTTGATTTCACGCACAGCTGTAATAGGAAAACCCTCCTTTTCGTGTTCGAGCCGGACCTTTTTCAGGGCCACCATGTCATTAGTATGATGATCTCGCGCCTTGTAGACCTGCAAAGATAAATGGTAAACCATCAGGCATCATGTATTGACACATTTTAATTGCAATCCTTACCTGACCGTAAGTTCCTTCTCCTATTTGCGCAATCATCTCGAACACATCCACACACCGCTCGCCCCAGTCGCGGACGTTGTTCCTCGAATCTCTGCGATTGAGTATCACTGGTCGACGACGGGTGGCTCCCTGCCCACCAACTTTGCCATGCACATTGCCACCAGCTGGGGCATCAAAGTCTTCGGGACTGTCGATAACATCATCGTCGCCACTTAGCTCTTCGCTGCCAGGAATTACCGGTGGCATCGGAAGGTTAAGCACGCTCTTGTTGGCGCTGCCGGTGGAATTGGCGTTCTTGTCATCCGATTCCTTTTTCTGCGCCGGCGAAGGAGATCTCGCATTGACCAGGTCGAGGGCATTCATGCCAGGAGGCAGCGGCAAAGAGGACAGACTCTTCGGTTTAAGGTTGTTTTTATTGGCCGAGAACGGTGCTACCAACAAAGGTTGCTTCGATGGCGTCGAACTGTCCGGAACATCGGAGCTTGGACCCAGATTCGGAGCCAAAATATCGGTGTCCTTGTTTGGCATGGGAATGTTATTGAGGTCCAGATCTGGTTTGCTACCCAGGACTTCAAGCCCATTGGAAGTCGTCGACGCCGCTGCGGGTGTTCCACTTCCAGGGCCAGATCGGCAATCACCCGTGTTGGGCGTGTTGCCATCTACCGAGGAACTGTTGTCGTTAATGGTCAGTGCACCGTTGCTGTTGCTATTGCTATTGCTGTTCTCCTCCTGTCGCTCAATGATTTCCTTCAGGGCCTTCTGCCTTTTGTGACGGTCTTTAACCAGCTCGGCAAACAGACTTGTCTCGCTGATCTTTTTGAAATACTCCTCCCGCTTGTGCTTCAGATCCCTCGACGTGGGCGAACGGCTGCGCGAGGCGGAGCTGGCACTGCTGGCCGAACTGGGCGACCGGCGACGACTGCCCCCTCTGGTCCTCTGACGCATCTTTGGCGAGCGACGATGGTGATGGTGGTGAGAGCTGGAAGCTCCGACAGGCGACGGCGGTGAGGCATCCAAGTAGCGCGAACTTGGCCTCGGCGATCTTGAGTAGCGATCACCAGAGGTACCAGCTCCGGAAGCACGCTTGGACCTCGTCGCATGGGAAGATGGCGGGCTAGCCGTCGTTCCGTACTTGTGTTTGTGACTGCTTCCATGCCGGAACGCATTTGAACCTGCTCCACTGGACGTCGTGCCACCGACGGGAGATTGTCGACTTCGCGAGTGCTGCACACTAGGGCTCCTTAAAAAAGTGGTAAACAAATACATTAATTTAATTTTTGACATACGCAATCACAATAGCCCAAGTTACCATTCCACTTCTACGCCAATTGTACAATAGTTGAACTTAGAATAGGGTTTATTGACCCTTTTCATCTGAATGTGTTTACTATTAAATATTTCTTTCAAAATATCAATAACGAAAAGTGTTAACATGACAAAAAACGAAATGAGAACCTGTTAAAAATTATTATCTGATTTCAAGTCCTAAACAAATTTTGTCAGTAAGCTTGTATTGGAGTTAATTTGGGCTATTACTCATAGGGCATTTTAAAATAAATAATGCGATTTACCGTGATGACCGCCTGGAATATCGATCCCTGCTGAAGCGTTCGTATTTGCCAGAGTGGTGTCTACTATGTTCAAAGTTTCCAAGGCCCACATCTCGGCTATCGCTGAACTTCCGCCGCTTGTGGGGCGGCGTGCTCGGCTGATGATTGTAGCGATCCAGCTCTGCAACGTATTTTCGGAGGTGAGTAAAATAAATAAGATAATAGTAAGCCAAACTTACCCGGTGATAAGCGTTTCACCTTCCTGGCATCGTGGCTGCTGGAACCGACACCAGAGTAACGAGCCTGATATCCGTGATCGTGACTGGAGCGATGATGCGCATTCACTTCTTCCTTGTGGGGACTATTTACATAGCGGGAGCTGCGTGAATCGCGCGCCACTGACCCACTGCCGCCGACACCACCGCCGCCACCGCTAGAGGAGGTGTAGTGCGAGGGCGGCGGAGTCCGCGGTGAGTTTGCAAACCTCGGGCCGTTGCCACTTGAGCGGGTGGAGGGAGGTGGGGAGCGGTGCCGGTTACTGCTCGTCTGCTTGTTCGTTACGGTGACCTGCAGGTTGCTGCCCAGGGCAGTGTTGGCCGTCTCAACAGACGACTCACCGTAGTAGGTGCTATTGGGGTTAGGGCGACGCGCGGGCGGAGGAGTGGCCGGCGAACTGCTCTCCTTGAGGTTGTGTGGGGTGAAGGTGGAGGGCGCTGCGCTCACCGTCCGCTCGTTGCTCTTGTTAGGAGCCGTCGGCGGGGTGTAGCGCCGGTCTAGTAAGGCATTGATGTCGTTATCGGACATGGAATCGATGCTGGAGTACGACTTGGCCCGCTTCTTCTTGCGCTTCTTGGACTTCTTCTTAGACTTGTGTTTGTGCTTGTCCTTCTTCTGCTTCTTGCGCTTCTGGCGCTTCATCTCCGCCTCGAGCTCGTCGGTGTCAATGGAGTCGCTGGACATGTAGATCTCCCTGCTCCACAGCTCGTCCTTCGAGGTGTTGGATGCCTGGGAGGGATCCTCACGCGGATTGGTCGCCTCGCTGCTCGAAGTTTGCCTCGATCCGGCCGCAGCGGGATCGTTTGAGTCTTCTGCTCGTCTATTTCTGCAAAAACGGTGGGTTACACCTTCACTTTGGTGGGGTTACATGTGCCTCTTACCTGTAGTTATCATAACCCTCCTTATCGGGCTTGGCACCAAGACGACCTTTGGAGAACTGATTATCCGTAGCTGGCTTTGGTTTTTTGATGTTTCCGGCTCCCTTGCCGGCTTCCGCATCCAAGTCACCGGTCTCCTGGTCCGAGAAGTCCTCCGAGCTGACGTCCGAGTACTCCACAAGTGCGGTCGCCGCGGCGGAGGATGCATGCATCGTAGCGTCTCGACGGTTGGGATCGGAGAACTCGCAAGATCCGCAGACACCAGGTTCAGTTTTCTACGGTTCGTGCTGGTATTTCGTTGTTTCGATCGCTCTTTTAACTCGTACTGCAAGTAACACTCCGGCATCCAAGTTTTTACAGCTTTGTGGTGAGATTTTCCTCGGGAGCAGCTCCAATTTTATTTACATCGCTGCCTCTCAGCACAAGCACATATTCGTATGACGTTTTCTTTACATGATTATCGTGGGGATATGTGCTATTTCACAAGCGACGCTGTCGCGCAAGCTATCGAAAAGGTTCGGCACTTCACTGCACTTCTCTTTAAAGTGGATTTAGTGTTCGGTTTCCACTGAAATTAATATAAAAAAAATTTATAACTTGTCATTTTAAGGTTATAATGAAGTGCCGAGTGTGGCCAAACAGCGAATGAGGTGATTAGCGGAAGAACGCGTGTTGTTGCCACGGATATTTTAGGGATGATTATCGCAGGTCACACTATAGAAATTCGGCAGAAGATATAAAAAATATTTTTTACTTACATTTAAATAAACTAAAATCGAATCATATTTAAGGTAATAACAAAGACTTAACTAAAGCAATTGTATATTTCATTAAGTAAAATAATAATTTCACCACTTTATTTACTTTTACAAACTTACCTCAAAAGAAGAAATGCTCTGACGAGAAGTTTCTAAGGACTCCCGTTATCTAAAAATGCAAGCAAATTTAATGTAAATAGCGTTTTTTCTGATATTTAAAAACAGCATTTTCAAAATTATGTTAAGGATTTCCGAGCACATTTTCCAGCACTGCTTCAACACTGTTGCTCGTCGGTGACGTAGTGTGCGAGTCCAAGGTTGTGTGCGTGACTTTATGTATGAGACACACACCGCCGCACATAACATACCTACTTGCAAATGTAAGTGTGGATGTGGGTCATTTTATTTTCTTTTCTGCGGACTTACCAGTTTTTGATGTAAATTATGCAAACACCACTTGTTAAAAACTTTAAGGCCGCCACAACTTGCGGGTATCGTGTTTCTTTGTTTTGGCTGTCGGCAAACGCACTCGCTGAAGCTCTTATATTATTAAATAACACGGCTATCGCAGACTCGTACTCCGACGTTGTTTATGGTTTCGAATCGAATTTTTTACGCGAAAATTACATCAAATCATTGCAGGATTGGTACATAGATAAGAAAGTTTGTTCAAATGCAAGTAACATGTCTCATTAGGCATTGTTTAGGTAGTAAACCATTAGAATAATTTTGCCATGATTCTCTGCATTTGCAATGGCTGGCAATATTCTCGGCGATTAATCAACCAGGGCTGCATCACCTTTCGAGGCGGTGTGAACGCGCTGTGGCGAAAGATCATATTTAACAGAAAACTGTTAGTAAATATTTGTAACTTTCCAAGTTTGTTTATATATAAGTGGTTAAATATGAATCTTAATGAAAAATATGTTTATTTTGAAATGAATTGTAAGCATTTTTAAAAGTATTTGATGGAGGCATACTGGGATTTCGCCTTAACGAGCTCTGGACCCACTGAGGGAGTGTTGTTAAACGTTTGTTGTATCGTTTTATCGATAGATGTATATAATTATATTTAGAAAGACTCCAGTAGAAATTAAGTTCAGTTAAAAATAAATGAATACATGTGTTTTGTTATTTGATAAATGCTGTTACATTATTAATAAAAAAATTTAGAGTTTCTGCTCAAAATATCGAAAATGCAGCCCTCGATTGTGTTGGTAAATTTTAATTTGTAATCTGGCATTATAGTTTCCCAACACTAACGGTGGCGTTCCCTTTCAAATTTTTGTGGCTTGTTTGTTTACATGGCTTTGGTTGATTTATAATAACAATAAATAGCAAGTGGCTCAATCAGTCTGTTAAACAAAGCAAACTATGTTGTCCAATCGGGCCTTTGGAGAAACAATTGAGGTGGGTACACTGGAATCTTGTTATCCCACGGAATTTTCAAGCGTGGTTTGCCTTTGCAGGATTATGAAGTACAGCACTTGTTGGGCAAGGGCGGTTTTGCGAGTGTCTACAAAGCGCGTTGCTTGCATACTCACCAGGATGTGGCCATTAAGATGGTAAGGAATCCTTTGAAATTGTGAATCAAAAAATTAATCATTAATTTGCCTTTAGATCGATAAGAATCTGATCCAGGGCACTGGACTCACCAACCGCGTTCGCCAGGAAGTGGAAATCCACTCCCGCCTGAAGCACCCATCTGTTCTCCAGCTGTACACCTTCTTTCAGGACGCTAACTATGTGTACTTGGTGCTGGAGCTGGCCCACAATGGGGAACTTCATCGCTATATGAACCATATTGCAAGACCCTTTACGGAGGCGGAAGCTGCATCCATACTAAAGCAGGTGGTGGCCGGTCTGCTGTACCTGCACTCGCACAACATCATGCACCGCGACATCTCGCTTTCCAATCTTCTGCTCAGCAAGGAGATGCACGTGAAGATTGCCGACTTTGGACTGGCTACCCAATTGAAGCGCCCGGATGAGCGGCATATGACGATGTGTGGAACTCCCAACTATATATCGCCAGAGGTGGTTTCACGTGTGTCCCACGGTCTGCCAGCGGATGTCTGGAGCGTTGGATGCATGCTGTATACGCTGCTGGTTGGACGTCCGCCCTTTGAAACAGACGCCGTGCAGTCCACGCTTAACAAAGTGGTCATGTCTGAGTATCTAATGCCGGCTAATTTGTCTTATGAGGCGCAGGACTTGATAAACAAGTTGCTAAAGAAACTCCCACACGAACGCATTACCCTGGAGGCAGTTCTGTGTCATCCTTTCATGCTGAAAAGGGTGGATAATAGCTCAAATGTTGGGCACTCAACGTCGAGAGGGTTCAGCCACAGCCTTGAAAGCGGTGATAGTGGAATTATAACGTTTGCTAGCAGTAAGTATTAATGGGACATCGCTAATTGGTGGAATTTTCTCTAATCGATCTAATTTAGGTGACTCAAGGAACTCCCAGGGAATTCGTTCTGTGGATAACTCAAGGCCACAACAAATGCTTCCCCAAGTACAAAAGGAATATATGCCGGATCGCCATCAACTGGCTTACGATCAGCCTGGTTTATTTCGGCAGACTTCAACAGGACTGGTAGAGCAAAACTGGCCAGGAACAGCTAAGGCTCCACCTTTTCGCATGAACATGGATATTGTACCAAACTCTAGACCAGCGCCTCTTAAGGAGGAGCGCATTTCGGTGCCACCATTGAGCACCAAAAGGTTACTACCGACGCGATATAAGACGAAGAATGCTATAATGAGTATTTTGCGCAATGGTGAGGTGGTTTTGGAGTTCCTTAAATTTCGGCCAAAGCTAAATGAAGATCGCATTAATGATATTTGCCGCATATCGGAAGACGGGCAGCGTATCATAATTTATCAGCCAGATCCTGGGCGGTAAGACAAGGGTTATGATCAAAATAAAAGTAATGATACTTAATACTTTAATCAATTTCAGTGGCCTACCAATAAGAGAGCAGCCACCAGATCTTATAATACCGAGTGGTGATTGTGTTTATAATTACGAAAATTTGCCCAGTAAACACTGGAAAAAATATATATACGGAGCTCGATTTGTAGGTCTGGTGAAGACCAAAACACCGAAAGTCACATACTTTAGTGCCCTAGGAAAATGCCAATTAATGGAGACGATGACGGACTTTGAAATTCGCTTCTATTCGGGGGCCAAGGTGCTAAAGTCTTCCACCGAGGGACTTAAGGTATACGATGCAAATGGAATGTTGCTGTCGGATCATTCCTGCTCGGAGCCACGATCCTTAATAGAGCATGGAAACGAGTGTTTCACTCACTGTGTCAACATTAGTAATGCCTTGGAGGTTGCTCAGACAAAAGACAATACGTGTTTTCCAGTCACAATCGGACGAAGACCCATACCAGATGTACAACCAGCTCAAAGATTAGATGGCCTTAGGGATACCACAAACTTTGCGTTTTCCACACCAAAATCAAATCAGGTAGATATATTTAAAATATTATGTGGATTGTAAAATTAATTTGTTTTAATCCTGCAGGGATCAATTAACTTTTCCGTAAGCACTATTTCGTCGACTCGAAATACCACAGACTTCGGAAGCGATTGCTCGAGGTCAAATATGCTAGCCGCCCATCAAAATGTCCCCATCAAGCGTATCAACATACCTGATATTGGTATCGCTACTGAGGTAATGCTCTTTTGTATAATTTTATTTTTCAGACATCCCTACTAAATTTTTAAATCCTTTATCTTTTAGCTCTCCCATGGAGTTGTCCAAGTGCAATTTTATGATGGATCAATAGTGTCTGTTATTCCACACATTCAAGGTGGAGGTATAACATACACCCAGCCCAATGGAACTTCAACCCACTTCGGCAAAGACGATGACTTGCCTTTTGCGGTCAGAGATAGAATCAGTCAGATACCAAACATTCAGCTGAAGTTAAAGACCGCTCCATTGCTGGGAAGCGGCAGAAAGATTGACTACAACAATGCAATGACACCCAAAACGACAACGCCTTGCTACAATCGCATACTTTTATAACTAAATCAAAAAACTGCTCAAATAGTATTTTAAGTTTGAACGAATATATTTGTATTATAAATTAATGGTAAATATATTTTTTAAGTTTTTTCCTGTCCTCATTTTAATGAGTAAATCAAGTGGTTTGATTAAAAAAAATGTAAAGTAAAAAAGAATTTTGCTCAAAATTAAATGTAACTATGTTTGTCTTCGTAAATATATAAATTGATCTCTTATTTTAATTGAATGATTCAAGGGTAAGCTAAAAAAAACATTTCTTCTTAGGGGAAAAACTTGTTTTTGTAAATATAAGTCTGGAGCTCAGATCCTGCTCCGTTAAACAGAAATATCTATATGAGACCTGAATCCACCCAGTTGATTTAAAAAGACTGATTTTACTCAAATATTTTTATTAATTAAATTTTAGAAGTCTACGTGTAAACACTCCTTATGTCGTTCTACCTTTTTGTATAAGTGTGAGGTTAGAAAAGTGTAGTATAAAATATATTATTATTATTATGTAGGTGTATATATTAATTACAAGATAAATATATTTATACTTAGTCCAATCTTTAGATTAACATTGTCTTATTGAACTGTTGCTACCGCATTTACAGAAATACTACGGCAGGATTCGTATTGCTTTTATGTTGTAGATGCAATAGTGAAATATACACATGTTAAAGTTATTTCTTGCACTAATCATGCACGGATGGATTACACTATATAATGATAAGCTGCGATTAACTAACGTATTCGTATTTGAATAAAATGCATTCGGCAATTCAGAAGAATCAATTTGAGCATAAGCATTTGTCTGTTATGTTTGTATGGACTTATAGGTTGCAAACAGAAACATAATGAATGTAAGCTAACTTAATGTAGTGGACGGAAAAGTAATGTTAGTAAAAGAGTGAAGAATATAAAAAGCTGAATTTCAGTGGGATATTTTCTTTTGGCAGTTTGTACTTGGATAAAACTACTTACTTATGTATATGAAGATGATTGAACATAAATAATTGTTGAAGCCACTAACTCATTAAATGAACAAGCAAAACTTTAAACTCAACTTTAATCTTAGGTCTAAACAAAAAATCTTAATTAAAGTATGCTGGTTTTCGTTGGAAATTTGTTCATCTTTCGTTGTATTAAGCGAGAATATCTCAAATAGCGCTGGACTTCTCTTTAAGCTCAAATTGAATCTTCTGAAATATGTCCTAGAAACGATCCTTCGAAGTAGCACTGTACTCGAGCTCGTTCAGATTTTGGATTTCCTGTAGCTCCTGGAACTTTTCGTGATCCCGAATATGGGCATAGTTGGCAGACAGGCACATCAGATAATGGACCAGACTGAGCAGCACCAAAAGTGTGGATAGGGTGGCCAATATGAACATGACCTCAGCATTCTCCACACCGTCCTTGCAGAAAGCCTTTATTTCGTACTTTTCACAGACCTTCATATCCTCGAGTTTCGTGTTTGGTGGAAACATAAAATCTGAAATACCGGTGAAATATCAGTAACATATATGTTGTTGTATAATGAGACTTACGGAATTGTGTCAAATCAATGCAGCTTTGGGACTGCTCCACACTCGAGCACATGTTCCAGAACATTGTATAAATGAAGGTTACCACAACTAGGAAACAAAGGATCAGGCTCCAGACAAAATTTAGCAGGTAGGTTATGCCCATGAGAACGGCGCACGAGATTCGACCACCCACTCGCGATCGCCACGCCCTGTAAACCTTGTATCTGGTGGCACCGGTGGCCAAAAACCCGACGAATAAAATCATGAATCCGAGGGCCGCCATGCCGGCTCCAATTATAACAAATATCATTTGCACCGCTTCGATCCTAAATAAATTAGATAGTTCAAGTAAATCATATTTGGACAGTGCTAATTAATAACTCACCATATCAGCCGCAGGTGAAAGACCTGGTCAACCATTATGACGGTGAGTGAGGCCCCGCGGTACATGGTGAAGCAGAAGATCCCCACTCCCAGGAGGCACATGAGTGTGGCTATCAGAGTGGCATATGGAATGCGCGCCATGCACGATTGGCAGCATTCTCCTAGAAAGATTAAATAGTATTTATGAGACAATCATTAGATTTTTTTTGAGTATAAAATTAAACTTTAGCTTTAATAATTAGTAATGTTTTGACATTAATATATTTAGGGTGTCTTAAAACTGAAATTATTATAGGGAAAAATCAAAAAATTAAATGGGTACAGGAAATTAAAGTCGCTTTGCATATATATTTATTTAATTTAAATAATATTTTTTTTATTGCGAACGTTAATTTAAAACCTTTTTAGTTGAGTCAAAAGTCCAAATTAATTCACGGAATCCGACCCTGCATCGTATCAATCCAGTTTCGAAAAACGATAATGAAATTTGTACGTTGGCAAGATTTAATAAGCTCATGCATAGAATGTAATCTCTAAAATTATCACCATCATATAATAATCAAACCGGAAAAGTTTTTATCTTTTCTTTTTTATAAAAAAAAAGGTTTTATAGACAGCATTGTGGTTTTTAGTATAATATATATTTAATAAGTTTTAGATGTTATTTAATTATTCATTTAAAAGAAGTGACTCACTACAGAGAAAGGAAAATAAAGAATAATAACTGTGCTACAATAATAATAAAGGATAATAACAAAGTAAGCTTAATGAGAGAAATGTTTAGCGTTAAAGAGACATACAAATATGCAGGTACATTTCAGACAAATACACATACACGAATAACAGTTGCTTGTGCAAGCATAGGTGGAAAAAGACAGTGATAAGATAACAGGTGAACCAGCGACTAGTGGTAACAGGTTGTCCAGTGATTCACGTAAAGCAAAATAAGCACAAAGTGTACACACAATGCTGTGAGAGTGAAATCGTTTTATTGCACAATCGGAATGCATTTTATGCTCCGGGAATATCCTGGAAGTCGGATCGTACCTTCGCCTCCGCGCTCTGTGTACCTGTCCAAGGAGTGATCTGAGCGGTACGAGTTACGCCGACGGTTCTGGATGGACGGATTGTACGGATTTCCGTTGTAGGCGCGCGTCAGAACTCCGCCATCGTCCTCAAAGTTCGTCTCGAGCAGGATCTCCTCGCGGGGATCCCGGATGCGATCGCGGTTGTTCCCCTTGCCCGGCATACTGCACAATGCTTTTGGGAATCGGGAGTTACAGAGAGGTTTTAGTTACACACTGCCTTTGGGAAATAAGCGGTCGAGCTGGGGCTCGGTGAGTTTAATCAGCACACAATGAATCACACGCGCACCGACGTCATCCAATCAAGAGTTCCAATGATTATAATTTGTCTTTATAGTAATGACAGTGAACAGCGACTGACGCTCCCGTAGAAAAGAAAGAAAACTGAAAACACTGAATGGGCTGTCGTTCGACATCGAATGGATTCTCAGAAGCTCGAAAGAGAGATATCATAGTAACCAGCTCTTTTAACTGCTTTTTCAAAGAGCGTAGCGTTCGTTTGCTTATTCACTCTCAGCGATATCAATACACAGACTAAAATATCTACACATTTAAAGTGAATATAAAATACCTCACATTTCAATTTTTATTATTTTTTATAAAAAGTTTCGAATCTAGGCTTAAGTTGTTAGACGCCTTAATCTTTTTCTTTAAATTAAAATATTTTGTATTGTTGTTCATCCCAATGTGGGTGGGTAAAAGGTTATTTGCAGCTGTCATACAACTTCACTTTAAATAGAACAATATTTTTGTCGGTGTATACAATTGGTTCTGTTTCAATTAATGAGACAATTACAACGAACTTGCTGGAGAAGTTCAGTGCTTCGGTCAGGTCAAAAAGTCACACTAATAAAGGAAATAAGATAACCTTATAGAAAAATGTCGTTTAAAGGACCAGTAATAACAATTAACTTTTCATTACATTGTTTATTAAGAAGAATTTTCCGCGATTCAGGTGCTAAGCCGGACGGTAAATCGAATAGAACAATATGACATTTGATGCTGATAAAAAATAAATCATGTTTACTATTCTTTATTGGGTCACGCCTGGTTACTATTGCACACATAAATAATAGTAACCCTATTTTCATAATTGGGGTAAAATGCATTCTGACCTTTTTTGTATCCTTTTTATCTACGATTTCTTTAAATGTAACTAAGCTAATTATGTGGTTGGCGGCTGCTTAAAGTCTATCTAAGACAGACGGGACAACGACCCCAGAAAAGCAAATGAAACATCCAGATGACATCCTGCCAGCGAAGCGAGTGAAGAGCCTAGGCCCTTTAAATGCATCCGCATTTGAGAGATTCTCACCGGAAGTCCCGCGGTGTCTGTGGCAGACGGACTGAAAATTGCCACCGAGGCTTTGGAGCAGATGCCAAAAGCTGGATGCCAATGACACCAAGACACAAGCACAGGCTCGGCATTAGAGCTAAACATTAATTCCGGTAGCGTGCAATGACTCTTGGCGAACGAAATGAAGTCGGCTGCTAGAGCGTAAATATAATAATTCAGGAAGACCAACTGCAAACTATAATACTCTTGGCAGATTTAGAAAGATAGAGTCGCTAATCTGAGACAACATGCTCAAGAGATTTACAATTGTACTGCAAAAACGTAGTCTAAGACTAACCTCAAGTTTAAAATCTAGGGTTTTATTTTAGCCACATGTATTTAAAAATAAAATTGTTTGTAAAAAGTTTATATTTTGTTGCAGGGGAGAGGGGGTAAAAATAGATATCAACGATTTGTTAATATAAATACAGCCGCTATCAGGAAAAAATTAAATCTTTAAAAATTGTGCCTGCTTGCTATTAAGTTTGGGCAAATGAATAATATTTTTTTATGTTTTTTACACTTTTCTTACATAAAAAATGCAGTTCGCATAGTTATTTTCAAAAAATAACAATAGTTTTGCGTTTGAAGATGAATCAATCAAAGAAATTAGTCCAGAACCTTAATCCATATTAAAATTAGTGTTAAAGGCGGGAATACAATTTGAATAATATTTGTTTTCCAGTTTATTTTATAGTCTTTTGTGAACAATAATGTAATAAAAAAAAACAACAATGATGATTTTAATTGGTTTAAATATAACATCATTTCAAATGAACTCAAAACATAAAATTTATTCGGTATCCTTCTTCCTCCTTACAAACTTCTGACCAAAACAATAATAACCTTTAAGTTACAGCACTAAGCTTAGTTTCCCACGTGACATGTTAATTTAATAATTGGAATCCAATTGGAATCTATAGTTTAACCAAACAGTTTCTAAGCAAGCTTAGTTAGTATTATTATTTTTAAAAAGAGTTTTTTGAGTTTTCAAACGCTTATAAGCCCATAAGGCTCACCCAACTTACCCATTTTGAATAGCTGTGATTTGTTACCAGTTTCAGCAATTAAATTATATCATTTAAATATTTCCAAATGCAAGTAGATCTGCAGTGCAATTTATTAGTTGCGTTGGAATTTCTGAAGACTTTTACATCTGTTTGTATGTATACACAAACGCACAAACACCTCGCTCTACTTGGCAAACTAAAAACAAGTTTTGAGGTGTGAGCTTCGCAGTGGAAGGGTAAACTAAACTCGCGCTTAAACTGCGTTGCACTTGACTATTGTATTAAATTGCGATTATAACCGAAAACCACAGGTGGTTGTATTAATAGCGCTTATAGTTAAACACTGGCACGCATTTATTATCCTAAGCCTTCAAAACGTCAACTGAATTCGACCAAAAACAAGAAGTATCTACACAATAACGAGTTTATTGTGAAGGTGGAGTTACATTATATCGATAACACTATCGGTATACCAGGCGTTAGGCCTTTTCCGGGTGTTATTGTTTTTGTATATTTTATTGCTATTTAGTATTTTTGACGTGTTGTGTACCGTGTGATCTTGCCATTTTGCTGCAATTCGCAGAAGCCTTCAGTGTACAGTGTTTACGCTGCCTCGTACTGTTGCCTCGTAAAAATCACCTACATATAAAATTTAAAATTACTTTTGAGAGCAAAGCTTTAATTGACCACCTGTCCATCTCTAATTCTGGGTCATGGCTATCGATAGATCGCGGGCAAGCCGATAGTTCTGTCCATATTCCATCGCCTGTTGGTCGTCAGCGGATATTTTGCAAATATAATTGATATTAGAACTTTAAATGCCGCAATAGCAGCTATTTAGGCTGTGGCAATACTCCCACCAGATATTAGGCAGCCGAAAAAGCTATCCAAGCGATGACCAGGACGTGAGAGCGGCGGAACTGCAAACCGGCCATCTATTTTACACATTCTTGTTGTTGCTGGGCGCTGCAATCCGAAACACGACGAATATATTTGCTTTGCTTTTGCTGATGTATTTCGGTTAACAGCAGCGCATCGAATCGCCGCTACGACTGCATATATAGCCGCTCCATTAGCTGACGCAAGCAATTCGCCGCTGAAGGTGTTTTCGATGACCGACCACTGAGACCGGAGTTTAGAAGATCCGTCATCCAGACAGACAGAACACTCACCCGGCAAACATGCTCCACCTCCTGTTGGTCTTCTTTATGGCCACGGCCACTTCTGCCGGAGATTCCCTCCAGCGCATCCGGCGAGCCGCCATTGACGTGGATAGCTCAAAAGCCACGCACAACATCATTGATCTGGCTGAGTGCCAGGACCTCAAAAAGCTGTGCACCCACCACAAATCCACGGATAATCTGTCCATGCTGGAGTGCGCCCTGACATTCAGTTCCAGCCAGCTGGAGGACCTTCCCGAGGGTTGCCAGCATGCCCTGTGGATGCAGCAGCGCCAGTTGCAGCTGCCCGCCTGGATTGAGAACACCTTTCTGCCCTCCTATTGTCCCGCCGAGCGGTCCAAGCTGGAGACCTGCCTGAACTCCATACACCTGTGGAGCTGCCTCGATCAGCAGCGATTAAAGCTGCCACAGAATAACGCCTGTCATCAGCACCTGAGAAGGGCCTATGAGGCTTTGGGACAGGATTACACCTCTGTGGATGAGTTCTACACCGCCTGCGGCCTGCTCGTGGAGCAGCACAAGTGCGGTCGGCTGAACATCGACCACCTGCCCTCGGTCCTGTCGCAGTTGGGCACGGTGCAGTGCCTTCAAACGAGCGCCAACAAGGCAAGCCTTGAGCCCATCTGCCAAGGCGCCATTAACTCCATTGCCATGCAACGTGGAATGATGGAGCTGTTCCGCGTCTGCCAAGAGGATCTCTCGTCTCTGTGCACGCAGGTGAGTGGAATCTTTAAAGGCTTCCCAATCAAATGGTCCACTTAAAACCATTTAAAATAGGCTGTGTCCCAAAAAAAATGTATTAACAAATTAATAGATAAGGAAGCAAAAGCATTCAGTGTGAATAATGTTGTTGAAACGTTTCACTATTGCCCCAAATAATTTAGATAAGATTATTTAAATTAGGCAGTACACAAAATACTGTACTGTAGCATTGTTGTAACGAAAAAAACATTAAATATTATACGAAGTTGACGGAAAATAATAATAAATATTTAAAAGCAGCAAGAATTTGAAGACAGTTCATACATTCTATATCTTTCTTATGTGTTTTTATCTATAATGAAAAGAAATGATTCTAGCTACTGAATAATAACGGAAGTATGTTATCTTTTTCGTTTTAGGAAAAAGCCGGCACAGCTGGAGCGTTTAAATGCCTGGTGCGACACAAAAACCACGCCTCGATGTCGCAACAGTGCGCTTTACAGATCACGTTAAGAGATCAGGAAATGGGCCGCGACTATCGCGTGTCTCACGGACTTGCCAAAGCCTGTAAGGAGGACATAAAGCTGTACCACTGCCGGCGCGGCGTTTCCGAGGACAAGCATGTGCGGTTGGCCCAGATCTTGCTCTGCCTGGAGTCAGTGTCCAAGAATGGTACCAAACTGGCACCCGCCTGTCTCACCGAGTTGACCGATCACCGACGCATGCTGATGCAGGACTATCAGCTGTCACCGGAGCTCCTTAACGACTGTGCCGATGATATACCCAAATTCTGTCCGGATGAGCATAAGGCGCAGCTGGTTAATGGCATTACCAGTACGGGTGGCGAGATCATCCACTGTCTGCTGGAGCATGTGAAGGCCAGACGCCCGCAGCGACGAGTAACGGCGCAGTGCCAGCGTGGATTAGAGACCCTGATTAAGGCCAGCGATGCGGGCGAAGATTGGCGCGTAGATCCGGTGCTAAGGCGCGCCTGCAAGCCAGTCGTCGATGTGGTCTGCAAGGATGTACAGGGTGGCGACGCACGAGTCATGAGCTGTCTGGTGGAGCACATTGGCACCCCCGTGATGCTTCCAGAATGCGAGCAAGCACTCCTCATTATAGAGTACTTCGTGGCCAGAGACTTCAAGTTGGATCCCCAGCTGTACAAACATTGCCGAGATGACGCGGTGAAGTACTGTCGTGCAAAAAGGCAGTGGGACGATGCGCAGAACATACAAATGGACCCGGAACGGGGTCCCATGATTCTTCCCTGCTTGCACCGCATGGCCTTCAGCGAGGACGAGCGTCAGACTTTGAGGAAGGACTGCTTTAAGGAGGTTAAGCGTGTGATGAGACAGCGCGCCATATCTATGGACTTGATTCCCGAGGTAGAGGATTACTGTCTTAACGATCTATCGGCGTTCTGCTCTGACTGCACGGAAAAAGGCAGTGAAATGGAGTGCCTACAAAAAAACATGGACCAACTGCAGCCGGAGTGCAAAACAGTTGTGGTCAAGTACACGGAGGAAGAAGCTGCTCATGTGGAGCTCAATCCCGTGATCATGAACGTTTGCGGTGAGGCCATGCAGCAGCACTGTTCGGCGATCCTCAAGAGCGGAAAGGATAATGGTAATTTCGGAATTAATATTCTGTGATAGGGAATTCTGCAGTTCATTAATTAACACATATTTGCAATTATTTTTAGGTGACATGATGGACTGTCTTATAGCGCACAAAAATGACGCCGATTTGCGCAAGGATCTCCGCTGTCGGGCCGCCATTGAGCACTTCCAGATCATCTCACTTAAAAACTTCCACTTTACGACCAAGTTCAAGGAGGCGTGCCGTCCGTATGTCCAGCGCTTTTGCTCCTCGAGCGCAACCAAAAACGAGGTGGTGGCTTGCCTTAGCGAGGTGATGCGCAATGACACGATCAAGGCGCAGCGACACCAGATCCCGAAGGAGTGCCGTCATCAGGTGAAGGCGCAACTCTACCAGCAGCGCGAGAGCATCCAGCTGGACCCCAAGCTGGCAAACGCCTGCAAGCGCGAACTGGAGCAGTTCTGCGAGGAGGAAAAAGGGCCCGGTCAGGTGAATGAAAAAGCAAGTTATCTAACTCATCCTTAACCACTAAAACTCTTTAACACTGGAAAGGCAAGTACAAAGTATTTTTGTTAATTGGAAAAAATATTGATGACAATCTTTATTTATTATTTATTTATTTTTTTGTTTAAAAATAATACTTTTGTAATATAATATAACATTTTAGTTTTTTTAATAGAGTTTTTTTTTGGTATCAGCACCCTAAAATCTATAATGATATTATACTTTTATTAATGTAAATTGTTGGTGCAACACAGTGTAGTTTTAGATTCTCTTTTCTTAATACTTTTTTAATGAGAAATCATTTTTTTTGAGCAATGAAAAATATTTACATATAAATAAAAACTTTTTCCAGTTTACAAATATGAACTTAGCCTTATTATGCCTCTAACTCAACACATTTCATACCCAAATCCAGAAAAATTATACATAAATATGAAATACTGAATTTTTTTATATATAATCGATTGCAGGCCCTGGAGTGCCTTATAAGGAAGACGACTAGTTTGGGTAAGCCCTGTCATCATGCTATCTTCATGGTCAAGAAATCGGAGTTGGGGGACAGCGGCACTGACTATACGCTTCTCACCACGTGCAAGGAAATGATCTACAAGTTCTGTCCCAGCACTGATTCGGGGAAACTATTGGATTGTCTCAAGACATACAAAGATGACACGCAATTTGATCAGCGGTGTCACCTGGTGGTGGTCAATCGCATGATCGAGCAGAATACAGATTTCCGATTTAATCCATCACTGCAAAGCGCGTGCGGAAAGAACATCGATCGGTATTGCTCCAACATTGTGGCCAGTGCTTTGCCGAATGAGGAGCTAAATGGAAAGGTGAGAACTACAATTTTAGAGAACTGTTCTGGCACTGAAAATGTGTTTTTTAATTCACCACAAAAAAGGTTATTTTGCCTGTTCTCCTTTACCTACTAAAGTACTTTATTTTTTTTATTTACACCTTTAATATCCTATACATAACACTGATATTTACATTTCCTAATTAAGCTATCAATTAAAACTCCACATCCTCTCGCTGCAGTCTCCCATTGTCAGGATCGTCAATTGCGGCAGTCAGAGTTTCCAATAAATCTTCTCCTTTAGTTATCTCCAAATTGAGTTGATTATATGGCCCACTTGCACTGGTCAAAGGACTCAGTTCATTGGGAATGCCATCAATGGCAAACGAGGTCCACAACTCCACCATTTTCTGTGCCATCTGAGTATCCTGGCCTTCAAGTGGATGAGTGGCAAATAGATAGATGTTGTCGTTCGAGTGATGCACTCCTCCATTGAATGGATAGTGTGAGTTGCCAAACTCATAGCCAAATCGAGTGTATTTGCCCTCGTACTCAAAACTATACAGATACACTGGTGAGGAGGTTTGTCGATTGTAGATTTTGGTAGCCAGCGTTATCACTGGGGATTTCATAAAGATTGCCGAAGTTAACTGTAAATAGGGTGTACAAAAATTAAGAATTTCTGTTTTTTTTGTGGTCATTTTTTAAACTTACATCAAAGTAAGAGGGAACTGCAGCATTGTGATCATGGCTATTGAGGATCTGAGGTTTGAAGAGCAACCGATTCAAAATGTTATCCGAGAGTCCCGATGTATCATTAACCATATCATTGATACCTTGGGAAAACTGACGAACACTCAACGAACTCACATTGGACACCTTGGCAGCCAAAGCATCATAGTAGGCTGAAATAAAACAATGTTAAGTAATGAACAAGAATTGGAAGCTTATGATGACACTCACATGCTAATACGAAGGAACCATCATGTTGAGTAAACCCAGTTAGCAAGGGAATCTGTTTGCTGTAGCTTTTCACCAGCTCATTGGGCTGTTGCGGCAGGATACCCTGTAAATCTCCTATGATTGGCGAAAATGACTCTGAGGTGGTAGCCAGTAGAATATCTTTAACCTTTGCTTTTTGCAAGCACTCCACGAGCTGATCGTGCTGTTCGCAGCCAGGACATCCCAACTGGCCACATATCCGACGCGATTGTGCTGGTGGATCCTTGTTGATGGCCCAGCTGGCGAGAATCGAACCGGACTGCACAATAGCTCTCTTAAACAGATTGTCGCCAGTTTTAGGACTCACCAACAAAGCACTAGCTACTCCGGCTCCAGCACTCTGACCAAAAATAGTTACCATCTCTGGGTCACCACCAAAGCGATTAATATGCAATTGCACCCAATCGAGGGCCAGTAGGATATCAGCGATGGGCGCATTTCCGGGCAGCTCTTCTGTGTATGTCGACAGCCAGCCCAGGGCTCCCACTCGATATTGGGGCACAACAAGTACCACATCTTTCTCTAGGATATAGTTTGGTGGGTGATCCTCGGCGGATCCATTATAGAAGCCACCGCCATAGATGTAGAACATTACAGGCTGTCTTGCAGAAAGCTAAAAAATAGTTGTTAATCAGTATTTTTATTTCGTAGTTTAATTGACGAAACAGCCTATTTCACAATCGTAAAGTCTCAGCACTTTGGAACCTAAATTGCACTCTATGGTTATAATGATTAGGACTATCATCATTAACTTTTACTCACATTTTTAGTGTAGACCGACAGATTGAGGCAATCTTCGAGTTCAGCATCAGACAACTGGTCATCCAGATTAGTTATCACGGGGCAGCGTTGTCCAAAGTTCAGTGCGCCGTGGGAGCCCGTCCATGGTGATCGGGCCACAGGTGGCTAGACGCCGAAATATAGAATAGAAAGCATTTGCATTTCGTCATAAACCAGCTTATCAGTTAAGGCGACGCAAAACTTGAATGTCAATACAAAAAAAAAAGGAAAAAAGTAGTAGCTTTTTAGTATTAGCCGAACAATCTACTAACATCAATTATTTATATTTATTAATTAAACTGCGGTGAGAGAAAGAATTCGGCTGGCTACGGTTAGCTTCCTTTCTTTGGTTTAAAGTGTTATACTTGATTTTTTACTGACGTTTTTATTTAGTGAAAAATACATTTGAGCAGTCAATAATTTCGGGTATGACTTTTAGACACACTCAACTGACTTACCCGAAAGCGTAGCTCCTCCGTTGGTGGTTCGGCATAGGGAATGCCACGAAATTGCATAAAAGTTTGATCCGTCCAAGCTGTGTAACCATAATTCCCAAGCACTTCTCCCTGGCCATTGGATAGTTCCACCGTTACCGTTGCTGAATCGGATGCATCAGCTCCTTGGCCGCCGGTAAGAGTGATCACAAGAAAGGCGGTAAGAGCAGCGGTCACCATACCGCACAGAGTCAGCATCACGTATACGCCGCGTCTACGCATCAGACCCGACTAACGACAACTTTGAACGACAACTGAATCGAGAATGAAACGGCTGTGAAGTCTAACGATTTGCTGGTCACCGTGTTATCATGGCGGTGACGAACACAAGACGTTATTTTATACCCGCTATTCGTAGAAAAAAAAGGTTTACTGATATGGTTTAAATGCTTATTTGAGATCTCGGAAACTATAAGAGCTAAACAATTGGGATTAAGCATGCGGGTTCAAGCAATGCCTATGCAGCATTCTACAATCAAAATTACTTCCTTATCTGCGATGCTTTCAATTGAACAACCTTTCAATTGACCATTCATTAACGGGTCAAAACTAAAGGGCTTTTAACTCCTATCTAAGCTATAATAGTTTTTTATTTTATTGTCGGTGTTTTGCTAATCTTTTTAATTGAATTAACTCTTGATAAACATTTTTATTATTTATCAACTTTGGCATGTGTAAGGGCTAAGGTCCTTAGTTTGAGACGGTCAGTGCGTACTTAAGACAATCGAAATCTTATCAAAATTATGTTTTCTTGTGTTGGATATTAAATGCAAATTAAACTTGCCCTTTATTGGTTTTAATTTAAAGCTTAATACTCTTTAATTGAATATACATTTTTGTTGATTACTTTGCAGGTGATTCACTGTCTAAAAGACAAGTTCCGCCAGTCAGCGCTGGACGAGCCATGTGCCAAGGAGATGATCAAGATCCTGCAGGAGCAAGCCCTCAACAACAAGCTGAATCCGCTGCTGCAGGTGTTCTGCAAGTCGGAGATCCAGGAACTGTGCAAGGCAAATATTGATTCCGACGAGCACGGCCAAGTGGAGGAGTGCTTAAAGACGGCCTTCCTGCAAAAGCAGATAATCAATGTGCAGTGTCAGATGGAGGTGGCCGCACTGATCGCGGAAGCTAAGGCTGACATCCACGTGGATCCTATTTTGGAGACGGCCTGTACCGTGGATCTGTTGCGTTACTGCTCCAAGGTGTCGGCCGGAAATGGACGCAGTAAGCTGACATAAATATTCTTAACTAGATTTTTCAACCAAGTCATATTCGGAGACTAGGGAACTTAAGATCTAAATCTTTCCAATTGACTTCATTACTTTTTTCTATTAGTTAATTTTTTAAATATTAAACCAATTGAATGGAGTGTTTGTAGTTGACTAAAACTCTAAGTGCATTTAAACAAATTTAAAAATTATAATAAAAAAATTCTTTTATCATCTTTACCTAATAGAGCTGAACTGCCTGAGGACACTGCTGAAGGATACGCCAAACTCGCTGGAATCGGACTGCCGCGAGAAGCTGGATAGGCGCATCGAGATGTTCCGGAACGCGGACGACACGCTGGCGATGCCGCCAGAGGATATGCACCAGCTGATGCAGCAGGTGGTCACCTCGCCGTCGCGCAAATTCTTCCTTGTGATACTGATGAGCGTCACGGGCCTGGTCTTTCTTACCGGCATCTTCCTGGGACGGGCCACCAAACGTGCAATGGGCTTGAAGAATAAATAATTCAAATAGTAGACTGTAGTTGCTGTGTAGGCAGAGTGTGCATGTTTGTGAGCTTGTTGTTTTCAATTTCGGCTGACCCATGACCCAATTCCGATCCTTACTTTTTCTCACCCTCCAAACTGCCTGCCTTTTAAATATTTGTGTGAGCAATTTGTGGCTTAATCGTTTATAAGACCAAAAATTAAGCGAAAAAAGAGAAAACAATAAACTATTCTAGTTCCATTCTTAGGGCCTGTTTTGTTATACCTTTTTTGTAACAATTTCACCTGTATATTAAATTGTATTTTTGTAAGCAAACGCTTATCGCATTTTTTAAAACTACCACTTTATGGCACCAACAGGTGTTTTTAGACGGGGGCATTACGTATTATGATTCTATTTTACAGACTAGGAAAAAGTATCATGGTTTTTAAACAAATCGCATTAGTGGAAATGCTGACTTTATATATAGGTTTTTACGTTAAAAAATATATATATTATACATTTTAAATTAAATTTGTTCCGTTATATTTTACTTGCTCAACAAGTGTCTTAGTATTTTTGAATAAGTAATCTTCTATTTTGGTATATTTCGGTGACCCGGATGGTATATTATAGTGGCGGAGCTGCGGTCACACTACTGGCCAGTCATTCGGAACAAGGAGATTTTCTGCCGTGAGAAAAGCTTCCAAAAAGGTGTCAAGTGCCTAGAAATAGTACAACTATTCGAAAATACTTTAATAAGAAACAAGTGCCTGCTAGAAGTGCTACTTCAAAAGTGCGAGGATGGTGATATCAAACCTTCAATAAGAATTTTCAAAGAGCCAAGTAAGCAAGACCACTTTAAAGCATTCACATCACAAGCACCAACACAATCGCAACCGAAACGGGTTCTATTAAAATAGCTAACGTAGCAAGCATCTACAGATTAGTTCAAAATAATAGCAGTAAATAATTAAATATATCCCAAATATTTAAAATTTTTTAAAAATATAAGGCAGTTTAGGAGCTAAAGTGCCATCGATTTTAATAAAAGTCGTCTACATTAATTTTATATCTTGAACTAAAGAATTTAAGTTTTAGGCCTTTTATGCTAGAAAAAAATTAATTATTTAAATCGACCAATTTTGTAGTATTGTAGACCTAGTAGTAGTTCCTAAAAACCTTTTACACAATGTTGAACTTTCCAAAGAACTTGTGAACAAATTTAAGATACTTAACAAAATTTATTTTTATGCTAATTAGTGGGTTACTATTAACAGTAAACAAATAAATTTAGGTAATTGAATTTATAATGAAACGTCTAAAAAAAATAAAATTCTTCTTTCAGTATTTTTTATAGCTTACGACTATTATTTTGCCGGCTGCTGTAGCGACAATGGACGGCGTTAAGGTTGAGGCGTTCATCAAAAGCGAAGGTGAGTCCAGTCACACGAGTCATTGCACCTTGGAACCCGTACTGACACTGCCATTGCCCTTTGACCTTGCAGAAAGCCGAGCGATGCCTTTGCTTGGAGGCGGCGGTTCATCAGGAGGCACTTCGATCACAGGAGGCGGCGTGGGAATGGGAGCCGGAGCGTCTTCCACGCTGAGCGTGGAGCTGTGCCTGGTGTGTGGGGATCGGGCCTCCGGACGGCATTACGGGGCCATCAGCTGCGAGGGCTGCAAGGGCTTCTTCAAGCGCTCGATCCGCAAGCAGCTGGGCTACCAATGCCGCGGGGCCATGAACTGCGAGGTCACCAAGCACCACCGGAATCGGTGCCAGTTCTGCCGACTGCAGAAGTGCCTGGCCAGCGGCATGCGAAGTGATTGTAATTTTCGTTTAAGTCGTCGTCTCAAGCTATAACCGAATCTCTGGCGTGGCCAGAGTCTACGTGCTCCAGCAGGCTATAGCAGAAGTGAATTCGAGACATTCTTTTAAAAGAAGCTAACTCCCAGGGTCTTTTTACACGAGCTTAACATTATTAATTTTTAACATTACGGGTGCAATACAAAAAGAAATTGTCAAGTATATGTGGTTATATATATTTCGAACTTATATTTGAGATATCAGTTCAACATATTTTATCGGTATTTACAAAGCCAAATAGGATATAACTCAGATGAGAATTAAGTTCAACCTTTGTTTAGATCTGTTTTTTTTAAAAAAGCCGTGTTTTCTTGGCAGCCATGACATTCAGAGGAGCTTTAATATCTTCTATAGTAATTTTATTAACTGTAGTTTCTTTTTAATAGTGTCTAAGAGTACGGTTTACATTTTTAAAGCTACATGCGAAACTAATTGCATATCCAGCGTTAGCTTCTCTTACATGAATATCCACTGCAATTACTTGCTCATCATCTTGAATCTGCATCTGCGGGGGCACAAAAGATTCCCAACCAGCACACATTCACACTAACCATCTCACCCACTTACTCACATCGCCTGGAAAATCATCAAACCGCATCTTAATCCCAATTCTTGCTCTATTTAATTGCTTTCCGTTCTGTGCAACTTTGATTCACAGCTGTGCAGCACGAGAGGAAACCGATTGTGGACAGAAAGGAGGGCCTCATCGCCGCTGCCAGTGGCTCATCAACTTCCGGCGGTGGGGGCAGTTCCTCCACCTACCTCTCCGGCAAGTCTGGCTATCAGCAGGGGCGTGGCAAGGGGAACAATGTCAAGGCCGAGGCCGCGGCCACGCCCCCCGTGCACAGCACGCCAGCAACGCCCTTCACATTGAACGAGAATCTATTCCCAATGGGACTGAATTTTGCGGAACTAACGCAGACATTGAGTAAGTTCATCGTGAAGTGCAAATAAATTTATAAAGATTAAATTGTAATTTTTGACTTGTACAGTCCACGATATTTTCAATATTTTTACCCAGTGACTTGTATAGTAAAAGGTCATGCAATAGTCTCAAATTAAGCCAAGTTATCGATTTAAATGCTGCACCTTTAAGATACTCATTTGGTTTTATAAGTCAGTTTAAGATATCACTGGAGTTAGGGTTGTTAAAGTAAATATATAACTAAATTGTTTGGTACTATAAAACAAATGTTTAACAAGTTGTATTTTGTTTTCCAGTGTTTGCCACCCAACAGCAGCAGCAACAACAGCAACAGCAGCAGCAGACCGGCAGCTACTCTCCAGATCTTCCAAAGCCAGATCCCGAGGATGATGAGGACGACTCGATGGACAACAGCAGCACGCTATGCCTTCAGCTGTTGGCCAACAGCGCAAGTAATAACAACTCACAGCACCTTAACTTCAATGCTGGAGAAGCACCCAGTACGCTGCCCACCACCTCGACGATGAACCTCATCCAGAGCTCTCTGGATATGCGGGTAATCCATAAGGGTTTGCAGATCCTGCAGCCCATCCAAAATCAACTTGAGAGGAGTGGCAATCCAAGTGTGAAGCCTGAATGCGATTCAGAGGCGGAGGACAGTGGCACCGAGGATGCCGCCGATACGGAACTGGAGCACATGGATCTGGACTTTGAGTGTGGAGGCAATCGAAGTGGTGGCGGCGATTTTGTCGTCAATGAGACGCTCTTTGAGCAGGATCTTCTCACGGATGTGCAGTGTGCCTTTCATGTTCAACCGCCAACTTTGGTTCACTCGTATTTGAATATTCATTATGTGTGTGAAACGGGCTCGAGGATTATCTTTCTCACAGTTCACACCCTTCGAAAGGTACCAGTTTTTGAGCAATTGGACGCACATAGCCAAGCTAAGCTGTTGCGGGGAGCCTGGCCAGCACTGATGGCTATAGCTTTGGCTCAATGCCAGGGTCAGCTGTCGGTACCCACCATAATCGGGCAATTTATACAGAGCACTCGCCAACTGGCGGATATCGATAAGATCGAGCCGCTCAAGATCTCCAAGATGGCCCATCTCACCATGACGTTGCACGACTTTGTCCAGGAGCTCCAGACGCTGGAGGTCACGGATCTGGAGTTTGGTTTACTGCGGCTAATATTACTCTTTAATCCGTCACTCTTGCAGCAGCGCAAGGAGCGCCAGTTGCGAGGATATGTCCGAAGAGTCCAACTCTACGCGTTGTCCAGTTTGAGGCGCCAGGGAGGAATCGGTGGAGATGAGGAGCGCTTCAATCTGCTCGTAGCTCGACTACTTCCACTGAGCAGTCTGGAGGCGGAGGCCATGGAGGAGCTGTTCTTCGCCAATTTGGTGGGTCAGATGCAAATGGATGCTCTGATTCCCTTTATCTTGATGACCAGCAATACCAGTGGCCTATAGGTGGAAATGAGGAGGAGGAGGGAGCAGGCATTAATGCTGAGCCGCCCAAAAGCAAGACTGAAGATGGACCAAGTGCGGGCAATACACATAGCAGATAGGCAAATCCCCATAATATTTAAATTATACTTTAGCAGACAATATTCTAACGTGCAACCTTGGGTTTATTGTTGTTCACAGATTAAACGGAATCGATTTCCCAATAAAAGAATATGTTATATGGACTACGATTAATTAAATACATTTTGTATTTTCTATTAACTTTATTGGGAAAAAACTTAATTACATTAATAGAAATTTTCATTTCAAGAAATTCATTAACTTGTTATTGCAAGTTATCCAAACAGTAACCCTTTTAAATTTAATTACTTTTTTTTAATAAATTGTTAAAATATTTCCTTTAATGGTTGATAAAAAGAATTAAGCGCAGTATATTTATAATTAGTTAGTCTTTGTCGCCTCCTTAAGTTACCAAAAATTCATAAGAGGATTTATCTTATGCAAAGGTTTTAGGGCATTTAGAAAAATAAAATTTTTAAATATGCACCATGTTAGAATCAGGCTTTATATTTTTTAGAAAAATATTTTGATTGTTTACAATAGTAGCTAGACGAACACCATCTAAAATGCATTAAACCTTTACGACTTAATCTAAAGTGAGGTGGGGGATCACTGGGCCTCCTCCGGGATCTTTCTGGCTGGCTTGTGCTTCTTGTGAACCTCGTCGTTGAGTCCCTCCCGATTCCGGGCAATCTCGATGGCCAAAAACTGGACGCGGAACACGAAGATGGAGTTGTCCGGGGAGAATTCCTTGCTGGCATCGGCGCGCATCAGGGTGCCGTACGAGTAATCGTCCATCTTGTTGAACTTCTCGGCGAACTGCCGCCACTTGAGCTTCTCCACGGCGGATTTCAGGATGTCATCGGAGAGCCGGCCCACCTCAAGATCGGGGAAATCCTGCCGGAAGGTGGCATATATCTGGTCGTCGTAGGGTGTGAGTTTCAGCAGGGAGGGATGGACACTGGTGATCAGCTGTAGCGAGTTTGACAACATTATTATCTCAAATATTTGCCAGGAGTATACAAAGCCAACTCACATTAAAGTGAACCTCGGCATGCTCCAGAGCTTTGGAGGCCCACATTTCCTCCACCAGCGAGTCGTTGCCGAATTCATCTGCTGGCCGCGACAGCAGCGATGCTCCTTGCTGGAATATACAATAATTAGGGCTGACTTCTTGCGCTTTTCCCAAGACATACCATCATTTCCATTTTAGTTAAGCAAAATAGCTAAATTGCTTTTACAAAATTAAAAAAATCACGTTTCCTTTATTTGGCGTAGTGTGACCAGTAAGTATAAAGATCGTACATAAATGACAATGTTGGTATTTCCAAAACTTACTTAATACTAAATTCAAAAATTCAGTTAAAAACGATAAGAATATATAAATAAATAGTCGGAATAGAAAAACTATACTCCTTGTTTAGAAATGTAAAATGCTGGGAATTATATAAAATAAAACTACGGAGGGATTTTTAAATAAATGATTTCCTAGAACGAAGTTTAAAATCCTTTTACAAAACCCAAGAATTAAAAACAAAATTGTAATTTTTATTTAAAACATATCTAACTGGCTGCTTGCCAAGGGTATTTAAATATATCTGATAACTAAACACCCCAACATGAGGCTACAGTTCCAATTTAAATAATATGACTAGAAAAAACAGAGTAGGAATCTTTGTGTTGAATAAAATGTCAGTTATTATTCTTTTCACTGTAAACACTTTCACATTTTCCACACGAAGCCCGGTCTTGCTTGATTGTTGTTTTTATAACCACACATGTTATTAGCACACAACAATTATTTCGGGAATCATGTTCGAAAGCATAAGTTTTTTGTTCCTGTTTGCCCTGGCCTTCGTGGCTTGGGTCCTGCTCTGCTTCCAGCACGTGGTCCAGGTCCAGACGCGGGTCTCCTCCGATTACCGAGTGGAACTCTACACAGGTGAGCATGAGTTGGATAGCTAGAGGTGTTTTCGCAGTTTAAATTCAATTTTAAATTTAAGAGAATGTTTCTTTCAACCGACTTCTGAAACTAATTATCATCATCTCCACTTTCGACTAAATTAAATCATCATCAGAACATCCCGGGATTACGTTTGAGCCGCACCTGTGCCACAGTCCCTCGGATCAGAAGGAGAAACCTTCGAGTGGCGCCTACGAGTTCGCGATGAGCTTCGGGGTGATCTTCGCCCTGACCTTTGGCCTGTCTAAGCTCCTCCAACTGGCGGAGGTGCAGGCCAAGAGCTATCTCAAGTGTCGCAAGGATCTCGCCGCCGCGGAGACGTGGGAACTGAACCAACCCGATCCCTTCGAGCCATTGTTAAGCCACGATGAGGATCTCAAGGAGCAACTAAGTATCCTGCAATCCCAGTGCTTGGAAATGCGTGAGCTTTTGCATGATCTGCGGATCAGCAGCAGTACCAGTAGCTATGGGAGTGCCCAATCCGGGAATGAGATGGCTCAACCTCAAGCCTCCGAGGAGTCCATGTTGGTGTGCAAGCGAACGGACTCCATGGTTTCCATGACAGTCTCTAATTCGTCGCCCGCGGAGAGGCCCACTCTTTCGGCCATTCCCCAGCCCAGCCAGAACATCTACATCACCAACAGCCACATCCACATCAACGGACGCGTCTACCTGACCGAGAACCACGTGAACGTCGACCTTCGCCGGCAGGCATCGATGTACGCCCGGAAGCAGAGCGAGTTCCTCCAAGTGATGGGCAACTACATCGGAGGACCCAAGGAGCGACCCATGATAGCGGGCATGCGATGCAACAACATCCTCGTGTGAGGAACGACCTAAATCCACCATTCACTCGTAATAAACATGGTTAATGGCGTTTATTTAAACGTTTTTTATTTAACAATTGCCAATTAATTACTAAGTAATTATAAAACAAGAAAGGAAAGCTAACCTCGGGCGGAGCCGATGTTGATATACCCTTGCAGAATATTCAGTAAATTAAATTCTCCAAAATGATTCATACGATGCATTCTTAATACTCATAAAAAATCCCAATTTCCTAACATTACAAACACCAAAGTTATGGCATTTCAGTTATATGGCAGCTATAGGATATAGTCGGCCGATCCTTATGAAATTTGGTAGGTCGGATTGATTGGCCAAAAATAAAACCCATAAAAAATTCCATTTTCCTAACTTTACAAACACCAAAGTTATGGCATTTCCGATCTATCAGTTATATGGCAGCTATAGGATATAGTCGGCCGATCCCGGCCGTTCCGACTTATATACTGCGTGCAAAGGAAAGAAGGGTGTGTGCGAAGTTTCATTTCGATAGCTTTAAAACTGAGAGACTAGTTTGCGTAGAAACAGACAGACGGACAGACAGGTTAATTACTAAGTAATTATAAAACAAGAAAGGAAAGCTAACCTCGGGCGGAGCCGATGTTGATATACCCTTGCAGAATATTCAGTAAATTAAATTCTCCAAAATGATTCATACGATGCATTCTTAATACTCATAAAAAATCCCAATTTCCTAACATTACAAACACCAAAGTTATGGCATTTCAGTTATATGGCAGCTATAGGATATAGTCGGCCGATCCTTATGAAATTTGGTAGGTCGGATTGATTGGCCAAAAATAAAACCCATAGAAAATTCCATTTTCCTAACTTTACAAACACCAAAGTTATGGCATTTCCGATCTATCAGTTATATGGCAGCTATAGGATATAGTCGGCCGATCCCGGCCGTTCCGACTTATATACTGCGTGCAAAGGAAAGAAGGGTGTGTGCGAAGTTTCATTTCGATAGCTTTAAAACTGAGAGACTAGTTTGCGTAGAAACAGACAGACGGACAGACAGACGGACAGACGGACATGGCTATATCAAATCAGGAGGTGATCCTGATCAAGAATATATACACTTTATAGGGTCGGAGATGTCTCCTTCACTGCGTTGCACACTTTTGACCAAAATTATAATGCCCTCTGCAAGGGTATAAATATTGTAGACATAGGCAGCTACTACAGAAATCAAGAAATTTATTCTCAATCATCCTTGGACATCCTTCCTTTAAAGCCTTTAGTAAAATAGTTACTATTTCAATTCAGATATTAAAGTTATGTAAATCATAAATCATAAGTGCAATACAAAAATAGGCGAAAACATTTTTTTTGTGAATATCTCAAAAACGGATCTTTGTTACATTTTTATACCCGTTACTCGTAGAGTAAAAGGGTATATTGTATTCGTGCAAAAGTATGTAACAGCTAGAAGGAAGCGTTTCCGACCCTATAAAGTATATATATTCTTGATCAGGGTCACTAGCCGAGTCGATATAGCCATGTCCGTCTGTCCGTCTGTCTGTCCGTATGAACGCTGGGATCTTGGAAACTATAAAAGCTAGAAGATTGGCATTTTGCATGTAGATTTTAGAAGTTCCTACGCAGCGCAAGTTTGTTTCAAAAAGGTGCCACGCCCCCTTTAACGCCTACAATCGCTTATATACGATTTTAAAAATTTAAATATTTTGGAAAAGTAAAAATGCAGTTTTATTGTGTTTATCAATACCTATCGAAATGTAGAAGAAATTTTTCAAATCGGACCATTCGTTAAAAAGTTATGCGCGATCAAAGTTTCTATCTCCATCTTCCTCGTACTCCCTTTACCTGAGTAACGGGTATCTGATAGTCGGGGCACCCGACTATAGCGTTCTCTCTTGTTTGAACCAAAATTGGTCCAAATCGTTTTTGCTCCTGTTTGCAAGTTTTTGCAACAACTAAGGTTTACAGTTTGTGGTTGATATTGAAAGCCATGGACTAAGGCTTTGCATTCCGAAAACGGATCACTAACTTTTTCTACCTGAATAAATAGGTAGTTTATGTACTGAGCCAAATCATGCATTAAACATAACTCGGGCACCACTATAAAACTTAAGCGAACAGCTGCCGGACTAGCCCCTGCTTTTAAAGGCGCCAGGTAAATATAATTTTGGGTAGATTTATATAGTCCTATTTATGTAGATAAATACCCTTTGACCCACGAAACGAGTATATAAGGCCGATATCATGGCCCCTAAATTCAGAACGAAACTAACTCCTGACTCATTAACTTCTCTGCCGCAAATTTGCGTACTGTTTTTGTGCCTACGAAAATATAAAATAATTTACATATCAGTTTTTTTTACGAATTCAGGACATTGAAATTGGTAATTATATTTCATAATAATAAAGCATATATTAAAGCACCTTAATTGTTATTATTCAAACGAATAGATTTGACTAAAAATAGACTCACCCATAATTCATTACATTTAGAAAAATCCCTTTAAAAATTTGTTCTCCCTCTTATTTATATTTCAAATCAAATTTTTGGATTTACCCATATCTTTAAAAATTCGCGGAGTTCTATCTTATGATTTTTAAATTTCAGATCGATGGAGTCGTCATTATGTCGAGTTTGCCTTGTGACTAACGAAAGTATGGTAAACATTTTCGATACGAAACATGAATCGGGCATTTTAATTGCCAATCTGATATCTCGCTGCACCGACTACAAAGTTGAAAGAGAAGATCAATTTCCCAAATCCATTTGTGCGTCTTGTCTGCAGGATGCGCAGAACGCATTCGAGATCATAGATACTTATGAGAGGAGCCACCAGTTCTATAGCTTCTTCAGGGATGTACGGGAGGAGGAATGCCAGGATGAAGGATCCAATTGTTCCGAAGAAGGTACAACCGAGGACGAGGAAACAAAAAAAGGCAATGGAACCCAGCTCAAATCAAAAGTGGTCAAGAGAACCCAGCAGCTCCCTGGTCAAAAAAAGAAGTGTGGGACTTATGGGTCAGATTCCCAATCAAGTAATGAGGGGACAGAAGCTGATTTAGAAAATACTGATGATGATTTTCATGGAGATGATGATTCCGCCGATAATAAAGACTATGAACCTGGCAAAGATAAAGACTATGAGCCTGGCTTTCAAGAAGGTGATGATGAAACCAATGAAAAAAGTCCGCATACGTGTTCCAATTGTCCAAAGAGTTTTCCAACGAAAAAAAGGCTACAGGTACATTTTCAAACCCACACAGGAGAACGACCCTTCAAGTGTTCCCAATGCCCGAAGGCTTACATAGATTATCCGAGACTTAGGCGACACTCGCTAACACACACAGGAAAGAAACCCTTCAAGTGTTCCAAGTGCCCGAAGGCTTTCGTTGATTCCACAAGGCTTAAGCGACACTTGCAAGCTCACACAGAAGAAAGACCGTTCGAGTGTTCCCAGTGCTCGATGAGTTTTCACGCTAAGCAAAATCTTAAAAGACACATGCAAACTCACACAGGAGAACGCCCGTTCAAGTGTTCTCATTGCTCAAAAGCTTTCTTCAGTAATTCAATTCTTCAGGCACACATGCGATCCCATACGGGAGAACGACCATTTAAGTGTTCCCATTGCCCAAAGTCTTTCTCTCGGGTAGCAGGTCTGCAAGTACACTTGCGAACCCACACAGGAGAACGACCATTCAAGTGTTCCCAATGCCCGAAGGCTTTCGCCCAGCATACAGGACTTAAAGTACACTTGCGAACCCACACAGGGGAAAAACCCTTCCAGTGTTCCCAATGCCCGAAGGCTTTTGCATTTAAACCAAATCTAGAGCGACATATGCTAATTCACACAGGGAAACGATCATTTAAGTGTTACCATTGCTCAAAGACGTTCGGCCAGAAATGCACTCTTAAAGTACACTTGCGAGTCCACTCAGAGGACAAGCCATTTAAGTGTTCCATCTGCCAAAAAAGTTTTAAAGGGAGATCAACGCTTCGCATGCACTTGAATACCCACACAGATCAACGACCGTTTAAATGTTCCCAATGCACGAAGGCCTTTGCATTTGAACCAAATCTTAAGCGACATATGCTAACGCACTCAGGACAACGGCCTTTCAAGTGTTCCCACTGCTCAAAAGCTTTTGCCCGCAGTTTCACTCTTCAGAATCATATACGAATCCACACAGGAGAAAGACCATTCAAGTGTTCTCAGTGCTCCAGCACTTTTGGCAGTAATTCAGTTCTTTTCGAACACATGCGAACACACAAAGGAGAAAGAACATTTAAGTGTTCCCACTGCCCGAAAACCTTTACACAGAACTCAAATCTTTGGATGCACTTGAAAACACACACACAAGAACGGGCTTTCAAGTGTTCCCAGTGCTCGAAGACCTATCCAACTAATAAAAGTCTTAAACGACACTTGCTAACTCACTCAGCAGAATGATCGTGCAACTGTTCTCAATTTTCATATTATTAAACATTTCAGGAAACACACGGAAATCAAGAAACTATAAAATAAAAAACTTGTTTATAACTGTAACAAAATATTTTTCTTAAGCTGCATTAAGTTAGTTGACGAAATAAACGACTCAAAAAATAAATGTATTACTTTCTCTTTTTGTGGGCTTATATAGTTTCTGCACAGAAGTAACAAAATACCAATGAATCGATTTAAGAATTTGTTGTCCAGGGCTATTGGTTAATGCCGCAGAAAATTTATTGGTCTGAAAAGTATATATTTTTATTATTATTATATATTTTTAATGGATTGAAGAAGTTTGAATATCGCTGGACAAAAATTGTATCGAGTTGAAAAAAGACTATATTGATAGAATAGAATTTTGATTTCGGTTGTTAAAAGCATGAAAGCTATTTTCCTTTCAAATTTGTGATTGCTTCTGTGGCAGCTATACAATATAGTCGTCCGCTATAAACCGTACTTCTGAAATCACTAAAAATTTCGATATCTAGGAGAATGGGCTAAGCTAAGTTAAGCTGAGAAACAACGGAGTTGTAAATTTATTTCATTTTTTTCCGATTGTTTCTATGGAAGCTATATGATATATTAGGTTGTCAAATAACTCCCTTCCGCTTTTTTGCTCTTTATTCAATGCTTTATAAAAATTGTTACAGTGAACGGATTTAGCTCAAATATGCGCAGTTTTGTTCGATAATGTGTTCCCATTTAGACGGCAACTTCATAATACCCCCCTCGTAGAAACTTTAATTCTGCTTTGCGAAAAACTCTGACAGCCACTTTTCACAACCCCCTTTTGAGCCCAACTTTACACCAGTAAGGGCATTCGCCATGGACAGAAACAGATGGTAGCCACTTGGGGCTTTGTCCCGGCTATACAGTGGATGCGATAAAATCTCCCATCCGAGCTCCCGTAGCTTCTGACGTTGTCCTGGTGAAACACTACACCCTTCCTGTTGGCCAATTCTGGTCGCTTCAGGTCGATCGCCAGCTTCAGGCGGTCCAGTTGTTCGCAGTAGATGGTAGAATTCAGCGTCTGGCCATATGGGAGCAGCTCATAGTGTATGCTTCCCTTCCAATGCCAACAAACACAGAGCAAAACTTTCCTGGCCGTCAATCCCGGCTTAGCCACTGTTTTGGACGTTTCACCGGCCTTCAACCACGACCGTTTTCGCTTGATATTGTCGTATGTGATCCTTTTTTCGTCGCCAGTCACCATCCGCTTCAAAAATAGGTCGAATTCTTTCCGTTTCAGCAGCATATCGCAGGCGTCGATTCTGTCCAACAGGCTTTTTGGCGTCAAATCATGCGGCACCCAAATATCCAGCTTTTTTTTGTATCCAGCCTTCTGCAGATGACTAAGTCCTATGTCCTCGGCGATGTCACGAGATGTCACATGCCGGTCTAGCTCGATGTTTTCCATGATTTGATCGGTATTCGTCGTCACAGGTCTTCTGCCTGCTGGCTTGTCGTTTTCACCGGCTCTGAATCGTCGAAACCATTCCTCCGCGGTTCGAAGTGATAGAGTACCGTCCCCTAAAACACAATTAATCTCACGGAATGTTTCTCTAGCGGATTTACCTTTTACGAAGGAAAACTTAAAAACAGCGCGAATTTCGGCGCTAGCGAACTCCGTGTTTACACATGTATAACTTTTCAACGCAATAACCAAACTTGTTATGAATAGCGTCGTTTTGTAGGTTATATAGCATTGCCCGATACCGATTCAAAAACCAAAAAAAGCGGAAGGGAGATATTTGACAACCTGATATTAGGCTGATCCGGCACATTTCAACTTATATACCACCTGCAACGGAAATGGCTAGATCGACTCGCCTGGTGATGCTGATCAAGTATATATATACCTATAGGGTCGAAAATGTGCCTTTGCCTTGCAACCCTTGACTGAAATAATAATACCTCTGTAGGTTATAACAAGTAGTTTAATAGGAAACTTTAAATTAAAACAATAAAACAAATTGAAAAATTAGACTAGACTAGAAACACAGAGAAAAATTAGTATTTTCCTTAATGGTAAATCTTAAATAACTTGATCAATATTTAATATGTTTATAACAGATTTTTATTTTATATATCCTAAATACGAGTATGACTTGTGTTAATTAAAATTTTGAAAGAAAATGAAACTCAAGACCAGGCTTAGTTGCAAGAATCCTTCTGCAGTTTGACTGAAATTATAATACCCCCTGTAAGGTAATAACAAGTATGAATGAAATTAAATGGCTAAAAAGACTTTATTAGGAAACTTAATTTAAGGCAATAAAATAAATTGATAATTTAGACTGGAATAGAGTGACAGAGAAAAAATAGTATTTTCCTTAATGGTAAATCTTAAATAACTGGATTAATATTTAATATGCTTATAACAGATTATTATTAAATGAAACTATGAAGGCTATGCTTAGTTGCAATAATCCTTAGGCAGTTTGACGCTTGAAGGACCGCTTCTTTGTGTGTATTATCAAGTGCCGCTTTAAACTAGTACAAAGCGTAAAGTCCTTCGAGCAGTGGGAACACTTGAAGGGGCGTTCTCCCGTGTGGGTTCGCATGTGTATCTTAAGAGAGATCTTCTGGGTAAACGACTTTGAACAGGTGGAGCACTGGAAAGGTCGTTCTCCTGTGTGCGTTAAAAAGTGTCGCTTAAGATGCTCTTTAGTTTGAAACCTTTTGGAGCAGTGGGAACAGTCGAAGGGTCGCTCTCCAGTGTGAATCAGCAGGTGCCGCTTAAGATTTGGTTGAAATCCAAAGGTCTTCGAGCAGTGAGAACATTTAAATGGTCTCTCTCCTGTATGCGTTCGCAAATGCTTCTGAAGAAGGAAGTTTTTGACAAAGGGCTTCAGGCAGTAGGAACACTGTAATGCGCTCCGATTTTCTTTCTTTAGGTGAGATCGCAAGTGGATCGTGAGCCTTTGCTTACTTATAAAACTCTTCAAGCAATGGGAACACGGGAACGACGGTCGATCTCCTGTGTGCACTGTTAAGTGCCTCTTAAGATTTCCATTGGTTCCAAAAGCCTTCGGGCATTGGGAACACTTAAAGGGGCGTTCTCCTGTGTGAGTCAGAAAATGATTCGTAAGTACTTGCCTAGTTGCGAAACACTTCGTGCAGTGGGAACACTTGAATGGCCGCATTTCTTTTTTGTGGCTTCGAAAGTGTATTTCAAGTTTAGACTTCGTTGGAAAAGTCTTTGGACAATAGGAACAGTTAAGCGACAGTTTAACTTTGGTTTTATCTTTACCATCATCAATACAAAACTTATAGACTGTGTCATCGCCACAATCATCAGATCCCTTTAAATTGGTCTCTTCTAAATCACCTTCCGTTCCCTCGTTACTTAATTGGGAATATGACCGATACGATCCGCAGTTTTCTTTTTGGTCAGGGAACTCCCGGGTCCAATTGTCTCCATTTGTTTCCTCGTCTTTGATTGGACCTTCCTCGAAACAATGGGATCCTTCATCCTCGCATTCCTCCTCCCGTAGATCCTTGAAGAAGCTGTAGAACTGGTGGCTCCTCTCATACGTTTCGATAATCTCGAATGCGTTCTGCACATCCTCCAGACAAGACACACAAATGGATTTGGGAAATTTATCCTCTCTGTCAACTTTGTAGTCAGTGCAACGAGATATCATATACGCAATGGAAATGCCTGATTCATGTGCGGTTTCAAAAATATTCACTATATTTTTGTAACTAACAAGGCAAACTCGACATAATGAGGTCTCCATCGATCTGAAATTGTATAATCATGGATTAGATCACTGCGGTTAATTAAATTTACTTTCTTAGAGTAAATGTGGGTTAGGAATAATATAAAACAATATTAATTCCTCAGATCAGCTGACTTGTTCTCCAGTGTTGCAAGGTAGAGTTGGCAATTATTTGGCAAAACAATAAAGAGCGCACAAAAAAGAATTGTAATCGTTAAGGTCTCTGATTGGAAACTTAAACCGTCTGAAATATACTTTGTAGCGTCTAAACTGTTTTTTTGTTAACACTTACACACACATATTATTATATTGAATTGTTTGATTTTTGATGCACAAATATAGGCTCAATATATAGAGCCACACTGGAACTAAAACAAGTGGCAATACTCAATGGCAATAAGTAAAGTGCAAATTGGTCCACAGATAAGTGAATAGGTCAAGACGTATTTTTGTTCTGATTTTATTACACGTGACATCGGCCTTATATACAGTTTACTTATCCTTCATTATACCTACCTGACACAGAAGCTTAATAAGTTAGGTAAAATATTTTTTAAGGGTTTTCATGTAGATGTAAGGATTATCCGACAGATGTTTTATAAAGATGACCAAGTAACATATGCACACAATTATTCAGGTACAAAAAGTTATTAGTATATGCAATACAGATGTTGTGCTAAAATCTTGTCAAACCTTGTAAATAAATAGAAAAACCAAGCGGGTGAGTAGGTATCGAAGGGGTTACTTATTGACAATCTGCTGGCTCAAAATAATTCCTGCAAATGCGTATGGTTAAATTTGTATTTTAATAATTTTTTCACGATGTAGCATATTTCACTATTTTTACCAATCACAGTGTCCACATAATTAAAATAAAACCGGGTTACTCTTTTTTGATAAAATTCCGTTCATTTTTTCAGTGATTTAAATTAAAATTTGGCGCTCGTTCGGACCTATCCAACACTACTTCAACACTGTGTTCTAAACTCTGTCAAAAAGTCGTACATTAACTAACATCTGTTTTTAACATTATACCTTGAACCATTGTAACCTTTTGACTCCCACTATTAACTCAAATGTAGCTAAATAGTAAAATATTGCAGTTAACGCAGAGTCAACCGCGATTACTATGACTCTTAAAATATTTTCTTAAATATGTTGTTTTGCCTTATTTCAAAATTAAACTCTGCTTTTATAATACAATTTAAAATACCGTTGGATTCTGCTTGGATGTTCCATGTGGTGACAAAATTGAAAGTAAGCCAAAGAACACAAAAGCCCGCCAAATTTTTAAATTCAACCCCCACAGCTGTACTCTTCTTTCGCACGCAGCTCTTAAGGCGGTTGCATTATTTTGCTATTCCTTCCCACATGTTCGATTGATTGTTCGGCCTCTCAAAAACTTTTATACTTGTTTGAATCGAACATCCACGTCGAACAGCGTTTTCCTCTCTCAAACCTGTTAAGATATTTCATTTCTGTTAGAAAAACGTTGTATCCTGTTGGGAAATCGTTGTATCTTAACATTTCTGTTAGGAAAGTCGCGGCGGAAAGCGGAAAACGCGGAAGAAAACCACGTTGAAAAGCGGTAAATTCAAAAATTGTGTTTTAAAGAAATAAATCAAGCAATCGTATCGTACCGAATAAACAACGAAGAATGTGAATTTTAATCTCGGCGAGTGTGAAATAAATAATGACGACCAAAAGCACCGCCAGTGTTGTGTTTATTGCGTTCTGATTTGCTTTTTCAAAAACTCAGACACACACAGTGGCTCCCACACGATCGCAATGCAGGGCAGTGATAAAACAAATGCACAATAATAAAATAAAGGCAAAGTCGGAAAAGTTTCACAATGCAAAGGCGGCTCATGCAAAAAAATTACCAATTTGGCGCTCTTTGCACTTGTCACGTCGTTGAAAAAAACAACAAAAGAAAGGAAACATTTTGCTCTCTGCTTTGTTTTTGTTTACACCACCGCTCACGCACATACACGCACCAACTTTTGCATTTGTTTTCTTTTCTCGTTGCATTATCACAACAACCGATCACCTCCCTCTTCTCACCCTGTCCATCTCTCTCTTTATCTCTCTGCCAATTCCCCATGAAAAAAGATGCACTTGTGATTCAAATTAAAAGTTTCGGCGCCAATCGACTTTTATCGGTTTTATTTTGGCACATTCTTAGGAATTATTTTGGTTTTTAGGTAATATGCCGCTTTGGGCGTGAAATGTCTAAAAATAGCAAGGCGGGACTGATAAAACAGATCACTCTCACTATCTGCCGCCGCTCTTTATAAAATATACATACATATGTGTAGGTGTGTGAAACAATCGCGGAATTTTATTACCTTTTTATTTTCTTACTGTGTGTCGCAAAGTCTTATTGGAGCGTACTTAAAAGTCACTAATTGAAGACAGTAATGGTGTAACAATATGAAACTAAGAGAAAGGTTCATAATCTTAGCTTAAATACACAAAGTATTTGTGGCAAGATTATCAACCTCTCTTCTATTTTAAGCCTTGTTAACATTTGTATTTTATTCAAATAAGAGAGTCCATGTAGCTTGCCACATGTAACGTACATATGTATGTAACAACCAAGTTTGAAATTAATACAAAGGTTAAGTGGTTTTGAAATGTTCTTAAACATAGATTTGAGAAAATTCCATTAAAAACTTGTGGCGTTGATTACCCGGCTTTACCTAACTTTGTAAAATTGGGTTCGATCGAAGTGAAATGTTTTATTCATTATTTTTAGTTTTTTCTTTTTTTTTCTTAATTATTATTTAATTCACCAACATTTTAACAACTTATTTTACACATATTTAAGATGTCAATTATTCAAATAAAATATGTAAAAAATATAGGCCCTAACAAAGGATCAAGTTCAAAAGTTTAAAATATTTTTTTTTAGATAATTTATTTAAAATACTGAGCCAACGTGTAGTTTTAATCAAAAAAATTATTAAAATTGAACAACAAAATTTTGGTTTTTTCAGAAAACGTGTTTACGGTTTCAACTTCAGTGGTATACGTAAAAGATTATCACTTTCAATTGAGCTCGAATCAACTTAAATATGAAAAAAAAGCTGCATGTGGATATTAACCCCTTAGATTCCTTTTTTTATTTTATGGCCAAGCAGTTTAACCTGCCATGTCAGCATATTTCATTCAAGCCAGGAAAACTAAATGCTATTTTCCAAATTTTGGCGGTTTGTCACCCAGTTAATTGCATTTAGAAAAAGTACTATGACACACCTATAAATGTAAGTAAAAATAGATATGAACTTAACTTATATTCAGGGCTTTCCTCTGGAATAATGCATTTTTATTCCACTGTAATATTGAGTCATCCAACAAGTTGTTGTTGCAGTGTTGCGTTGATTTTTCTATTACTTCTATCTTTTATCTTCTCGTTCTCGTATTCTTTGTTTTCCTGTTTCTGCTGCCCAATGCATAAATTACATTTTCCTTTTGGACTTTGTCAGATTTGTTTAGCACCTTTTTAGCGAAAAGTTTCCAACGGAAATTGTCAACAGAAATTGAAAAACTCCCATGTAAATACTCCACAAACACACACGAGCCAAGTGGAATACACACCAACACACACACACACAGGGGCAGCTTAATAAAGATTAACGCATTTCTTATCAAGCGGTGATAGCGAGCAAAGAAGATGGTGAGAGGCAGAGCGAGAGAGAAAAAGGGAAAAGGAAAGAGAGAGGCAGTGATATCTTTTCTCTGCCTGATTAGCAGCGTCTAGTTTTTCTCGTGTTTTTTATTTGTTTTCTGGTCTTGCTACTCCCGGTTCCTCTTCTTCGCAGCAGCCGCCTACGAACGTCGACGCTGCCTGCTTTATTTTCGCGCCGCTGCTGATAAAATAAAGAACAATATTAATTTAAGTTTAAAAATAGAATTCGCTGCAGATGCCCATTGCATGAATGTGAGCGAGCGAGAGCGCGATCGCGAGAGATTTCTCTCATTTCTCTCTTCCGCGGCACACACATGTTGATCCGCAGCGGCAGCGTCAATTAGCGAGAGGAAGAGAGAGATTATACTCATACTAAAAACGCTCATCTCTGAGAGTTGCAAATCAGTGATGTCAAGTAAAAAGAGTAAATTTTTGGTCGATAGTAAAATAATTTTTTCAGATTAAGTTTTACGGACAGACAGACGGAATATGTCTTTCAGGATGTTTGGGACTATTGTTTACCGTACGCGCGGTAAAATTCGAAAATGGAACAAATTTCATAATACTCGAGACAGCGAATTCGGTTATTTTTCGACGGTGACTGTTTTGGAATATTGATTGCTAAATCTAACGCGCGCAACGTATTCAATCTATGGTACATATATGATTTGTAATGCACCAAACTTGTTACAAAACTCGCCAGAAAATACTCCTAATATGTTCTTTCTAATTTGATTTCATTAATGTATTAAAAAACTCAGGAGCTAGAAAAAAAGACAAAGTGACATCTCTGGGGAGCATGCGGTGTCGCTCGCTCGTTTTTCGTTTGGGGCTTTCAGTATTATTCTATTCGCCTGCGCCTCAAGTTGCTTTTTCGGATTGCCAAAGCCGCGTGCGCCCCACTCGGAACACACACACACGCACACATAGAAAACGATATTATGCATATGTATGTTTAATATATATTTCTCTGATTGGATTGGGGCAAAAACAAAACCCGAAGAGTGCGAAAACCGTGAAAAAAAAGTAAAAAGCCGAGTAGCTTTTCGAATAATATTCTGTGCGGTTTGTGTTAATAATTATTATTGAATGAAAAACAAATTCCGTCAAATGTGTTAACAAGAGTGTTCGCAGCCGCAGCGCCATAAAGTTTACAACAATACGAAGAAAAAATCGAAAAAATAATGAAAACTGGAATTTGTGATAATTGTTTTTCGAGAGAGTGAGCGAGAGGGAGATAAGTGCAGAGATAACAGATTTGTTTCGTGTCCCTGATAAGCGATACCAGCGCGCATCTTTATCTCGAACATGGGGGTCGCTGATACTGTAGAAAAAGTATAATTTTCGAGAATCGAATATCGGATTAACATGCCAAAAAAACATGTTAAATACATATTTTATAGTTTTAACTTTTTTTTCTGATCTATTGGCAGTCCATTGTTCTTCCAGATTCTTCGCTGTAATCTCTCTCTTTTCGACTTTAAAACACAATGCATTCTTCTCTTATTTGCTCTCTTTTCGCATTCAATTCCCTTTTTGTGAAATTTACCGCTACTTCTATTAGTTAGTTTTTCACTCTCTCCCACTCTCTCTCTTTCTGTGTGCAACAATAATAACACCAACAATGTGAATTGAAATGTATATTAACCGCAGTTTTTTCCATTTGAAGAGCAAACGCGAGTAAATAGCGACCACAACAACAAAAGCACAAAGTGAACATTCGTTAAACAACCAAAAAGCAAGCCAATTAGAAAAATAAACATAGTGCAAAAATTCAATAAAAAACAGCCGAATAGAAAAGAAAACGCCGAGATCGTGGAAAAACAAAAAGTTTATCTAGCTGTAAATCCGAGCGCCAACGTGGGAGGCATCTAAGCGAAAACAGCGGATAAAAAGGCACAGAGAGAGAAGAGCAAAGTGATCTCTGGCAAAATCTGATGACGAAACGAACATGTACGTAAACCCAATCTTTATCGAGAACCAACTTATGATCTTCCGTAATCGAATCGCACTCCCAGTGGCGGATCCAGAGACGATTCTTGGGGGGGAAAATTGAATTTATCCTTTATTGCAGAGAATATTTTTCTAGCAAACAAGTGAAATTTTCCCTAATTTCCCCCCCGTGGATCCGCCACTGCGGCACTCCATTATAATAATATTGTGTCTGTAAAGTGTAAACATTATTACATGCAAACTAGCGCTAAGGCATTAAATTTTGCATAATTCGCTTTTAAGGTAACCAATTGAAAAAGCTATATTTGAATCTATATAATATATATATTAATACACTCAAAAACTGACAAACTTGAACAAGAATCGGAAGTGAAATAAAAAGTTTGAAAAGTTTTGATTTTTACCACTACCAAAAAGCATTAAAGTTAAAACTCAGTTATACCTTTAAAAAAATAATTATTAATATTTTTTTTGGTATTTTTATCATCAGTGCCAAAGAATAAAACTAGTCAGATTACTATAAAGTTATTTGTCTAAGCACACTTTATGAACATGGTATTTTTATATCTTTGATCATTGAATTATTAAAATCTCGCAAAGACCGCAAGACCTTTTTTTAAAGGAAAACAAATACTTTTTTTTCGTTATTTTTCTCTATATCTAGCACTTTTCCTTTCAATTTATTTGCCGGAAACCATTCCTTTTTGGTAATCCGAAAATCGAGCTGTTCTCCCTTCAAATAATTACACAGATGCGTATGTGGTGTCCATGCAATAAAACCAAAATACTTGGGTTAACTGAGTAGGGACTCTTGCTCTTCTTCTCAAATTATCCGGCGTTTCCAATCCCCCGAAACACATGGAAAAGTTCGATAAAAGTCGGCCACTAAAATGCCGGCAATGGACCGCAACAAGTTGGCTTTTCCCAGCTTTCTGTGAGAGGTCGTCGAGGGAGTGCTTAAATTGCCAATGTGGCTTCTAGCGTTTTCCTCCATCTCTTTATTCCCCTTAGAGATTTTTCTGAACGATTTTATTTGCGTTTTCTGGTCGAATTTAATTTTTATAGTGTGGAAAAATTGGGGAAAAAATTTAATTTCTCTTGCATTTTTTGTATGTTTACATTACTTTTGGTTTGCTAATGAAATTAAAATGTTCGATGTTTCTAAAAGCGTTCTATTTATAAATTTGTATATTTATAGTAAGGCGCTCACTGTTTGCACATGAGTGTGAGAGCTTTTGGGTGGTGGGTGTAATTGACAGCTTCCTCGAGACCTTACAGAACATTATTTTTGGCAGAAACGCAAAATGTTCATAACTTGAACTTTGAATTGAATTTTTTGGGTATCTGTTCTGTGTCAACATTGGCGCAGAAATACAAATGTTTTCCCCATTTCAATGTTGTTTGCTTGCAAAATATTAAGTAATAAATATGTTCGACTTTTATTTCTGGCTTCAAAGCCAACGCCAAACGATGCCGTCTGTTCGACAAGTCAATTGCACAGGTGTTTTTTCATTTTTTCCTTAAAACATCGTTGAAAGTTTCACCCGATTTACGCAAACAAATTAACCTCATAAGGGTAAGAAAATATTGAATTCTGATTCGGATCTCAATTTGATTGTTCAATACTTTCTATTGCAAGAACACATTTCAATATAATTTTTTGTTTTCTTTGTAAGGTATTTAGGATTTTATACGACTAAAATAAATATAATTATTTACTCATACAGAACCGAGATCAGTGAATGACTGTATTTTGAAATATTTAATTAAATTGTAATGGCCCCTTATGTGGTTAAGATTAGGAAATGAATTCAAAAATATTCATAAGCTGCATTTGTTTGAACATTTCATTTTGTAAAAGTCCTTGCTTTTAACAACCGTATGAATTCGCATAATTTCCCCCGTGGCCGTCGTCACATCCGCAAAAAAGTTAAACAAAATAAAATATTTCAAGCAAAATTTGTTTAGTCTATTCTTGGTTGCAGTGTTCGCAGCTAACAAAACTTTAGGATTAAATATAGAATCGCCTGCAAAACAAACATTTTGTTTGTAATTAGTTTTATTTTACTTCTTGGGCTCTCAGAACTTTGAAAATAGAATTATGTGCCCCCTAATAAAGCGGAACACAGAAACATAACAATCATTCATAAATAAAACCATTTGAAAAGCACAATGTTTAAATAAAAGTCATTTTACTGTGGTTAAAAGCTGAAAAATGTATTCATCAAATAAAACTAATTGAAAAAACTTTTTGCTTATAAATTCAGTTGGGATGTGACAAAAATATGTAACAAACTTGAATACGAATACCGAGTGTTATATTAACCAAATATCGCTTTAAAAACTTGTTCGGTTTAAAAAGTATTTCTTCTGCTTCCTTTTTTTCGTATATTTATTTTGCGCTAAAACCGCAAAAAGTTTTGCGGTTCGGCCACGACGCAATCTTATCATCTAATGTTCTAAAAATAGAAGCACAACAACTACAGCAGAATGGATGGGGCCCCATCGTCAGTGCCGTCCCTGAGCGGGCCTCTGGAACTTGGAGCGAAAATTGTCGCCCAACCTTTTTCAGTTCTATCTTGCTATCTATCTCTATCTCTAGCTGTATCTTTATTCGTGTGTGTAAAAATAATATGTGGCATAGACGTATCTCTATCTGAGTATCTGTATCTATATCTATGCGGTATCGGTTGCTCTATACAGCAGCATTCTATCTTTTTGCGAATTTTGCTAACAACAAAAATTTGATATTCTTCTTCTTAGATGTGAATTTTGTACTTTTCTTGTTTTCTTTTAGAGCGGCCGTGTGATCATTTAGCGTCCTGCTAATTCAATTTGAATCTTCTGTTCTTGGCTTGGATGTCTGTTTTTAAAAGGGTACGAGAGTGTGTTTTTATAAATTTTAAAGTACAAGTTTTTGCCAAGATTTCACGAGAAACACATTGAAGGTTTTTCTTATTTTTAAACACAGTTATAGAGAAACAAGTTAAAAAAACAAGAAATTGAATATTGTTATTTGCCCTTTATACAAATTTATATATTAAAATCACAAAACTAAATTATTTAATTTCTTATTTCTGAAGTCAGCGTATTGCATTTTTTTATAAAAGAAAAAAACAGAAGTACTTTTAAATAAATATTCTTCCCAAAAAAAACCAAAAAAAACTGTCAATTGTCAACAATAAATTTCACGCCGATAATTAAATTAGAAGTAATATACTAAATGAAACTAATAAAATGTGGCTATATTTTTGTGTTCTATTATTCTGGGAGAATCATACGTGCGGTAGTGTCAGGGTCATAAAAGACAATTTGCATTTTGAAATGGTGTAAAGATCTTGAAATTGGAAATAGGCTTGCAAGGAAAAATGCATTCCTAATTGTCATTCCTGATTTATTGAAGTTTTTTTGAATTTTACAATTCGATATGACGTGAAGGTTAACTTAAACAAATTGGCACCCTAAATACATTTTAATTACATTAATATATCAACAAATTTATTGCCCAGAGCATCTAAAATTCGTTCTCACCTACCAATAATACTGTCACTTTGTTTAACAATCCATTTATGACAAATAAGACAGAAAAAGGTAACATGCCAAATATTTTCCAACAGTTTTCTTTGCTGTCAAGCCTGAAAAGTTTTTCGCGCGTTGCTGAAATAATAAACAGAAATCTGAAAATAATAAGAAACAGTGTCAGAAATAAATAAGAAATTGTTTGAGAATGTAGCTGCTGTGCAAAAATTTCCACAACTCGTATCAATGTTGAAAATTTCCACAAGACTTGAGCGAAGAAGTCGCTGGCCCCCTTTTTATTTTAAAGAAATGGACATTATTTGGCTAATCAGTTAACAGGGGATTGTGGATTTTTAATAACTGTGTTGGCCAATTGGGAAAAAACAAATTGTGTTTGCATATTAAAATTGTACATTTACTGCGGGATATGTAGCAAAAATTCCACTATAAATAATTTGACACTTGAAGTAGTTGGCACTGCATAAATTAGACATAACATGGCAGACACCCGCTGACCGTGGCTCAATGCCAACGACTTGGTTTAGTTCCTCTTTATCAACTAAAGCAACAAATAAAGACGCCTGCTGTCTGTTAGTTTCCTGTGAGACTTCGATATCCTTGTACCAGTAATTAGATTAGCATATATGCAAATTCTCCAGAAGATAGTTGTGAATCCTTTGACTCCTGTGAGTAACACTAGTTAACATAATAACAATGACAAAAGTTCCGTCTTCCAGTAGAAGCAATGCGTTTATTTTACCAACTTTTAAAAATTATATAGAACCATAACATAATCACATATTAATTTAGCAATTCCTATAACAGTTTTGGGAAACTTGAAACACGTTCTATTTCTAGTAAAATGGGTCCTCGAAAAAAAAGCACTGAATCGATTTCTCGAATTAATTTTGTAAGTAAGTGTAATTGACGAGCAAGGATGTAAGGCATTTCGCTAATTGTTTAGAGTTTGGTGGGTGCAGAATGATGAATTAGTAAAGATTATGAACAGGTTAAATGCAATTAGCATAATTCTGCAGTAGTTCTCTCGAAACTTACTTTGAAGTGTTGGTTTTGAATGGAAAGTATAATTAGCTTTGGTTAGATTTTCATGGTAGTTGCTTAATAATGTCTAAGCTATGACAGAAAATATTCAGAGGCATGCTTGAAATGATATTTCACATCCAGCTCTTTCTTTATTGAAACAAAAATGGTGAGGGTCAATGTGACATAAAAACTATAATTGTCACAGACATTATTCAGGCCTTTATAGTTTCTCAAAATTCGGTAAAATGCATGGTTATGTCAACCAATTTTTTTTTAAATTTATTTCCATAGTCAAAGAATTATTTTGGTTGACATTTTTTGTTAAGCTGTTTAATTTAATTATTATCAACAGTTTGCCAAACATTTCGTAATTTATTTCGATAATTTAGATGCCATTTAAGCCGTTAATAGTCTGCTTATTAACTCGTTATTCACATGCATTAAGCTAGCAACCAGTGTTAGAGCCGTAACAACAACCGCATCGAGAAGGACGTTGTTGCCTCTTGTTGCCCCGGCAACCAACTCTCCAAGTTCCGTCCTGATTCCCGTTCGCTTTGGAAGCCACTCATTCATGTGACCGTGCTAATGTACCCCCCACCAAAAACCGCCCACAGATGAGGGCCTAAAAACCGGAAGATCGATGAAACCCTAAATGCTGGGGTATGAACTGGCGAATCCAGCGAAATTCCTCCTTCACATTGTACTACGCTGTTTAATGCCTGATAAAATTAGTCCTAATGCTTGCTTTCAAAATACTCTAGCGTTTCCGTAAGTTCAGATATTCCCAGCCATTGCTGTCATTGTTTTTAAATGTAACCTATTTTTTGTCTTTAATTTAATTTTTAAAAATTGCACCATATCTTCTTTTGAAAATTTGTAAAGTAAAATAATTTTAATTAAATGCAATTCACAAACAATAAAGCTTATCGATTCCCAATCTGCTCGATTTCTTGCTTTTATATCACAGCATATTTTTTATATTAAAAAGTTTATTGATTTTACGCTATTTTATTGAATTATTTTAAATTCAGCGACGGGAAACTACCGTCGTTTTGCATCCAATTTGAGTCTTCACCGTTCTTCAGCCTCTTTGTTTGTCAATCAATTAGCAGAGTATCAACGGAAAAACATTTTGCACTGAATATTCACCTTAATTTTAATATTCAGCTTTTTCAACCCACATGACTGACAAGAGGGAAACTATACGCTTATCAATGAACAGATTTTTCAGCATGAATGTATGCAAGTACAGTATGAAAGAACGTTATGAGCGTTCCTGCCATTTTCGCTTTGGTTGTATGCTCATTCACATCCCGAAGTTGTATTTTCCATGTCAATTTTGAAGCCATAATTCGAGACCACTAAATGGTGCTCAATCAAAAAGTCAAATTGGTTTAATCAAGGAATTGATTAACGTATTATTTGTGATTTTCTCCTCTTTTTTACGCTTATCTGAGTTAGTTATTTAGGATTGTTAGTTTTTATTTAAAGCCAAAAGGGGGAATAGTTATTGATCTTTTGCTTTATTAACGGTTCGATAAATATTTTTAAAAGTTGTTCTTTTGGGAAATGAAAAGACATTTTATCACTGATTTTATATAAGAAAATTTATTTAGTAAAACTCAACTGTTTTCCACATTTTGAGAAATAGTGTTTTTTAACAGCCAAGGGGCAAACAAAAACTCTGCACCCATATAGTAAATGTTGACAAAAAAGAGTTGTTCAAACGGAAACGAGAGTAAATTAATTTTGTGCGCATTTCTGTGGGCTTCAGAAAGTTGGGAGTAATTTAATTTGGCCAATGGAAAAGTTTTTTTGCTGCTGCCTTTGGGACATGACATGTGACAAGTGACAGAGAAGGCCGTACACAAAAGGCCATTGAAACACAATCAGACTTAGTGGCAGAAAGATTTATGATGGAATAGAATATAATTGTTTGTTTGTTTGTTTATTTATTTACGCCCAATTATGCGGGAATTTCTTTTAAGCCATTTGAATTTAGTCAAGCAAAATAGGAGCATAACGTCTTCATTGATTTTTGATTGCCAGCTTATCATAGGTATATTTTTACACAAATGAAACACAAATTAAACCTTTACATATAAAATAAGAAATATAATTAATTGATAGCTGTATATTATATGTGACTATCCCATGAGAGATTCAAAACATTACTTTAGCCATAAATAAATAACTTGTAATTTAATATATGAAACCCGAAGTCTGTTTGGCCCAAGTCAATTTACCATAATTAACTTAGTGACTACAATTATATTGTTCTTAGGTTGAGTTTTCTCATTATTGACTTGGTGTACTGTGTAAATATGTGCTGCCTAACATCTTTGTTGACACTTTCCTCGAAGTTGCCATACCTTCCAATTACGCACTGTTTATCCTAAATCACATAGCTTAAACGCGCAAGTGTGTTAAGATTCTTGGAAATCCGGTAATAATAAACATAAAACTTGACTTGCCCGAAACTAAATTTACATAATTGTAATCTACCCACAATAAGGTTCGTAATCTATTCGCCGATTTGGGCAACATTGTTGCCCTCGTATTTCTTACCTCTGGCCAAGTAGGAAACAATTTAAGGGGCCTCTCAACGCTTTTGTTGTTCAGTACGTTTTGCTAGGGAATTGTTTATGTTTCGGCCCAAAGGCCCGGCACTAAATTATGTTGTTTTAACTTGGCATTAATGGCCCTTTCCGACTTGGTGTTTCTGGGTTCTGCCATAAGACGGTGTTGATTTGACCGGAGGCATTGTTTTCCCTCATTTCTGCCACCTGCTCCGTAGCCCCAAAAGTGTCGATTGCCTGTTCCTGTCTTGTAGTGCCCTCTGTCACTTCCTTTGGAACTCACTACGCGCCCCCGCATATGCATAAATTAAGTTGCCCAATTTGTAATAAGCAACAGATAAGCGAATTTGTGGTGGGTGCTTCAGCAGTTATAAATGAATATTGAATATAAATATTATAGCTTCATATTTGATTGGTACTTATAAGTCCTCTGGTGCTCTTCTGTGTTAAAATTACTATAGAGATGTACTCGTTTCGTGGTATTATTGAAAAATGTAAACAAATTTCAATTGATTTATTTATTATTATTTTTATTTGGTTTTTAAAAAGGACCCGTTGCAGAATGTCTTACCAGCTTTAATTTGATGTAAGCAACAAGAAATAAGGGAACAGGAGATATATGATGAGAATGCCAATTGGAAACGAGAAATGATTTTAATTGCACGTATAACTAAGTGATAATAATTAAGATTTGATTGCTACATATTTTTAAACTAATCATTGCCTAATTTTTATAAAGTGAGGAAGATATTCAATATTAACTATTGACGATATTTCAAAAGAAGCGATCAGCAAGTTAAAGTGTTTAAGGTTAATGTTCAAATTTTGGTAATGTAAGTGCAATTTTATGGACTTAAATATTTTGTTATTGCAAAAGCGACCCTCGCTAGTTTTTAAGTTATTTTTCCGCGAAAGCAAACAATTTGGCAAACATGTCGAGTTTTCCACCGCCCACTCGTCATTTTGCCTATGGGCTTCATCTGCCAACGACACAACAAGCAAAACAATTTTCCATGAAAATATGTGAGGCACTCGCCCTTATCACTGTTCACCTACCTGAGGGCCAGTTTTCCCTGCCGACTGATTTTTCCGCTTCTCTTCTCGCCGGTCTTTGCGTCTTTGTCATTGGCAATATGTGGGCTTGCCTTCGGTACCAATTTAAGTGTTTTTGCTTAATAAACAAATAAGCAAGTAAAGTAGATTGAAGAAAACGACGCCAGCCAGTCGATAGAAAGTCCACAAAGGGTTTTCTCCCCTATAGTTTGTATGTGTCTTTGTTGCTGCCCTTGTTTGCTTTAATTTTTGGGCGGGGCTCCTTCTATTAGCATTAATCGCCATCGGTAGAAGTGCGAGGGAACTGCGACGTGCGAGTCAATATGCATACCTTCTGGACACTGGCCCAATACATCCGATTCGCTCTCCTCCCCAAACATCTCCCATAAATTTACGACTCTTGGAGCTTTTAACAACTGTTTGTTCTGCAATTTCCCACAAACGAGAGAGAATGGAAATTTATTATCATTTTATGGGCCCTGCGAATACGCTCTCGCCACCAATTTAGTTGGTAACGAAATGTCGGAAGAATGGGTAAAATACTTGGAAAAGAATAACCGGTGATACTGGTGCAAAAGTTTTTTAATAACTTGGCTGGTTCCTCTCAGTTTTCTAGAAAAACTGAAATGCGCCACTTAGCTTAGCATACTTTTCAGGGTAGGCGCTGTGTGAAAGCAATTAACTCTGCTCCACTCGCCGACTTAATTTGCATCTATCTGCGACTACACTTTGGCGTAGGCGTGTTCCCGCCCACTTTGGGTACACATGTGCCGCCCGCGGAAAAAAAGACCAGTAGCAGGTTAAACTCAATTTGTCACTGAGCTACATATATAACATCCTATATGTGGTGGTGCCACTGGGAGCGGGTTTCGGTTTGGCTAACATGAATTGATTGTGAATGGCAAAGGTGTTCATCGCACGGTGGCCGCCAGGAGTCACAATTGCATGGGCAAAAAGCAAGAGCAACAGATTAAAGAAAGTACTTTTTAAAGTTTATAGTTTCGGTGCATCTAAAGCCAAATGGAAGAGCTTCTTAAATTATCTTTTGTATAGAAAACATTTAATGCTTCACGCTGCTCTGTTTAATTTTAATAAAATGCATGTATTTAAAGTCTCACATTAAATCGATGTATTGAATAAAAGCCACACACCTTATATTTTCCATTGTTCTTTTTGTGTGTATCTGAAGTTTCTTGAAATATATTTTTTTGCGGCTGTTTAAGTTTTCTTGGCCAAGTAACCTTTTGCGGTGCAATGAAGTCTGCTCTTGACTTCAAGTTGCAATTTTCCGACTCGCTTCCCACTTTTATTTCTCTCACCAAATTTTCAAGCCATATTTATACCCATTTATTCACCAGTTGGAATTCATCTTTAACCCTTGGCTAATTTATGTTTGCCGTCTTACAGCTGCACTTAATAATCCTTAAGCTTTTTTTCAGTGAGCTATTCTGCAAGAATGCTGCGTTTGCGTTTTCTAAAAAAAAAAACATTTTTAGCTGTATATACTGCTTTAAATATTTTTAGCTTTTTATGATGTTGACTCAGGCTAATTTGTTGTTACAGCAAACAGTTACATAATTGGCATCGTTAGGAATGATGCAGAGCAGAACATAAAACGAAGCAAAGAATTATTCACCAGAAAGGAATAATTAGAGAGATCTGAAAAATTTAAATATGTTCTTATTAACATTGTCATGATTCATGATTAAGTTTGTTCTTGTCAGAAAGAGTACAATGTAGTTGGTAAACATAGGCAAGTCTCAGTGTCTTTACTTTAATGGGATTCGGAAATGTTAAGTGGGAATGCAGCAACAGCTTGTGCCTCGGAAAAATTTTATTTGAGGTAGGGATGTAAAAAAAGATGCAGCTAAAAGCAAAAGGAAGTGAAACCTTATCAACAGCTGTTCAAATTCTGGATTTCAAACAGAAAATATTATATTTTACGTGCATTTATTGTGTAAGTCTCAATTGACCCATTAAAATTGCATAAAAATGCAAATTAATGTCAACTTATATTTAAAGAGAAAAGGAAACGAATAAGCACGTGTACGATTGATTAAGCATAAATTTTGCCATGTTAATAAAATGTATATGTTTTTTTTGTTAAGTTTTTGGTTTATTATGTTTGGTTATTATTTTTATTGAAAAGTTTTAAAATTTATAAGATCGATAAAGGGTCTTTCAAATGAAATACGATTGAACACATGTTATGTACAAATTGGTCAACTCTTTTCGGTTCAACAACTTTGGCATTTCACTAATTGCTCGATTTGCTTTCCGACATTCAGATTGAGAATATAAATTACCTTTAGCGCATTTTCCCTTCAATATTTACACACATTTTATTTTTTATTCATGAAATAATATTGAAAAATTATTTTGTATTTTTTCAGCTCCAGTTCAATGTAAACATTAATAAAACCATTAAAAAGAAAGGACTGAAATCGATTAGTAAGACTTTATGATTCAGTCTGATACACGACCCACGTACTTATATTCTTCATCAAAATTGCCTTCTACAAAAAGCAAAGTTACAATAAATCAACAGAATATCAACTTTAAAATCGTCAGAGTTGTTTTTGTTACAACACCAACAATTGCAGCACAATATTACAAAATATTCAACAAAAATATCGCGTGAGTATACATTTGATTAATATTCAATTAATAAATAGAGGTCTGAAAAAAGGGAAGTGGACAAAATGGTTAGTGTTTATTTTTAATGCCGCAATGAAGGGCTGCAAACATTTTTTTGGTCAAGAGAATGGGTTTTGCAATGCTTTAATTGTCCTGCTCTGATTTGCATAATCAAATGTAAAAAATAGAGTGTTTTGTTTAAAATTAAAGGAAAAAAATGAACAACAATTAGTTTGAATTGTAATTTATGCAGCAGGTTAAGTAATACCTTTTTCACCAAAATCTTAGTTAATACTTTGTATTTACTTGTTCAATAAATATTCTTATTCCTCTTATTTAATTGTGTTTCTCATATATCTCATACATATCACTAAGAATGTACAACATTTAAAATATTCGCGACTTGCAGTTTACTTAAAATGTGTTAATTGCTTATTTAAACATAGATAAAAAACGAACATATGCAAAATTTGTGCAATGAATACAATTCGACTTTCTTATACAATATCTCACACGTGAGTATAAATCGCAGATATGTGTTTGTATGTATATAAGTATCGAGTTTATTTCTCGATTTTTAACAGAAGAGTGAATCAGCGGCTGTCCAAACTCGTTCGAATTTCTGCTGCTTTCCACGCAGATTCGTAGAGCCAAAAGCGTTTTGGCAATTTAGTTTACAAACTCGGTTCGATATGCAAATACGAAACTATTGGCTATTTCATGGTTACAACGATGTTTCCTTTTTTTATAGTTCCTAGAAAAGTACAAGGGTGAGAGCTAAGAAAGTCAGCTGAACTAACTTGTTGCCAACTCAATTAAAAGAAAAATGGAGTTAAATGCGACTAGCAATACATGACTCAAGAAATGGCTGAGAGATGTCTTAGTTTCTAAATATTACCACTTTCTGAGAAGTTGCCATTTTCTTAAATATTTTCCTATCTGAACTCGTGCTGAAAAACCTTCAACCGCTTCCCTGTGTAAACTTATCGTTATTAGCAACTGTTACAGTAATTTACACATTTTATTCTCAGTTCGTTTTCATTTATTTTCTCACAGCCCATACCTCGTATGATAGCATATAATATTTGTAAGCTCGCGCCATTTAGCGACACTCAGCCACAAATCTACTCGCACATGGAGACAGAGCAATATGCTGACATGGAGAGCCACACATTTTATTATGCACGATAAATTAATGATAATTTAAAGATAACTTTTATATAAACAATAAATTTTGTTCTCTCTGAATTTGCGCCAGCTAAAAATAGAATCCGAGCAGTTACAAAGAACCGCGATTAGTAATATGATACGTCGGTTGGTTGGGGCACCATTGATATAGCTTTACCAAGCACACATTCGACTCTATATACATATCCACATATATATCGAAACATTATTATGAAAACAGGAAAAAAATATTCGTTGTTTATTCATTAAGCATTGCGGCGTGTGTGGGGGATAAAGCTTGAAACTGATTAAGCCAAAGGTGTTAGCAGAGCTCAAGCTCTGGAATTACTGTATGCAAACAGTCAAATCTGAAAAACCTAAAAATAGCCGCGAACTTCGTACAGTATTTAATTAAGTTCAGTTCGCTTTGACATCTGGTCAATATTTAAATTGTGGTTTATGGTCGTAGACTATTTGATTTATTTAAACTCGTTTGGAGGTTTTCTATTTATAGTTTATCTTTTTTCAGTCAGGAAACAACAGGTTAAGAAGATATAATTAAAATTATTCCCACTATTCTTAGAGTAACAGATGTTATATATATATATTATTCAGAATCCTAGTTCATCTATTTGTTGCTTGAGTTTCGCTGACATTATTTTGACTATTATTTTAATCCTGTTTAACGTTGGTATAATATTTTGCACTTTAAATTGGATTTTACAATACGTTCTTTCTTTTAAATTAAATAAAATGAGCTTACTCTATTCATTTTTAATCAAAAGTATGAGCATCCAAATATGAATAGGAAGATATAATCAAACTTTTTGTTCCTCTTCTGTTATCTATTCACTTTCATTGTAATGCGGAAGTCAGCCGAGGGCACCCAATTTCCATACAACCGGCAGCCGTTCAAGTCTAACAAAAAATCGTTGAAAAAAACGAAAACACACAGAAAAATAACAAACAAAAGTCATTCTCTATATCGTCTACCGTTTCGATTCGGCCTTTTCTTCTACCTCTCCGCCGATTAGTTTCACAAAAAAAACGAAAATCTCTTGAAATGTATACAAGCTTTAACTGTCATTATTCACAGAGCCAAAGCCGAAAACAAAACAAAAGCGTAAGGAGAATAAATTTGTTAAGCGGCAATTAAACGTCAATGGCAACACTTGAAATGCGATTCAAAGACGATGGATCGTTTTTTGTTTTGGCTCTATAGAACGGCCCGAGTGGTCTTATAGCTGACATTTTCAAGTGATTATATTGTTCAATTCGATTTCGTTTCGCCCTCAGTTAACTATTTGTTTTTGTTTGTCGACAAATTCATTTGGTTATCTTGAGCTGTTATCAAGTGTTTCGATTTTACTTACGTACATAGGTATATGACAAGTAATTCTTTTTCGTCTTTTAATAATTTAAGTGAGTGTTCGGGGGAATTTTGATATGTGAAAGCACTTTGATTGGGAGTCGAAGGCGCCGGGTAATTAGCTAAAAAATATGTGTAAGCCCACACTCTGGGTAATGAATGAAGAACACAGAAGAGCGACGTCGAGTCCATCAATCAATGGAATGGAGGCGACGACTTGGCTGCCCCGGCAAAATGTCTAAGACTTAACTTAACTGACTTTGATTGGTGGCGGGGGTTACAAGTTCAATGGGGCCTATCAGTCAATGGGTTACTGGAGTCGAGCCGCAATTAAATTAGCAAAAGAAAACTCAATTGTGAGTTGGCTGGGTTAACGATCATTTCTCGGGCGAGGTCTTAAGTAACTGGGGTTTAATATTTATGACTCTTTTATGGATAATTAATTAAAAAAGCATGCAAAATTGCACAAATTTGAAAAAAATTATAGACAGGTATATTAAATGCAGGTAGAAAGACGCTAAAATATTTGGTCAAGATTTGTTAAATTCGGAGAATTATGAAAAAATTAACAAAGTATTAAACACATTTCCCAACAGAAAACTGAGTAATCCAAATACTAATAATTAAACAATTAAAATGTGATTAAATTGTTAATATAAGTTCAGTTGAATAAAATTCAAATTGTAAACAAAATGTTTACCACAGAATAAACACGCATCATTTTTAAGACAAAGAGTGCCACTTAAAAAATGATCAAAAGCCATTAGATAAGCTGACGTCAAATCCAATTATACTTAAAGAGTATTTGATTGGCCGTCATCATCGGATAATTTGAGTAAATGCCAATTAATTGAATCTGACAGAAAAGAAAACCGAAGACAAAACAAATTGAAAACAACCACATCCAGTTTGGTCAGGTAGCTAGAGGCATCAATAAAAACTAGCAGATGAAAAAACAGAAAACCATTTATCATGTGGTGTCAAATTTGAGGTTTTGTGTTTTTTTCTATTTTTTTTGTTATGCGATTTGAAGTTTTGGCATTGTTATATTGTGACCTGGAAGTCAATGGCTATCGGTGGATTGAGAGGCTTTGAAGAACTGGGCTCAAGTGGTGCCGCCAGTTGGGCTGGGCACGTTTTAAGATGTTCCTCTTTTCTCGGTTATTTTTTATACACCGATAGTAATCTTGGAAGACCTTAACTGCTTAATTAATGCGTTTTCGCTTTCTACTTTTTTGGTTGTCGCGTGGCCAGACAATGACTAATCAGAAAATAGAAATAGGTTTTTTTCTTTGCCTTCCCTCGCCTCTCAGTGTTATTTTGTGTAGTCTTATTTTTTTTCATTTTTTGCCCGGCAATTCTTCTTGGGGGGTTAATTGAGAAGAGACCGCCTGCCTTGAGTTCGGCTGAGTTAGGTTGAGTAAACAAATTGCATTAATTTGTGTCTTATTATTTAATAACAAAATAAATAGACAACGGCCGACAATGAATTGATAAAGTGCTCTAGTGGGAGGGTGGTTAAATGTATTTAGCACTTTGTTGGCGTTGTTGCTTAACAATTATTTTAATTCCAATCAATTAGGAATCAAACGAAATGCATGCCGCCAAACCAGGACAAACGTTCATTTGCGTTTTCTCCTTAAATCCTCAACGCTCCGCTTTCCTTCAGTAGATTTTTACCCCATTAATCGATTTCCTCTTTTAAGTTGAGATTTTCTGTTGGTGAAGGTTTTCTACAAATGCTGAATTTTCAAGGTCCTTTAAGGGGGTTCAAAAGCAGCTTATGGATTTCGTTCGAGTACATTCCAATTTCGATTTTTCTGACTAACGAGTGTTGATAATATCCTGTGGTATTTAAAAAGATTTGCCCAAACATTTAAACATTTGATTTAAGTAAAGCTCGCTAAAATCCGTGCTGATTGCGGTTTGGTTATTTGCCAAGTGGTAAAAATAATTGTTTTAAATTTCCCAGATTATGCCTTGAAAATACAAAATAAAAAGTCTATACAAATATGGCAGATATAGATAAATTATTGGAAAAAAACCACTTAAATCATTGGGAATAAACTCTCCCAAAACCTCCCATTTTTCAACACAATCAATGTCATACTGACTCTGCACCTTTTTTTCTTTGCATTTCCCCACCTAACTTTTTTTTTGCAAAACCAATTTGTTGTTCATTTATCGAAATATTTTTATATGAAGTTCGAATGGGATTTTCATACGCAATCGACTCAACTGTTGCTCGATTATTATATTCGAGCAAACCATAAAACCATAAATTTCGTATTTATTAATGTGCACACGTGTTTGGGTCACTGAATGTGGGGGATAAAGGTGTATGAAATCGATTTTGTAGCGCCTAAAAACAGACAAAAATTGAGTGTAGGGAAATAGCAAGAAAACCAGCTTGCCTGGAATTATAATGATTATGTTTATTGGAATCGAAGACGTTCAAGAGACG